TTCGATGGATAAGGTTTTTGTGTGCGAACACTATCAACTTACTGGTTGAAAAGTAGGATAGTATCGGAAAAGTAGACAGTGTGAATCTTCAAAGAGCCGAGTAGTTCATAAAAGACTCAGCTTCGATGGATAAGGTTTTTGTGCGAACACTATCAACTTACTGGTTGAAAAGTAGGATAGTATCGGAAAAGTAGACAGTGTGAATCTGCAAAGAGCCGAGCAGTTCAAACGATAATATAATCAGAATAGTTACGTTGTATACCAGACGGCGAGAAATACCACCCTATCCCCATTGAAATGAAAGCATTTGCAATTTTGTTTCTAAGAAACAAGCACTCAGCTCATGTTGGGAAAATTTTGCGTATAAATGAAGGATGCTAAATTACATTATATATGGCTATTGCCATGAATTAGAAGAACTTCTACGGCTAATGTAACGAATATGAAACCTGAATAAACCTGCTTTTCAATCAACGTAAGCATGCATTTAAATTCAGACAGCTCGTAGAAAACATACTGCTCCAAGCCATACGCATATCTTGCATACTTATTATATATTTAGTCAGTAGAGGCTAGCAATGCATGACAATAGCGGTGTTAGAGGTTTTCGAAAAAGATGTAATTAAACTATCGATCCAAATAAATAAACATTATATGATACAGAACTTTGCACAAAGATTTTAGGAAAAATCAATCATGACAAATTTACTATCGCTTAACGAAACGGTTATACTAATCTCACGCCTTTCAATTAGGTTTCATTCAATCACGTTGCTAAATATTTTGCCTACTGTTTTTCTATGCTGCACACTTGTGTAATAGCAGGTAATAGTAGCATTACCTGCTGCTGTTTGTAACTAACACTGATGCTTATTCCTAAAATGAAACTCGTTTACGTTGATAGACCTTAAAGGCGTCAAATAGTTTACATACTTCACTCACTCATTGTCTTCCCATAAAATGATTGAAGTCGATGCCATTGATTTTACGAAATTATAATATAAAGAAAAAAATAAATTGAAACCGGAGGCTATTGCAATCAGTCGTAACAATTATTATTGAAAAGTGTTTGGCAGACATTGAAATTTGTATGCATTTCTTTTTCAATTTTTTCTTTTTTTTTTTTGCAGGCCTTAAACGGTTTCCTAATGATCCTCACCTGTGATGGAGAAGTATTTTTTGCTACTCACAGCATTGAAAGCTACTTGGGGTTTCATCAGGTAAGTCATAGAAGAATGTTTAAAAGAATATTTATCAGCTTTAAAATACGCAAAGTACGAGAAAAAAAAAGACAGACATGAAAAGAGGGGCGAAAATGGAAAACGAAAAAGAAGAAGAAGGATAAAAAGAAGAGAGAAGATAAGTAGAAGAAAAAAGACACGAAGAAAAATAAAGCAGAATGCATAGAAAGAGAGAATAAAAATGAAATAAGGAAATAAGTTTTAATAACATTGCGTCTAAAGAGAAACTTTTATAAATGCTACGCTAAGGCTAAAAACCTTTAAAAAAAAGAAAACTCAAAATTTGTTTATTCTATAATAATGGATGGACGTGGCTGAACACCGCAATTTCTCTAAAACATAATTGCCATGCATCGGGCGTTGTTTATAAATAATAATCAAAAAAAGCCAGAAAGCAAAGTTGTTGGTCTCCGTTTATGCCGCATTGTAGGCATGTTTTTCTACTATTTTGGACCATTTTCAACACCAAGCTGTCGGCAAGAATTTCGAATGTCTCTACAAACTTGGATATGATATCGTAGTTTTTGCGATCGGGAGCTTCCTTATCACAGATAGACGTACAGACAGAGAACCAAATAAGCAGGCAGACAAACATACAGACAGACAGACAGACAGACAGACATACAGTCAGACAGACATACAGGCAAGCAGACGGACGAACAGTCATACTTTTAACGCCCCAAAATTTAAGACTGACCACGATGAAAAAGTAAAGGTTTCTCAATTTATAGGATCACTAAAGCTTCTTGAAGAGCTTGAAATTACCTTCTAAAATTTGCTACTGTAGGATAACCTATAGAACATGGGAGCTCATGAGTAATAAGTGGCGTCTTCTTTCGTTCACTTCGGCCAAAGGAGTGCAGGGACACATTTGATGCAAGCGGTCTTTTCGTAGCACTGGAGGAAAGCTCAAAATATCGGAGAAAAAATTTCTATCCAAAATAATAGGCAGATTTAGAAAAAATTTCGATCCAAAATAATAGGCAGATTTACTATCAAACCAAAGGTGAACAACCTTTTTTTTATAAACCGGGCAGGAACACAGAACCGTTTGAATGAATGACTTAACAAAAAGATAAAAATTAAAGTTTTTTAGTAAACATTTCTATTATTATCATGTACAAAAAATGAATACAGTAAACATATTACGTAAACTTGAATGCTTATTACTGGTTCTACAGGAAATGTGTCTGATTTGTCTTATACTGCATCATAATTAGGATGTAATTCCTTTGCAACTGTTCGAAGAACTGCTTCTGAACTTTCATTTGCTTACAGCTTTGTCATGTCTATTTATAAATAAATATTTCAAGGTCACACTATCATTAAAAATCGGGCTCTTTATATCAATTCTCCTTACGTACATTCAATTGTTCATTTTATTGCCTAATGAACAAAAGAAGAACATTTAAATACATTTCACCTGACCAGATGAGTTAGTGGGAGCAAATTGAAACGGTTGAAATATTAAGCTTAGCGGGCCAGAAGCTGCCCATACCTGCATTAAACTGTCGCAGAGCTTAGCGAGATATATCGGAATGGGAGCCACGGGGAAAACTAAACAAAATCAAACCGCTTCCCGATACTTAACTGCTGCTGATGTTATTAGGGCGCATATAGAGAAAAATATCGGCATAATCCGACTAAACATCTGCATGTATTCTACCAGATTTTTGTCTTGCAATTACAATTTCAAAAATTCACAATTATATACAGAAGACGGCGGAACATACCTGTCATGCTATTTTAAAAGACATCTTTCAGACACCATTGCTACTGTTACAGTTAAGAAACTTTCCCTATTCCACTTCAATTGGCTTAACAAAACAATCAAACAAACAATAAAAAAAGGAATATCTTTAAAATCACATTTACGCAAAGTGTATTTAGGTATTATGTGACTACCACATCTACCACTTGTTTAACAAGGGCTACGGGGAACTCCCTTTTTTTGCAAAAAAAAGAAAAAAAAAAGAGAAAAGAAAATGCACCTTACCTTCTTTCTACCTTTCATTGTTGTTGTTTTTTCTGATCTTATTATTATACAGCAGTCGAAAATTCTGATTGCAAATAAAAAAATATTTATTAACTTGTTTATTTTTCATAAAAAGGAAGGGAACGCTACTACGCGATTAAGTGTGGCAATGCGTTATCAAGTGAACCCAATTGGAAAAAATTCAGTTTTTAAAAAGACAGTTGTACTGTTCCTCAAAAGGTTTCTCCATAGGATTGTTCTACAAGCAAGTCTTTGTTGTACTATTTATCGATTACCATTCGACTAATGTGTACATGGACTATCTCCCATTCTTATTTACACCAAAATTGAGACGAGCGAGTCGAGAACGAATGCTTTAAGTATGGATAAGAAAGCTTAGCATGAGTTAAAAGTGGCACAGTTTTCCTCATAATTCTACTCACAACTCTGATATTGGCTTTGGGTAAAAAATTTGTGTTCAGACTAACCCAAAATCGAAGATGTCTTACATAATTTCTATGGACTTGCAAGAAAAGCATTTGCCCGCATTCATCAAAAGTACCGTAAACTGACTCTACAAGAGATCAAAGTTGTTCTTCTTGAAATTGTTTCGAACAAATACTAAACCATTCTTAAAGAAAGCAGATAGACGAGAGAATAAAAGGAAAAAAGGTTTTATCAAGGTTTTCCGAGTCTAAACCTGATTTCGGAAGCCTAACTATGGCTTGGTGACTCCAACATTTTAACTTCCAGTAACCCCTGCAAGGGATCTGGAAAGGAACATTAAGCCGACGTTCCTCATTGCCCTACTGAAAGCGACTTTTTTTTAGACATGGACATGAACTTTTTATTCTCGTGGACATCTTTCTTTTGTTGGGACAGTAATTGATCTAATCTTCTAAGGCAAGTAAGTCAGAGCGAGTAAGGCGTGCATTCGATTGGATGTATCTGCAATATAAACGTTTGGAATGTTGTGATATGTCGAGATAGATGCCTGTTCCCATACGCTTTACACCCGATGGAACGAGTTACAGTTTTTTCACGCGTGGTATACAACTTACCTCCACCGCACTTTGTGTAAAAATAAATTAACCCGTAAGCGGCTGAAAGTTACGGCTGCATCGCATGGAAAGACTGAAAGATAAGTAAATGAATTCATTCATTACAGAAACCTGACGTCATCGGGCACCTAGAACTTGCAAAGCAAAAGTTAGTCATAAGACGTTCACATCGTCCCCGAAATGTCCAGTCTTTTGAACGGTCTTCTGTACTTGATAAAATGAGAAAAAGTATACTTGTGGAACTGATAAGGAAAAATGGATAAGAAGGAGCAAGCATTTCAAGCATTTCTCCGTCTTATAGGCTTTTTATATAAAGTATTTGCTTTGATTCGATTTCTTTGCTACGTCATTGAATTGTTCGGTTTCGCTGTAAATTGCCTGCAGGTGCTGCGACCGGGCTTGACTTATGCCAAAACAAATAAAAACACTATAGTTCAATACCCTACATCATCTATAAATCCACTTTTAAAGATAAGACATTATATAGGAGACGGCCGAAAAAGTGATCCAATCTGAACTATTTTCAATCGCATTCATCTTTGACACCAAAAATATATGGGTGCACCGAATTTCATCGGGATGTCTCAAAACTAGCGGCCTGTTTAACAGGAAAACAAGACAGACAGGCGACAGGGGCACAGGGGGACAGGCAAACTCAGGTTTATAGAAAAGGTGGATCTATCTAAAGTCCTTCTGCGTGTTGCATTTACCCGCACCAACTTGCACCACAAGTAGTCCTGATGGACCGATGGCAGAGGGAAATGCCAAGAGAAACCATAATGGGTGTTATGGACATAAACTGCAAAGAAGCACACAAGCAAATGAAAAGAAGCTTTTTTTAAATGGAGACCTTTCCCCTTTGAAACACCACTGGGCATACGCCCATCACAAATATTGCGATATTGAAATTATTTTCAGACTTCTCTAATTTTCCAATTGGCTCTTATCCTTCAATCTTGCTTTCTTGCAAGGAACACAATTTTTCATTTTCACAATCAGAAACTAATATTACAACGTCAGAGCAACAAGAAGAAGGAACAAGACAAAGTTAAACGTATCATCTGGTCGTAGCCGCAGCGATAACATTAACAACAACAAAAACAAAAACAACAACAACAACAACAATAACACGTCAATTGAAATTTTGATGTTTATGTGCTGTTGGACACACGAGCTGAACGCACAATGCACAACGCACAACGAAACATCATCAATAAATGGAATGATGCAGTATTTGTTTTTGCTTTACTAACCAATATTATTACCGTTGTTTTCTTTTTTGAATTAATGGTACGTGTGGTGTGGCACACATTTAACTGGCAATTGTACTAAGAGGAGTACACAAGTATGTATGCATGAAATGTTATGCTTTTCAATGTTAACTAACAATTGGAATTGTAGAGTATGATCACAACGATGATGTTGATGATGATAATGACGATGGTTATGACTATGACTTTTTTATATCGAAGTTCAAAGGAGTCTTCGGTTTATAATTTATTTGTAAATGTGCAAAAAAAAAAAAAACAAAACAGAATAATAATAAAAAGTGTGTTACGCCCACTTGGGCATCCCAATTAAAAATTAAGTTGTTGAAAAGAAATTTAACATACATACACATATAAATACGTATATATGCGCGCGCGCTCACACAGTTGCCGCGCCAGACGCCAGCCATGAAGCAAAGAAATTTAACTACTTTCGCTTGTTTAAATAACATTTAATAGAAATTCTTAAGATGCCCTCCCCGCCCCCAACCCTTTCCCCTATTCCCTCCTTCCCCCTTTCTCACTCACCAAACTCCGGCACGCAGTAGTTTCATTAAAAATTAATTCTTAAAATTTTTATATAAAATTTTTCAATTAATTTCAATACAAACGTACGAGCTTCCAACCTTTAAGGAATACAACCTCCGTCTTACAAATTTATGGCTCAATTGTTTAGCTACCCATGGTGAAGAGAGTAAGAAACAGCAGCAAATTTATAATCAATACAAAAAAATAAAAAAAAAAACAAAAAAAAAAGATATAAATATCCTAAGAAATGTGAAACACAAACACCCAGGTGATTATTTCAATTTAGACCTGGTGATGATTTATTTCAACACCGTTAAATAAAAAAATGCAACACAAAAGGAAAAATTCTTTCTTTTTTTTTCATTTATCTTAGGGCTTATCTTAGCCTTTATGTTCACCACATAAAAAAGCAACGTAATGATTAAGCAAATGCCAAAAGGTATGCTATGGTTTTGCGTACATTTTAACTATTTAAGCCAAGTTATTTCAAGAACAAGTAAAATTGTGATCTAAACTCACATTAATTACACCCTGCGCCACAGGTTAGTGGGACAGACCAGAAAAACTTAAGATAGACCCGCCTTTAATATATCGCTTGATTCGGATCTTCTGAAGCGATCTAAACTTGTCTGTCCGTATACTCGTATATTATTTTGTTCAAGCTACAAGCAATTTTTGAGATATTGTAACGAAATTTGGTACACTGACATGCTTTGGCCCAAGGATGAACGCTATTCAAAATGGTTCGGATCAGTTCACTTTTTCGACCACTTGCATTTCGCTTTTCAAAATTTTTCAAGAAAACTCGCTATATAATAGAGGTTCGGCATTCTAAACTGGTATGCAAAATTTAGCTCGGCTGGAACAATTTTTTGAACTCTCTCTCCTATAACCTTTATATGGTAAAACGGTTTAATTTCCAATATTTCACGTTGTCAATTATGTCATAAATGTGTGTATGTGTAAATTAACAAAGAAATCAATCTCGTCGAATTTGGAGTATGTAGGTCCATTTTTTTATGCATCAGTAGGTAGTATGCTTAGGAGATGTAAACCCTTATATGCCAAAAAAAGGCCTATCGATAGTATTTCATGATGAAAATTGGTTTATGATAGTAATTTGGCGTAAAAATTGAATAGATCATATTTGAACGTCATTGGTTTATTTCTTTGACCCCACATCAGAATATAGAATTTTTCATGAGCCCTTCAGGGAAACACTTAACTTTAATATTTTATAATAAAAATTGGCCCACGATAGCAATGTAGCAAGAAAACTTAAGTCTAATTTGTAACTTTTTATTACGTGAAAATGAAAAATAATAAAATGGAATGCGTCACGTGCTGTTTCGGGCGTCCTTCCATATGCGGGCTTTCATAAAATAGATGCCCTTGCAAGATGATAATGTGTAAATTTTGGTGTATTGCTAACAAAATCAGTGAATAACTGTATTAGTCAAAGTGTTGCAAAATATCTTATATCTTAGATCGATTTAGCAGGTGATTCCAAATCGATCGGTGCAATAAATGTTGGATATATCTCAGGTCCAAAAAATGTCAGTATATCTAATTTGATCAAAACATCTCAAAGATTGTGACGCGTAGATTGAATACAGGGATGCATAAATAAGCATCAGACGAACAGCAAAGCCTAGATTCTGAATTGATTGGTATATCTCAGGTTAGTACGAGCTATACTATAAATAGCATAATAATAATAAAGTTGAAAGATCAGAATCTTTTTAAAATGAAAGTATCGTTCATGCTCCTTCTAAACCTTTGACATTCTTTTTTTCCAACGTCGCCCTCTATAGGGGTTGAAGCTGTTATGGCCATAAGGAAGCACAGAAGGAGAGATAGCAATCTGGGAGGCTTACGCTCGTAACTGTTATGCATTTATCGACCAAGTATTCAGTGTAGCTACGACCGCTCACCAATTGTAATGGTCTCTAGAGCATTCGGTATTTTGAATACGGTCATGCCACTTGACCATGCAGTAGTCTATGAAAAATTATCTTCTTTATCGTCTTCTCTAACTTTATTAATCTTTTTTCATATATTTTCCTTTACAGTCCGACATTGTACATCAGTCCGTTTACGAGCTGGTGCATTCAGAGGATCGCGAAGAGTTGCAACGTCAGCTTCTATGGAATTCATTTTTACCTGCGGATATGTCTAGTATGCAATTATCGGAAACATTAGCTCCCGATAAAATCATTTATTTAGAACGTAGTTTCACGGTGCGCTTTCGTTGCCTTTTGGATAATACCTCCGGTTTTTTACGACTCGATATACGAGGACGCATTAAGATACTACATGGACAAAATCGCAAAACTGAAGAACCTCCCTTAGCGTTATTTGCTTACTGTACGCCGTTTGGTCCGCCCAGTTTATTAGAAATACCGCATAAAGAGAATATGTTTAAATCGAAACATAAATTGGATTTTTCTTTAGTTTCAATGGATCAGAGGTAAGCGAGTGAAAACATAGCTATGAACAATGATAAGATTAATACGCTGTGCTTGCAGAGGCAAGCATGTTTTGGGTTATTCTGATGCAGAGCTTATTAACATGGGCGGCTATGATTTGGTGCATTATGATGACCTAGCCTATGTGGCCAGCGCCCATCAAGAACGTAGGTATCTCGAGGAATTCGTTTTTGTTTTTTTTTTTGTTAATTTGGAAAAGAAGTCACTTTGGAATTTTTATTTTCTTACAGTTCTAAAAACGGGTGCTTCCGGGATGATTGCTTACCGTTATCAAAAGAAAGATGGTGGTTGGCAATGGCTTCAGACGAGGTAAGTTTTATAAATGACAAAAAATAATTGCTGGGATAATCACTTAAGGTTGTTTTTACGCATACAGTTCCCGCTTAGTTTACAAAAATTCCAAACCCGACTTTGTGATCTGTACTCATCGTCAGTTAATGGATGAAGAAGGCTTTGATTTGTTGGGCAAACGGACCATGGATTTCAAAGTAAGTTATTTAGATACGGGACTAGCCTCAACCTATTTTTCGGAAGCGGATCAATTAGTAGTGCCACCAAGTGGGTCTCCGAACTCTCTACCACCTCCAGTAACTCCTACTCGACCAAATCGGCGATACAAGACGCAATTGCGAGATTTCTTATCAACATGTCGCTCCAAACGTAAAATGCAACAACAAACCCAGCAAACTTCCCCGTTAAGCCAGGTTAGGCAATCTTACAGAAACTCAAAAGACACTCAGTATGTGATGTGAATGCTATTGTTATTTCAGGTAACTTCGCCTGCGCCGGTTGTAGAGTATCTACCCGATCCTGCTGTGGCTGTTGCAGCTGCCTACTCTAATTTAAATCCTATGTATACAACCTCACCGTATGCCACTGCTGCGGATAATATTTATATGGGCTCCTCAGTGCATTCTAGCAACTTTTATCCTGTCACAGAAAATCTTTTTCATCAATATCGTTTACAAGGTGTAGGTGGCTACTACGCCGACTATCACCATTCCGGGGCACCAGCTCCAACATATGTAACAAACGGTTTCCTTTCCTACGATGGTTATGCTATCACTTCCAAAGATGAAAAATGGCAAGATACCGGGAAGTACTACAGCGGCTATAGTAGCGGTTACGGAAGTCCCACTTCCACAACGCAAGTAAGTAAATAGGACGATTCCAGTGTTTAACAAAAGGAATAAAAATTAATGAGCATCGTTTCTAGCAAGTTCCTTTAAAAACACCAAAGACCTCTCCTCATGTCATGGAAGTTGTGTCTTGCTCTTCAAATGGCCCTTCACCAGTGGCAAGTGGTGGAGGAGGAGCGTCAGCTTCAGCTAATGGTGGTGTTGTAACACCTAAAGTTGAGATATCCAATCAAGATCCTTATGAACGCCAAACCGTCCTTATGTGGGGCTCTCAATCGAGTGGAGTGCCCATCAATAGTCTGAACACAACAACATCATTAGCTCAACGTCATATTTCGAATAGTTTAGAGCGTTCCCCTCAAAATACCCCATTAACCAATGGCCTTAGCTATTCAACTAGCGGTGATAGTGAAGTGACAACAAAGTGGAATGGCGTTACACCGGCCAAGGATGCAAAAACGTCATCGACGCCCGAGAATTATCAACTACATCATGATGACTCGGGCTTGTATTCTTCATCCTCGCATACAACTTCACCTCAGCACAGACTGAATAGTAGCAGTAATACCACACTGGCTCATAATACGGTGGCTGATAGTTTAAATAATACTTCAACAAATGCACCGCGTAATAGTCATACATCGGCAACAGCACAAGCAACTCTAGTGGCCACGGCTACTACAAATAGTACACCATTGCAACATAATAGCGATAACAGTAGCAGCACTCTGGTCATATCAGGAGCACATCAGGCCCACAATAATTTGCAACAACAATTGACAACTTCGTCACACCATCACCACCATCAGCCACAACAATCGTCACCCCATCAAAATCATCATCACAGTCAACAACAGCATCATCATGCCCATCATGCTTCTGCACATACATCACCACATCATCATCATCATCATCATCATCATGCACATCATCATGGTCACGGGCCGTGGAGAAATACACCGTGTAATCGTTGTTTTCATCATCACAGCGCACACACTACTACGGCACCAAATGGCACTGAGGTATGGAGTCCAGCTGCCACATACGCAACACAATACGCATCGCAATATTTCTCCTATCACCATCACCATGCTGCCACCACTTCTTGTACCACAGCAACGGCACCACCATTGCAACCACCACCAGCACAACCACCGCACATTAGTAGCAGCACACAGTAGTCATTCGTGTAACAAGTTAAATTAGATATCGGGTGTGTAGCAAAGAGATTTTGTTATCAAAGTCCTTTTCAGGGTTTCTTTAATGGTTTCAATATTATTCTGTGATAAAATGGTAAACGGTTTTTCTCCTACATATTAAACTATAACTTTCATTGGGTAATCTCACAAGCGCCTGCGTTTCGCTACATTTTCTCGATTCCTCGGGCAGCTTTAAAGCGATGCACTTTATAGAAGCGAACTTATCACATAGAAGAAGTTCCCTGATATTGCAATGCTTTCTCACTTTTCCATCGTCAGGGGAAGAACTGAGAAATGCTACCTATTCTGTCTTCTGTGTAAGAAGGTCAGTTCATCAAAGAAAAACCAAACTTTGCTCTTCTTTACACATAATGCCTTTTCCGAGTACACAAGCCGTACATGTCAGATGTAAACACCACACTGCACTTCTTTAGGTCTCAACAGACTCAGCAAAATTTGTTATAACGAAAATTTGGCAGCGGACTGAATAAGACGAGGCAATAGAAACAACAAAATTTGAAACATCCTTTCCCAATAAAAATTTCATTTGATAGCACTTCCCTTCTTATAACCTCTATGCTTTCGATGTCATTGACAATAATGTCCGGTAGTAGTTGCCTACGTAATGCAAGCATTATTCAATCAATATATTCGCGTACCGTAGTGCTTACCGTACCGAACGAATTGCTCGGCCTTTCAATTAGTGGCCATGCGGCCTTTCATCCGACGATCTGGTTTTATTCATATATGCTTTTAATCTTTTACACTTTTCTGTGCCTTTCACTTACTCTTTCTGTCTCTTTTTTCTTTTTTATGCTTTTTTTTATCATAATTTACTTTTAAAACACTGTAATACACTTGAAAAAAAAAACACACACACAAAGCACAAGATCTTGAAAAAAATAAGAAAAACTTAAAATTAAACATTATCACGCAACTAATTTTTTGAAAAACGTCTCTTTCCTCCATATATCGAATAAAACGAAAAATAAATCACAACAGATTATGCTCAGTCAGGAACAACAACACCAGCAACAAGAACAACAACAAGAACACATACTGCAATTAAGTACATATGATCAGACCGGCTTGCAGCCCCTAACCTCATTGGTTACACGTGGTGGTGGCTGCACGAACGCGACAGGAACTGTTACGGCAATAACGGCAACAGCATCCATTGATTCAGTCTCACCCTCATGTACATCACCCATTATGCCAACAATACAACAGCTGCCTGCCATAGGAAATGTAATAAACGGTTTAAATAGCGCAGCGACAAGGGGAAGTAGTCATCATCATCATTTATCAAATGGCAACACCAGTCCTTATCATCAATTGGCAATAATAGCATCACCCATTGTTATTACAACTTCAGCGACCGTGGAAACTGACGAACTCACTCCCAATGGCGCCGGAGGAGTGGCTTTACAAACACTCACCACCGGCAATACGCATCTAAGTGGAGGTAGTAGTCTAGCTTTGCATAACAGTACTGGTGGCATTGGAGCCAGTTTTAAAACAACACGCAATAGTTTAATGCATCCCTCAGCATTAACTTATGCTACAAATGCTTACGTCATCGGTGGTGCTGGCAGCATTTCTGCTACCAGTGGCCAATGCACTTCATTAAGCGGTTTCGATCAAACTGCAATAGACGGCAGTCCATTACTAACCTTTTCAGAGGTAACAAACACTTTACTTAATCAATAGATCCCGAATTAAGTTAAAAAGCAAAAAAAAAAAAAAAAAAAAACATTTTCTATTAAAAATTGTATAAGATATTTACAAGCAATATTAGGCACAAAGTAATTGAAATAGAGAATATGATAATGACGCGATTTTTTCAATATGCAACTAATGCTATAAGAAGGGATTTAATTAAATTTTTATAAAAAAGTTTTTAATTACACTTAAAAAATATCTTGGCCAATATTATATGATAGCAAAGAGAATGCATTAAAATAAGAAAGACGTTATAAATTCGCTTAGAACCAACTTTTTAAATATCCACAACCAGTTTACATAAGATATTTGAGGGCAAAAGAAACAAAATGAAGGCATTCCTCTCTGCAAGCATCGTACATAGTTCTTCATATCGTATATATTTCATAATTTTATATGATTTGGCAACACTTTTTAGGCAATGGTAAAAATTAAAAAGAATGTTTATATGTTTGGCATAATAGATTTATGCGGGCGTCGGTTTTTGAACACGATAGACAGATTTTAATTGGAACTTAATGCTATAAGTTAAAAGCTGTAAAGGTGTGAGTTCTTGACTGAAACGTTTAAAAACCAATTCCATGCAATTCCATGTCATAACTTTACTGATACGTGCTTTAGGCGTAAAGCATATACACCTGAATTCCGCAGTTAGTTACTCTGTCAAATTACCAAATTCGTAGTGCAAATACATTCAAACATTGGGTAACCCATGAATAAGTGGAGAAAATTTTAAAGGAATATCTTGAAAGTCCGTAAATACGAGTCCTGGATGGATATGAAACCGGCCACACTAAACGGTGAAAACTATGCCAGCGTTATGAGCCGCATCTATGTCAAATATGTTGTGTTATATCACCTGATGACACAAAGCCCGAAGAAAGGTTTCTAATTTTGAAAAGTTCATTTGAAAGTGATCATGTAGCAGAAAGCTTGTTTAGGTAGGAATGAGATATAATTGTGAAATGTTTCTACCTGCTTCCGTAGGAGAAGTGCTTATAAATTTTCCATTCTTCGCGACACCTATACTAATGACGTTAAGGATGTGTCATCAACACAAAAAACTAACTCAATTTGTTTGTCCGTCCATCCGTCCACTTGTCGGTAAACTTTGAATAAGTAAAGAAGAGGAGAATAAGATGAAGGAGATATCCACATAACATTCAGAGCAATTTACACGATGTCCCTTTATCGGTCCGTCTATGCGTCGTCTATTTGGAAAGTACTCATCAGTGACCTAAATCAATAGTATCATGCAACTATCTCCGCAAGGTTTTCAGACTATTTATCCTAATAACACGCAAGAGTAGCCTAGAACGTCAAGTTAGTGTTCGTAGGCTTAAGATTCAAAAGCGGTAAAGTTGACTTTTGTTGTAGCTATACTGAGCGATTAATCAAAAGCATAATATTTACCGACTGGAGACATACCCACTAAAATGCTATCATCACCTCTCTATTTCGTCTTTTTTCCTCACTCTCATTCTCACTATAACCGTGTTAGACGCATAAAGACGAACATGTGGATATCGGTATTCATAATATTGAAGAATATAATGGAGATCAACGATGCTCATGAAATTAATCGAATACATTACCGATAACGGATAACGAAATTTAACAAATCTAATCCTCCTGTAAAAAAATTTATGGATCTATCAAAGCAAAGACAGAAGCCTTAACTTATAATAGAGGTACAGCGAAGGTTACCGAACAATTAAGCTCCTAATTACATGAAACTGTACAATCATGGACTTAAAAGTAAAAAAGAAAGTCTTAAATATTCTTCAAATTTCCAAATCGGTCTAAATAGATTTTTTGATTATTACAGTCGTCCACTAATCTATCTGCAACTTTCTTTGCTTCACCGTATTCACATTTCTTCTTCATCTTCTAGCTGTTCTTTGAGAGCTCAAAACAATAGTCGTCTTTAAACGCGGATTAAAATCTCCAGTGCGTAGCTTAGTCGATAAAGGCATATCGATTGATTAAACACCCACTAGGCTGTGGCCACCAAGTCTGTATTTATTTTTCTTTTGTCACTTCTTTCAGACCGTCACCGTGTTGCACCAATAGAGGACGCCCCCTGAATGATTAGTCGCATTAAAAAAATAACTAACAAGTCAATGTTCTTGGGTTCGATTCTCAGTCGGGTAGAGTTCACTTCGGTCGTAGCTGTATTGAATGCACACACCTCTTGCTGTTTCTTCCACACTTCACCATGTTACACGAGTAGGACACATACACTGAATGATTGGTCCATTGTTACAGAATCGCGAGTTATTTTAGACTAAAAATTCCCTATAGTTTCTTTTTTGATTTTCTAAGACTACACCTTGGTCGTTGTTATACTGAGTGCGCACAACTCTTTTTGTTTTTTCCTCACTACACCATGTTACACGAGTAGGGGACAGACCCTGAATGATTGATCCATATTTATTAAAACGTATTTATTAAAAGAAGGAAGAAAATCGCTAAAGAATTATTTTAATCTAAAAATTCCTTCGAATTTTTTTTCTCATTTCCTAAGAAATACTTCTTCTGTCTAGACTAACAGCTCAATGATGGTGGGTTCAAATCTCAAATGCGGCACAGTTTTCAATAAAGCCAATAGTCTTAGGTGTTAGAAGGGAATTTTAGATTATGTTAATCTCTTGCGAAATTACATTTACTTTCCTTCGAAGGAACACTTTCCTTTATTGGTATAGTTATCAGTGTTTTTTTTTAAATTTATATTTATTTAATTGATGTTCAATGCAACTCTGTTATCTTTTTATGGTCTTAGTCTTTGCTTTACAATGCTAATACTAATCACATACTTTCTTCAGATTTTTCATATAAAGTTTTTTGAATTTACAAAAAAAAAAAAAAAAAAAAAAATATATAAAAAAGAAAAAATAAAACATTTTTGCCAAATTATGGACTATCGTACTCTTCCATAAGTATATGCACCGATTAAAAATGTAATCTATTTTCAAGTCAACTGCAAAAATTTATTATAAAAACTTCATATCAAATGCCACCATCTTTGAATTTACCCCAAAATATAAAAAAAATAAATAAATAAATAAATAAATGCTAACCAGAGTTTCAGTAGAATATACATTTAAAAAGAATTTTTTTTTTTTGTGTATAATAATATAAATTGTAAATAAGTGTAAAAAAAAATAAAAACAAATTTTTCAATAATTTATTATTTTTTCTGTGATAAAAATAAAAATAAAAAATTTCTCCCATATAGCTAAAACGAATCAGCTCAAATTGTAAATAAATACTAAAAAAAAGAAAAAGCATAACATAACAAGCACAAATCATACCGTAACAGTATGCAACAATAGTTTTCAACCAAAGATTTATAATTAATTAAAAAAAAAAAAAACAATTAATACAAAGAAAAATTTCTTAAAGAACACATCAATTACCTAAAATTATTGTAAAGAGAGCATAACATAAAATTTTTGATGTTTTCCAAAAACAAAACAAAAAAAAAAATTTATATTCGTTTTAAATCGAATTTTTAATATCCTTCACCAGCAAGCTGTGTACAATGGCTGATTACGGAATGGAACACGATTCTTATATTTGGTCTATCTTATCATATATTTTCTCGTATCTGTTGTACGTAGGTATCTCAAATTAGATTTTTATACAATTTAGCAGCACTTTATAAATGGCTGCACTGAGGTAATTGTTGAAACTAAAAATCATATTTACATACACCTAACTCTTTTTTTTACACGGAGATATGTTCCTTAGAAAATCGTCTAATCGTATGGCTGGATGTATTCCGCTTTGAGGATTGAACTTTTGATTTGATTAAAAAAAAGGAATATATGTAAAACTGTAGATTAAAAACTTTTAAGTTCTAAGGCTTGTTAAACAAGCTTATCGATTTCTAGTCTTGCTTGTCCGACGTGTCCGTTCAACCGACTCCGCTGTTCAAGCCGATCAAGTATGCAAATGCCTTAGGTAGTACACAAATATCTGGCATAGGTGTTGGAAAGAAGATAAATACAAACTTAAAACAACCAAAAGAAAAGCAATGTAGCGGGCCACGCCCCACTGATAAATACCCCACACCACCCTAGAGTCCGCCTCTGAGACGAAACATATCAGTCTGTTAAATTTCATCGAAATATCTGAAAAATTCCGGGCTATAGGTTGAACAGAAGAAAATATGACGAACCGATGGACAGACGGACAGACAAGCTTAAAATCACTTTCCGAATGGATGAATCTAATAAAAGAAGAATCTATGTCAAGTCTTTTTGAGTATTGCATACATCCGCTTAAAAAGCTAACTTACCTCCGTTTTAGAAGTGATGTAGGGTGTTAAAAATTCTTATCTATTTTTTTCTTGTCTCTTAAACTTGATTTTTTCACGTCTTAGAATTTTTAAATAAAACAGCTTTCCACATGATTTATTGGTGGAATATAAAACGGCCAGACGGACAGGCAACCTTATCCGCAAACCGATTCCGAAAGTGATATAACAAAAGATGGGTATTTGGGTATTTTGGGTATACATCCGCACAGACTTAATACGCTTTTGTAACGCATGTGGTGCAGGGTATAAGGAAGAAAAAAAAAATTTTTCAAAAATTTTCTTATAAAAATAAATAAATTTTTTTCGAAAAAAAAACTATTAGTTATGCCTTTTCACTTTTAGGTAAAAATATAGAAAGATAAAAATGATTATGTAAAAAGAAATTTTAAACTTAAGGTTGTTGCTCCAAATATAAATTACAATCAAAAGAAATAAAAAAAAAGCAATTTATTCCTTATTTTTTTAATATTAATATAAATAAATAATACTTAGCAATATTTATGGTGAAAACAAAACTTATATGATTCCTATAAATTTTATTATTATTATTATAATCTTTATTTTCGTTTTTTTTTTTTTTTTTTTTAAATCGTGAACTTTTAGTTAATAAAATCTATTTTAAAAAATAATTTTTTCTTAATAAATATTAAATATTTTTTCTAGTCGCTAATTTAATAGAAATTTGATTTTAAATATTTAAAAAATATATATATTGGTTTTAAAATAAAATTGAACAAAAAAAAAAAGAAAATGATTTTTATACAAAAAAAAAAAAAAATTAGAAAAAAGATAACTTCGTACGCTGAAACTAGACTTTAAAGATTTCTCCTACTTTATAATATCCGAGTTTCTTAAGAAGAATCTTGTCATTGGATAAGTTACATCCACATGGGGTCGTGGATTATGACAATAGCGCTTCTAACGGCTATGTTCGCTTATTCCCGAAATCAATCTGATATGCCATTGGTCGTCAGAATACCTAGAAATGAAGACTAACCCGGATAAGGTTAGAAAAAATTCAATATTTTTACAGAAATCTCCCTGCAATTTGACAGAAATCGAGTCGAAAAAAGCTTGACCCCTTGCCCAGATCTATGCTATATTCGACCGTGACACTTAAGGTTATAAACCAAAGAAACAAGTTGAAAAATTGCAGGCTGACTTTACACCCTACAAGAACTCACATTCTACCCTGCACCGCTTTAACATCCAAGAACTATGTTTTGCTGTTCTATTTTTATAGGCTGAGTTTTTATGGAAGCACTTGAACGGAGTGAAAAAGCTCACCTATTATGGTGTACGAAGTGGGGGCCACTATCCACCCTAAAACCTTAAAAAGACAATGTTTATCACAGAATACTTTTTCCAGGAATGGTCATTAGTCCGTCAGCTACAACTTTCCGCATTCATTTAACATGTCCAAATAACATTAGCCGCCGATTATTTTCGCGAGGTTTCGAAATTTGCGAATTTTTTTCATATAATAACTTTTTCAGAGCGGTCGTCAAAATGATCCAATCAAGTCCACTGTTAAAAGCATGTACCCTTGGGCCGAAACACTTTACGTCAAAATGTCGCAAAAATTTACGAAATGTCCAAATGTGTGAACGCAAAAACAAACGGAGAGCCATCAGACATACAGGCAAAATTGAATCAATTCAGCAAACGGTTCGATATAATTAAAGATGCTGGGGCTATATTAAGACCTTTTGGGTATCACATACATCCACATAAGTCCAATGTCATATCTTTTATCCTTTGTCGTTCAAGTAGTTAGAAAAAAAATTTTTTGTCAATTGTTATATAAGTTGTTATAGGGAACATCAGATTATTGTTCATTAAAAATTATGCCATGTATATAACATATCCATATCCATAAATAGTTATCTACCTATTCATTATCCCTTTTCCGTTTTTTTTTTATTCGTTAGCAGCCTTCACAATCGAAAATAAAGTATTTCAGTGTTAGTCTTTACCAGTTATTCGCCGTCTGCTTTTCCCTATCATTTATCCATTACACTCTTCCCTTTCACCCATTATCACTTAATTGCTATCCGCTATGATTCAGTCAGAATTTATTCATTATTACTGTTAACCAAATATTCAATGTCAGATTTTCGCTGTGATCTACGCGTTATACTTTCGCTGTCATTCGTTACTCATTAATTCGACGTTAAATTCCACGTTCACTTTTTTCCATCAATTATCTATTACACTTTATCCGTTATCCGTTATGCTTTAATTGTTATCCGTGAAGAATCCATAGTTTATTCGTTATCTCTCTCTACCAATTATTCAGGGTTGCATTTTCCCTATCTATTATCTATTATAATTTGTGCGTTATCCATTATTCATTTAACGTTATCCTCTATAATGATAAAGAGAGAGAGAGAGAGAGAGCCAAGTATAATAAATAAAAATATTGGTATTGATTATTTTCTTTGGCCTAACATTTTTAATATTGTATTTTGTTTTAAAAATAAACAGGTAAAAACACTATGCTCGACTGTGGTTGAATGTGAATTATATAGCCATTAGAAAATCTAAAAAGAAAAAACAACAACAACACTTCGATTTTTTTCACTATTCCGAAGGTATTGTAAGATCACCCATAGAGACGCATTTTCAGTTATGGTCTGTAAATATTGAGTGTGTTGAGTTGTTTTGTTTTTGAAAACAGACGGAGTCTGTGGACGTGTGCTTTTACCAATTTTAACCATTTTCGAAGCCAGCGTGGAGTTGAAGTGTTCATTTATGCAACAGGGAGACTGTTCAATGCGGATATTTCCAAGTCGGACAAATATCCTTTAACGAATTCAGAGTTTGATGTTGATCAAGATAAACTGTATATTATGTGATCTTTCTTCAAACAAGTGACAAGAGAAAATGAATATACCGTACACAGACGTTCTCTCTCACTAACACAATATAATAAATTTGGTACTCGATCAGAGTGATGCAATGTACTCAAGATAATATTTCTCTTCTCCTCGCTATATAGATGGCGTTCAGTAATGAATGAAAAATTGCTAATATTTTATGTAAATATTTATGGAAACACTTTTGAGATATTAACATAGTAATAAAAGCACTCGTTATAGATATGGGAAGAAAGAAGGCGTGAAGAAGAAAAGGAAAATTTTCTCACAGTCAACTGCAATATTAAAATTTTACCCCGGAGAACTAAATAAGAAGAATTTCTAGAAATGATGTCTCGGTTAACATAAGAGAAATATAACACTATTCCGTTAGCAGTCAGCGATAGCTAGGCTTCCAGGACGAACAGAAATTCTATTAAAAATTTTGTTTAATATGACGCCAAACTTTTTACAAAGCAAATGTTTACAAAGCAAGTGCGTGTTTTTAAGTTCACATACACTAGGGTGTACATATCAGCGCAAATGTACAGAACAAATCGAAAAATATAGTAACAAATGTAAAATAAATTCTCTTCGAAATAATTTCATACATAATTCATATCGAATAAATTGAAGTTTAAATTGTGGCCGATATACTATTTATTAATGGATATTGATTGACCTTTTAGAAACAGGTAAGAAAGTTACATTCTGCTGGGACCGACTGGCTTTGTCTTCGAGTTCGAGCAGGCACTACAGGACCGCCCATACAATATAACTAGAAATTTGTGACCATGTTAGTATATGCTATAGGGCGTTTGAGAGGCAAAAATTCTAAATTTTTTCTTTTGAAAACGGAGATGCTTATCTTGTGGTCTAGTCACTTCCCTTGGCCGATTTGGACGCTTTTCAATTTCATCTTAAGTGCATTGCCCGTTGAATACTCAAGTCAAATTTGAAGCTATTTTTTATGTTTTTGCAATTGGAAGATGTCGTAGAGAGGCGGACGGACAGACATACCCGCGTTATGATATCGGTTTGTATATTTTCTTGAGTAGGTTGATAAGGTAGGTTTGCTTACACAAGCGATTTTTAAAATGGAAAAATCTATTGAACATAAAATTTGGGTCAAATTTGGCCAATCACCCAAGCGATTTTCCCTATTTGTATAGCACGGCGATAGTCAAAGAGAAGCGGGGAAAAAGACATAGGATAGAGAGTGACCGCAGTTTAACACATGTGCTCTACCGCAGTTTAACACCAAGAAGCTCTATTGACTACACAGTTGCTATAACTACGACCAAGTATCCGGCTAAGTAGCCGAGTATGTAACGCGGTAGCGTTTCCGTTAATCGCAGCTATAGTGGATGCTCAACCGCTACAGGCATAACACTTCACGATTGGGTACACCCATTAGAATACTGCCATTACCTCCTTTTTGCAACTGTTACCTTGAACAGTGATATCCCCTGAATGATTGATCGTATTAAAAAAAACAGGTAAGAAAATTATATTCGGTGCTGATCGAATCTTTTATACCCACCCCCATGATTAAATTTTCATACTCTATAAAATTAACAAGTCATGACTTATTTTTTCCATTTTTCCTTTTCCGTCTTTGTATACATCACACCGAGAATGTATGTTCAAATCTTTGTAGATTTATTTCTATGAGTAATAAGCAAGAAGCCACCTTTTCATTCCTTTTGAAAAACAGAGATCTTCTCACTTTACGTAGGACTGTAGGCGTGTCCTTCGACTGATTTCCACCATTTTCAATATCAAATTGCGCGCTAAAACTTCCAATGCTTCTTCCAAATTTGAAGCCGATACCTTTAAATGAATGCTGATGTTTGCAATAGACATTTTGCAGACGGACAGACGGACATGATCAAATTGCACTGAGATTCGAAAGGAACACCGACTTGATAGTTGGGATTCTTATCTCGTCGGCTATCCGGTAGCTCTTAATGTGGATAACCCTACTCTCTTACTGATCGATATAAAGAGAACAAAGCATTTTTCGTCTTAACGCGGGGACAAAAGCTTATAAATCCATCTAAAATTACGTGGAACATTTTGAATAGATAGGTTTAATATTTTCTTCGAAAAAAATTGTTATTATTATTTAATTTAAACTAAAAAGTATTATAAAATATAATTAGCATTAATTTTTGTCACTTTTCACTCAGCTTAATAGGAAAAATCAATAAAGTGATGTTAAATTTAAATAAAAAATAAAAAAAAATACAAATTAAAATTTTTACGAATTTGTTACATTTGGAAAGAAATTAGATCAGTCTTAAAGTGCAAACGAATGAGTTAAGAGTAAGAAAATAGAGAATAAACAGAAAAAAAAAAATATTTAATAAAAAATCGAAAAATGAATTCTTTTAAATCAACTGAGGATATTGTACAACGAGTAACGGGAAATTTCGGTAGATGGCAATTGCGTTCAATTATTTTAATATTTCTTTGTAAAATTCCTACAGCATGGTTTATGGCATGCATCATTTATACAGCTCCAACGGCTCAAAAAGGTGATTACTATTGCAGACCATCTCCACTGGAAATGTCAAGAAATTCTTCATGGATACGTGTTATTCAAACGCCATTAAGTGATACTCAACGTACCGATCGTGAATTTCATGTCGACGCTTGTCATATGTATGAGCATTCTTTACGTGAAAATTTCAAATTTACTCATGGCAAAAATTATACGAATCCATTTACCCGACCTCAAATCAATCAAACGCATTTCAATATAATACCTTGTGAGCATTTCGAACATAATAGTGATTACGAATCGCTAGTGACACAATTCGATTTGGTATGTTCGCGTGAACTTTTAGTATCGGTAACGCAATCATTTCATGCTCTAGGCGCTTTAATAGGCGGTCTAATAGCTATTACCGCTTTAAAGTAGTGAGTTTTAAAAAAGTGAATCAAGTGAATGTAAGCAGAAATTAAGCAAATAACTTATTTTTATATATTTTCTAGTATTAGTCCACGCTGTTTAATGCTTTATGGTATGTTGGGTCAAATTGTTTGCGGTAATTTAACCGGTCTGGTTTCAACATTTGCCCTCCACGTGTATTATCGTTGCTTAACATCGATGTTTTGTGTTTTTATGTATACCGCCGGTCAATATATTCGTAAGTTCTTTGAAAGTAATTATGAAAATTGACTCACATAATTTATCATATATAGGATTTCTCTTCATTCTAGACATTCTTTAATTTCAACATTGTAACTTAAGAAGAAATTTGGCTCCTTAGAAAACCCTATACATATATATCTATTCCCTCCATATATGTACATCTTTTTCTTTATACACATATATATATCTTATATATAAAGGCATTTATTAATCCGCTATCTGCATCTATTCACCATTAGCCCAAATAGAAATAACAATTGAATTATTACTGCTCGCATTGCCTTATAATAAAGTCACTCATTCGCCTGAGTGGCCGAGTAGACAAGACTCTCGACTAGCAACTCAGTGGTCCTTGATTCAAATCTCAAGTGTGGTAGAGTTTTTTTTAATAAAGCCGAAAGCCTTAGATGCGAGTGCTTTAAGACTTTAGTCTTAGAATTTATTCTCTGGCTAAATTAATAATAATAACAATAATAAGTAATAAAAGAGATGCAAAAACAAATAATAATATTATGGTGGGGCAAGGCCGATCATTATATACCTTACATCACAGGTCTTATTTTTGTATAAAATTACCGTTATGCGTCAATTTTCATCATCACATATCACAATTTCGACTTTTCTGCTCTACAACGGATCAGTTTTCGTAGGATCCAAGAAATAGGCCGAGACAGTCCAAATTTGGCAAATTTCATTTTTCTATGTGACATTACTATTATGATATAATTTTCACCATAAAGCATTGGAAATTATATCTTTTGTCGTATGAACTTCGGTTTTCGTTATATGAGAGGGGGGAGAGGAGGTTCAAAACTACTAATTAGATACGTTTGGTGAGAAACTTAGAAAATTGCAATTTTTTAGTCGAAAAAGTGGACCCATTGAAACTATTTTCAATGGCATCCTTCTTCGGGACTTAAGATGTGTCAAAAATTGCGACCTTTAGCTTGAACACAAATTTATATGGATAGACATCAGATGGCCAGACGGACAACGCAGGCTTAGATCAGATTATGATTCTGAATTGATCGGTATAATAAAAGGTGCGTCTATCTGAAGCTCTTTTGCATGTTACATCGTCCGCACAATTATTGCAAGATCCATACACGAAGACGTAGCAAGTCTGCAAATTTCAGACCTGTGTTAGCTACAGGCGAAATAGTTAATAGTATTAAGTTTATACAGATATTTAGAACTTCCAAAAGGGTTTAAGATATATCCAACTTTTATTACACAAGTGTACAAGTATAAAACGACAGACAGATGGGTAACATCACGTGTAGAGAGAGAATATGCATACATGTCTAAAGATTTGTACTTTCGTTTTTACTATTCCATAAATTGGATAACAGGGAAGTTAACTTACCATCGAGCTTTCTCTAACTTCCAAGATTGCTTTAGAATCATTTTCTAAACCGATATAGGCTTATCTGTCCCTCTGTCCGCCCATCCATCTTGTATGTTTGTATTGGATCAACCGATCAATTCAAAAAATGTTTTTGAATTGATATAAGCCAATCTGCCTGTCTGTCCAGCTGTCTGTCCATTCGTCTTATCTTCTTATTTTTCGCTTATAAGCCGCAAATTTTGAAATATTTTAATGAAATTACGTGCACTGACATGTTTCGACTCAAGGACGAACGTCAGAAGAAATGCCTCGGATCGAAACACTTTTCCACTTTTCGACTATGGTCCATATAAGTCCTTATTTTGAATGACTGTCTAATGGTGTAGGATATCTAGCGGTGAACAGTGGCCCATTAGCCTGTTTTTACTCCTTTAATACTCCCGTCTATTTTTAACATACTTGTGTATTTGTTTCACCAAATTGAGAGAGATGAGCATTTTTATTGATTGCAACTAGAATTTGCCGCAAAAATAATATTTGATTTATTTGTTCTTCGTGCTTGCAGTGTCCGATGTTACTGGCGGTAAAGCGAAAACGATTGTTATCACTTTATTTGAATTGTTTTGGTCAATTGGTTTGATATTATTACCGGGCATTTCAATATTTTTTGATAGTTGGAATCACTTGTATGTGGCCATATCATCGTCATTGGTTATATTAGTGCTTTTGCATAAGTAAGAAAACAATTTCTTCATATAATTAATAAAAATATTATTAAAAATTCATTTTTTTTATTCTTTTTAAGATGGATTTCTGACAGCCCCCGCTGGCTTTTACGGCAAAACAAAATTGAAAAAGCTCTGCAATTATTATTGGAATCGGCTGCATTCAATAATCGTGAAATTCCTTTAGATTTAGAAGCACAATTAAAAGCGTATAGTCATTGCCTACAACAAAATGCAAGACCGATAAAGTATTGGCATTTATGGACTAAAAAGGAGCTCCGCAAATATATTATAACCGTACATTGGGCTTGGGCGATTGCGACAATTTTATATAATGTCATGATTTTAATGATACGTTCTTTAGGCGTGAAGCATATACACGTGAATACCGCTTGTTTAGGTAGGATTGAAACATAATTGTGCAATATCTCTACCTACTTCCATAGGAAAAATCCTTATCACATTTTTCATTCTTACTATGACATTCGAAATATGTGCCATTGGCATCTGTACCATGGAGGTCAAGGATATGTCAACCAACACAAGAGTCTACGTCAATTTGGCAATTTATTTCTGTTTATTTGTCCGTCCGTGTGCCTACTTGTTGGTTGATTTTAAAGTACAATAAAGAAGAAGAGAACAAGATGAAAGGGATGTACTCATAACATTTTGACAGTGTCGCTCCATCGGTCCGATGCATACTTGGAAAGGGCGCATCGGAGGCATAAACCAATAGAATTAAGCAAATACCATCACAGCATCTTCAGGCTATTTGCTTTAATAATTCGCATGAGTAGCCTAAAAGGTAAGAATTGCGACTATCAAGTCAGCGTTCGTAGGTTTAAACCTGAAATGCCGTAGAGTTTTCTTCGGCCGTAGGTATAACGAGTGCGGCCACCCCTCCCCTTTCTCTTTTTCTTTCCTCATCTTTTCTGACGGCCCCAGTCAATGCCTCAATGCGTCCACGTCTCCATTAAGCAGATCTCAAACTCTCAAGGATTTGAAAATCGCTAAAATAAATCGAAACTTGTTACATATTCAGCCAATTAATAAGGACAAGTTAATTAGAATTAGGCAAATGGACTCAAACATGTCCTTAATATCGAAGCAATTACTTCCTTAATAAGTGAAGAGGGAACTAAAAGTAGAAGACTTCTTGGACATATCGACTTAAAATTTCGTACAAATATTTTCCATAGCGTTTTCGAAAAAAAACCGCTCGCGGTTATTAAAATAACTTTTAGGTCTACGCTTTAGATAGGCCTAACTCACAAGGTTAACCGGAACAAAACAACTTTTTTTTCTCAATTTTACAGGATTTTCGGAAATGCTGGGTGTATTTTTGGGCTTATACTTGATATTATACACTCGCCATCGTTGGCTATGGTCAGGTTATCTGGTCTTGACGTCAGGATTTATAACCTATTTTATTTGGCTGGTACCTTCTTCAAGTAAGATATCATATAAAAACATATTTCATTAAAATTATGTCACGACGCTCCCTCCCTCGTTACAATTATATCGCATAACTATAAGTATATCACATAATTATTGTTGTATTATAGTATCCTACAAAATCAGGTAAAAAATCTATAGTGGGGTACTACCAACCATTAAATACCCTGCACCACCCTACAATTATGCATCGAAGGACTTCTTAAAATGACCTGGGAAGTGATCCGATCCGAACAATTTTTAATGGCGTCCGCCCTCGAGTTAAAACGCGTCATTGCACACAATTTCATCAAAGTATTTCAATAATTGCGCACTATAGGTTGAACACAAGACAACAGGCCATACGGACGGACAGACAAAATTTGAACCACTTTCTGAATCGGTGGCTATAATAAAACGTGGATCTATTTGAAGTCCTTCTTGATGTTGCATATATCCGCATAACCTTAATATATTAAAAGTGGTTTAGGGTCGGATAAATTCAGTAAAACCGTTCATAAGCAATTTAACATAAGAATGCTCGAATTGCAAAAAACATTTAAACATTTCGGTCACGAGGACTTACCCCTCCCAGAATGGTCCGGCTAATTAATAGCTTGTATTTTACTCCGCATAAAAAAATGTGTCCGTCGACGAATCAAAACAAGTCATTATAACAAATTTTATCAAAATATTTCCAAAATTGCAGCCAATAGGTTGAACACAAGAAAAGAAGACAAACAAACGGAGGGACAGACAAGCTTAAATCGATTCAGAAGGTGATTCTGAATCCATCGATACAATAAAGAGTGCGTCTCAAGTCCTCCTGGGCGTTACATAAATCCACATAAACTTAATATAGCCTTGTACCACAAGTGAGGCAACGTATAACAAATATCATTGCAATCATATTATAATTCCTTTTCTTTCATTGTAGTAATGTCAATTATATCAGATAATTATATTTTCATATTATATTTTTCGACTTGTTTTTCTTTGTTTTCCAAGTTAAAGAAACGAGACGTGTTGGCTATGAAATGATATTCTGGATTATCTTAAAATTGGCAAATTCCGCATCTTTATCAGTTTTAACTACCTGCTCCGGGGAATTAGTACCATTGGAACAACGACCCATTCTTATGATATCCATATGTAGCTTCAGTCGTTTTTGTTTGATTTTTGCTCCCTTCATATCGATAACAACAAAAATTCACTTTCTTATACCCATTACGATTTTTGCTACGTTAGCACTCAGCAATGGTGTACTAATGTGTGTTATGAACATTAACTTTTGGAATGAACAACAAGCGAAAATACCAAAAATTCCTACACCCAACACCTATAGACGTAAATCATCGATGATTTTATTGCAACGTCAAAGTTCTGTTACGTCAGGAAAAAACTCCAACCATTCATCTGATGACATTAGCAATCATTTGACAATAAGTATTACGGACCTATGGCATTTAGATCAGTATTTTCAAAGTTTACAAGAAACAGAATCAAACTCAAGCGAAGACAATTCTATGAAAGTAATGCAAATGGAAAAATTTTAATAAAAAAAAAAAAAAAAAAAAAACGTAAATAAATGTTAAAATAATATAAGAAAATATTCAATATTTCTTAACCCATTGTACATTAAAAACTTACTCTGCAAAAATGTAATCATCGTTTAGCAGAGTCCAGCACCAGCACATACCGGAACAGAAAATGTTAACTAATAAAATATTTACGAATTCATCTCAAAATAAACACGTAAGAAAATGATATACATTTCCGAACGAATCTTTTATATCCATCACCCTTGTCCTATTCAAGATCGAAAGAAGGGAAAGATAAAAAATTGCTTACTCCGTTGCCTTGTAGCTTATGAATAACTTGGCTTATGCATGTTTGTGATGGCTTAGGGATTCATTCGTAATTTGATGTTGTACCGGTTGTGGGTGTGGCTCTATGCTAGTTGTGTACATGCCTTTTTTCTTTTTTTTTCCTTCTTATTTGTCTTATTATACTTACACTAACTTTTAATATTAATTAATTTAAGGTTTACTTTAAGAGTCAGTTGAACTCGACTGTCAATTTGTTTTAGTTGAGTTTCTTGTGTAAGTAGAATAAATAAATAAATAAATAACGAGCAAAAAATATGGAAAGCAAAGATGGTAACGGCTTCGGTTGTTTAGATGTGTGGACACTGCGAGTGTGTTTTTTGACCTGCTTGGACGATTTTCAAACTCTTTTGCAAATTTGTAGGCGAAAGTGTATCACAGATAAGATACAATTGGACATGGCTCTTCCGCACCTAACTAGCTAAAAATGCGGTTTTTGAACTTGCTTGCTACGCGTGATAAAGGATATTCCTTTTCGAGGCACTACAACATTGGGTAGGCGTGATTTCGATTTTTTTGCAGGTACCGCCTTTGACATATTGTCTGTCAGTTTAGTTATGCAGTATAGTGTACTATAAGCGACGTATAATAAAAAATAGTATATGCGGAATACATGCTATACCTTAGTATGTATATTATAGTATGCCATATAGAAAGGTGTAGTATATAAATAGTGTTTAGTATACTATGGCATATATATATATATATATATATGTATAGCATATATAATATAGTGTATATGTAGTATATATATATAATAAATTTGTACATATGTACTATATATACATTATTTGTTTTATAGTATATACTATTTACTATATACTATATGCTATATAAACTAACTACACGCTTCAATATAAGTCAATATAACCTATTATCGAACAGAAGGGGAAATGCATAAAAATAAAAATCTTATAATAACTCGTCCATACTCTCATCATCACAATAGTATTGCAATTGTCTTTAAAGGAAATTCTTTGTAAATCAATAACTTTTATAGGCTGTCAGTCAATGAAAACCGTAAACGGATGATTATAGTTTTTTCGCTAATGCCCTAGATAGTCCTTGTAAATTATAGGTGGACGAGAGAATTGAATTTAGAGATGTTTAATGTGTTCCCCAGAAGTCGAATGATGGATGCTGAGCTCGTTTGCAAGTGCAGCGTGGTTATCTATGGCTTACCCAACAACGTGGAACGGAAAACATCATTATCGCTCAGATCGGCAATCTTCTTTGAGATTGATATCTAACCTAAAGACCTAGAAAGGCCTTATAGCAAATTATAGGTCGGCGAGAGAAAGCTTTTCCACACTTTAGACGGAAAATTTCGATATATAGATGTATGAGGTGTTTCTCAGAAGTCGAATAACGTGCGTGGATGCTGAACTCCTTTGCAATTGCAGCACGGTTAGATATACGTTACCCTCTAACGTGGGCCGCAAAACATCATTATCGCGCAAACAGATCATCTTCTTCGAGACTAAAAGCTCCTGAAAAAAATGTAACAAATCAGCATTGACAGGTTCGAACATTTACAACTTCACTACCCAATGTGTTGCATACGTGTTCACAAGTACCCGATGCGTTGCTCCCTTTATCACCCTTATTCACTTTACACTTTGCAACTATCTGATGAGGAGTATTAAAAATAATCGTCTTGTATCCCCTCAAAAGTACGCTAAATAAGAAGACCCAACTTGATGATGTATTCTACCTGCTTGCATTGACCTGACGAATAAAATTTCCCGTAGACAGTACAACAGAACTTTTCCTCCAATCTCTTATAATAATTGTTGTAAAGATCTTCGGAATCCACTACCTCGAAACATTAGAATCCTACAGTGTTTTAATGAGTCAATTATTTCTTTCAATAGGAAATATTTTTGTACGCCATAAATGAATCAAAGCTAAAGGCATTTGGGGACGGATAAATGGCATCTCTTCGCTGAAGCCTTAGGTATTTAATATAATTTCTCAATAATTGTGAATTTTATTGTTAGTAAATCTTTCGAAGGGCCTTGATTGAGACAAATCTAAAAGACCTTAACACTAAACACTTAGCAACTTATTCTTATTATCCCAACAATGGTGACGGTAATCGTCAATGACTCTTACATAAAAATTTATGGTTAGCAAGTTTACAGAAGCTTAGGTATTTAAGATTAGAAAAACTTTTATGATAAACACTTTTAAATAGAATCAGTTAATCGCTTACAAACAAAAGTTAAGAAAAAAAAAAAGAAATAAAGATAAGTTAACCTCTTTGTAAAAATAATTCGTTACACATTGTGACGTTTCTTGTTTCGATAAAATTTAAACATATTTTTCTTATATATTAAATAAAATTTATTGAAACAAATATTTACTGTTTTTTCTTTTTTATTCACCAGAGTAGCCGAAGAAAAAAAATCTCAACTAGTAACTCAAAGGTCATGAGTTCGAATCTCGAGCACGGTAAAGTTTTTAAAAAAATAAAAGCGGGTAGCCTTAGATGCTAGAGCTTTAAGACTAAGACTTTGGACTTACCATTTATTTCTCTGACTAAATTAATAATAATAATAAGCTTGTGCCGACATATTTAGCACACCGATGGACTTGTGGGAGATCTCACTTCAGAAGAGCATGTAATCCCTATTTTGTCCCTCTCTCCGTTTGTGTTGTGTGTCCATATATGGACTTGAGACAGATCTCATCTTTTATTACACCAATCGATTTAGAAAATGATCTAAGCTTGTTTGTCCGTCTGTCCGTTTGCCTTGTGTGTTCATGTATGTTTGTTTCGAACAAAATCGTTGCAATTCTTGACATTTTTGAGATTTTTAAACTTGCAATATGTAATGCATTTCGGTCCAAGAACGAACGGTATTAAAAATAGATTAGATGGACCATTCCTTATATAACGCTTTATTTTGATAGATCGCTTTATTTCCGCGACAAATTGTTATGAAAACTTTGAATGGAGTCGTACGATTTTCGTCATTCCCACGGAAACTGAATCTTTAAATGTATTTTTTAGATTCCAATCCTAATTTTGCGGTTCTAAAACTATGCAAACAAAAAGCAAGACTTTATATGCCAAAAAGATGTAATGAAAATCGATCCTTAGTAAATTAACCGTAGGGAATTTGGTCGAAATCTTGGGGCTTTCATGGAGACAAACCCTTCTACGGCGAAAAAGATTAATTTGTGGTTTGTTGCGACGAAAGCAGAGGGCAAATAAGTTAAGTTTGCTAAATTTGGCTCATATCAGTTAACGTTTTCAGTGAGGGGTTTTAAGCATTTGTCGAAAAATGGTGTATAATTTTTGATGTGTCAGTAAGAAAATGAGTGAAGGCTATCTACTGATGAGACTTGTTCGCCCATAGCAGTCTGCCATTGTAGATCTTTTAAAATTCCCGGGACTAGTCCATTCCGTAGCATACTGTAGTACAGGTTGATAAGAGCCAATGTTACCATGTGTTAACCTTAAGCCATTATAAAGTTTTTTATCATATCATTCAAAAAGCCATGAACTTTTTCCGTTGCCGAGCTGAACTAAATTCTGCATTGTAATTGTAGTTTTTTTATCACTTATAATTATTTAGTATTATTTAATCTTAACGATAGTGTTTTCAAAATAATCAATTACTAATTAACAATAATTTAACAAAAGTTTCGTGCAAACCTTTCATTAGCGTGGCAGAGAGGGGGAGAGGAAGATATTAAGGTAGAGATTAGAAATAAATACCACCAGAAAATAATTATACACACTACAGTTTTTACGAGCTTGGAATAAGTAGCAAAGCGGCGTAAGATATCTAATGGTCGACCTTGCCAGACTATAAGATCCTTACATGTTTTCATACAAAGGTTCTCAAAATTAGACGTTATTTGAGGATTAATCGAAAAAGTGGACCGATCCGAACCATTTTCAATAGAGTTCGTCCTTGGAACAACGCATGTCAAGGTATCAAAATGTCTTAAAAATTGCATCCTGTAGGTTGAGCACACCAAAACAAAGACGGACAGGCGAGCTTAAATGGGATTAAAAAAAATGACTCTGACTGGAACGGTGTCATAGAAGGAGGGCCTATCTGAAGCTCTTCTGGGTGTCGCAGACATTCGCACAAACTTGATATGCCCACAGGTGGTGTATTCGCACAATTAGTCAGGAAAGAGTTCAATTTATTCCATCACTGCATAATACACCTATTAGCTAAAGGCTTTTTAACAGCTTTTACCACTCCTTTCTTCTCTCTTAACTTCATCTCATTCTCACATATATCTCAAGTTTTTATTAAACTAAGAGAATGTTACATACAAGGTCTCTGTACAAAATTAAGGAAAATGTTGAGAGAAAATAAGAGCAAAAGATTGTTGTAAAGAGTAGAAAAATTTAAGTAGAAAAAAAATAACATACCTTCCGAAAGGTTTTCTTCACTCGCAGGCACTCTCTTTACAGGCACTCGTATACACAAATGGTTTACTCTTATCTCACTTTACTGCCAATATTCATAATTTACTCGTTGACTCGTTGACAATTTTGTCTTAAGATTTATTTATCGACAGCACTTTGTGCGTTAAGAAGAGAAAGCGGAAGGCAACCGCACTTAGTTGTTGAATATACTAACGAGCGTTAAGTTTAAGTTGTTCGGCTCTTGTCTTGTAATTAAATAGTTGATCGTGTGTGCAAGTGAATGAAAAATGGCTTTCCTTAATGCCTTTTAAATTCGAATAAATCATTTTTCATTAATGAAACGAGACATAAAAATATATCGAATAATTGATTTGTTTTCAATTCAAACTGAAAGTATTTTATTCAAGAAAAATTAATAATAGCAAAGTGATGAAAAGCAAAAGGCCCAGCATATTAAATATTAAGAAGGAGAAGAAATGAAACCGACAAACTTTTTCAATATTTCAAGTTCTTGGCCTTTGGCAAGTGAATTACTTATGTATTTATTTATTTATTCATTTATTTATTTATTTAATTTAAGAAGGCTCACTTAAAGGAATGAATATCAAGTGTTTGCCTCTATTACGAAATACATAAACAAAGTATTTGTGAAGAAAGGAAAACAAACAACAAGTATTTTAAGAAAATTAAAAGAAAAAAAAAAGCAAAACAAAAAACTAAACGAACACATTATGCCGCTAATTTTTGGCAATATATCAAAAAGAAAAGCCTTTCAGTATTGACTTCTTCAACGAATTTATTACAAATTCTTATTTGATTTGAAAAACTATATTCATGTGTGTAAAGAACGTGAAATTCCATTGAAATTTGCTGAACTTATCAATTGATTGTAAATATCGTTTAGGCTTTTAATCGGTATAGAAATTTTTTCCTTTTTTTCCCAATCCGTTACTCTGCACACAGGAAGGTATGTTAGAAACGATAATAATGAACTTTCTTCCGTGAAAGACAATTCAGCAGTCTAATGAAGATAATCGCTCGATATGAAATCAGCAGAAATATAGAGAGAAAGACTTTTATCGACCGCGTGATATCTGCGAAAAAAGGATATAAAGGGGGATATAAGAAAATAAGAAAATGTTCTGTGAGATCCCTATACACATACACGCACACACACGTACACACGCCCACATAGGATAGAATGATCTGCATAGGATATGTAATGGAGAAACATAAGAAAAAGTGCTCGAAATCGAAGATCTATAGAAACTATGGACAAGGATATACGTACACACACAAGCACTAGTGGAATATAAAGATGTGGAAATGCGGAAGCATACGAAAAAATATTCGAAATGGAATATATATTGAACCTATATACAAGGATACACATACAGTCACACCCCTCCACATAGACGCATATACACTTGTGGAATAGAAAGATTTTAAAAGAAGCGCATACCGGTTGCGTACAATGTGAAGTGCGGAAACCTAAGAAAAAGTACTCCAAACGAAAGATGTACAGAACCTATAGAAAAGGATATACATACAGTCACACTGCTCAACATACACGCATACACACTAGTGGATAGAAAGATTTAAAAAAAAACGCGTACCGGTTACGTACAATGTGAAGTGCGGAAAACTAAGAAAAAGTACTCCAAACGAAAGATCTAAAGAACCTATAGAAAAGGATATACATACAGTTACACTCCTCAATATAGTCATATACAATGGAAAGATTTTAAAAGAAACGCTTACAGGTTACGTAGAATGTGAAGTGCGGAAACGTAAGAAAAAGTGCTCGAAATCGAAGATCTATAGAAACTATGGACAAGGATATACGTACACACAAGCACTAGTGGAATATTAAGAAGTGGAAATGCGGATGCATACGAAAAAATGTTCGAAATGGAATATATATTGAACCTATATACAAGAATACATATACAGTCACACCCCTCCACATACACATATACACACTAGTGGAATAGAAAGGTTTTAAAAGAAACGCTTGTAGGTTACGCAGAATGTGAAGTGCGGAAGCATACGAAAAAGTGCTTGAAATGCAATATATATTGAATGTATATTGCTTGTAAGCTATTGAATGACCAATTGCAGAAATTAAGCTTTGCGAACACAGTTCGGAACAAGGTTCTATTCGAGTTGTTTGCTTGAAGTTGTACAACATTCGAATGTCTGCGCAATCCATGCAGCGATATAAACGATTTATTGTACCCACCCATGCCCCTATCCTGCCAGTTTAAGGATTCCTATGAACACAGGGATTCCGACCATTAGTTAACAAGTGACAGTTATTTTAGTAAGGCCCTTGGTCGGCTTTCACACCCTGTCAAATTGTCTACAGAGGGTTATAAGTGAACGTGTTTGACGAGTCGCATTTAATCGAAACAAAGTATCAAGAACGATTACCAATTGTTTACTTTCGGATAAAAAAATTAATATAATAAACATAACTAATTTCAACTTTGATTGTCCTACAAGTGAGCAAAAATTACTAGTTAAGTCGCGTCCGCTACTAAGGATAACTATCAGCTTATTCTTTATGACATCTTCGAAACGCATTTCAGTGCTACAAGCTATTGGGATATCTGATATATCATCTTTGATGACTATAAAAAAAGAGGTAACATTTCCATTTGCGTTTATTTTGAGGGAAAAACTTCTAGTCATCTTTACGTACAGTTAGTGGTTGCACTATTAAAAAGTAAAGATAATAAACAATCACTGCAAGCTTACGTGAAAAATTTTATCAAAAATGTCATAAAATCTGTCTGATTAACGAAGAGCGATCGTTACCGCTGAAAGACCAAAATGTAAATGTCACAAAGCGCTTTGCTCCTATTCTCTCACTACACCTGTCTCATCTGCCTGAATGTTTGGGAAAAGCAGAAATTGCTGTTGATTACGTATCTACATTCTTTTGCCCCCTATACTTATTACTCGTTGATGAGCACAAAACATTGCACAGAGCGGGATAGATAGTGGTCGCTGTGTAGGAAATGTATATCCGATCGGACTTTCGAAGATGGGAGATTTTCTTTGCCGATCTTCTACTTGAACACGGCCGTCAGTCATCTTGCAAATACCTGCATAACAGACCACATACCGCTTAAGTACTGAAGTTAATATTAAGCGATTGAATATTATAGTCTGTGTTGATCTCCTACCGCCAAGTCCGCGAAACAATCGTCTCAGCTTTCAGGGCGTTGCCATTGTCCAATACTTTGTTCCATTAAGCGGATAATTTATCACTGTTTTACACACTACGCTCCCGTCGGCATATGGTTTAAAATGGAGTGCAACGTTCACCATAGTGCGATTTTTCAGTAAGAGAGAGATAAGGGGCTGATTCATTGTAAAGATGGCACAGCAACAAAAGTTGAAACTTTCTAGCTCAAGTGGCTCATCGCCTCATTCCACTTGCTCTACATGCTCGTGTCGCTCATTATGTTCTTTAGGGCTGTTGGAATGATTTACGGACCCTTTGCATCACAACAATTATCCAGCATTTCAACTCTCTTTACTATTTTCAGTAAGAAAGGCACGGGGAATTAATTCATCAAAAGTTTTTTTGCATAAGTGGCGCATCATTGCATTCTACTGCCTATTCCCTAAGAGTGTGTAAGTCGTGGTATTTCTTAACACTTGACGCCTATTGAAGTGCTTTGCGAGCCCTTCACATCAAACACTATTTTGTGACATTGCAACAGTAAATGTAGGAATAAATAAGCATAGACGACAGACAGACAAGCATTTAACTCTTTAACAATTTGCCTAAGCGTCGAATAACGAAAACCAACAAATTATCTCCTTGCTTATCTCGTTAAATCACTATCACTTCGGCACTTTTATCTAATCGTGTAATATTGACAGATGTTTTTCATACTCTTACGAGCTAATGAAATGTATCTTAGAGGCGAGCTTTCAAAGTTACACATTTCGTGTGCTATACATAGTGAATGTAATTTACAACCATTTGATAATCATATCGCTCTAATGGCGATGGATTTACGATTACCTTGTTGGTATCGTAAATTTATGAGGCTAATAAACGTTAAGTGCGTTAAGTGCGTGAGCGGTGATTAAATGCTTTTATTTAACTAATTTTTTTTTTAATTTAAAAGAAGTATACAAACAAAAACACTATAGTGGGACACAGCCGCTCTGCAGTTCCATATAAAGCGTTCCCATATAAATGGGAAGTCGTTCAATCTAAATCTTTTCGAAAGCCTTCGTCCTTGGGCGAAAGCACATCAGCTTAACCTGAGTGGCCGAAGGCGAGGAATCTCGACTAGCAACTCAAAGGTCGTGGGTTCGAGTCTCAAGTGCGGTAGAGTTTCCAATAAAAGCCGTTAGCCATAGATGCTAGTGCTTTAAGAGTTTAGTCTTAGAATTTATTTCTTTGGTGAAATTAATAATAATAATAATAATAATAATGTTGAACACAAGAAAACAAAACGGATAGACGGATATGCTTAGACCGATTCAGATTCATTTCGTCTTTACAAATAAAAAATCGTTCGGCCTAAAGACCTTGTGGGTGTTGCATACATTCATACAAACTTAATATATCCTTGCAGAACAGGAGGTAAGAGGTATAAATATTATAATCAGCCACGAGCAACATATCCTACTTCACTTCGCTTAATATTCATTCTTTTTTTTCAAAAATTATAACTTGTAAAAGCATACTTTTCAAGAAAGTCTTTACAAACGAGAACGTCCAAAACGTAAACTGACTTCGTCCACATTCAGTGAAATTAATTATTTCTGTTGTGTATGTCCTGAGATACTACAAATTAGATTTAGAGATTTCTCAAACTTCTTATATCAATCTGGTATGTGAGATATTATCAGCCAATGATTATACCCTACACCACTTGTGGAATAGTGTATAATAAGATTTTGCGGACATATGTAACATACAGGGCTTAAGATAGATCCACTTTTTCTCTTTTCTTCTCTTTCACTTTCACAATTCAGAATCGTAATCTAAATTGATGTAAGCCTGTCTGCCCGTCTGATGTCCGTTCATGAAAGTTTGTGTTCAAGATACATGATGAAATTTGATACAGTGATGTATTTTGACCAAGAAACGAATGCTATTGAAAATGGTTCAGATCCGTCTACTTCTTCCACCAAGTAACGCCCTATTCTCAAATCTCGTTATATGTAACAAATTGTAATTTTCAAAATTTCTAGGCAAACAAAAAAAAAAAATTGAACTGTGCTAAATTCAGATCATCTCTGCCTAATTTTTAATTAATACCTTATATATCAATTTGCACGAAATTAGTAGGGCAGAGAAGTCTAAACTAAATTTAAGAAAAAACAATTCACTATACCAAATTTGAGCCACTTAGACTTATTTTTAGATCCTACCCTATATAAGAACTTTTACGAAAATTTCTGTTTTTTAGGTTAGAAAAGTTTAAGCTTTAATATGTTATGATGAGAATTTTTTATGATGAGAATTTGATATACAAATTACAACCGTTCTGACGAAAAGTAAGCCTTTATTTGGTCGGAGTCGTATTTTGCATATCCAGTTCCATAACGATAAGCTCTTATAAAAACAGAGTTGTGTTCTATGGCAAGAATACGATTTGTGTGAGACAATGCGGCGTAGGGTATTTAATAGTCGGCCCATAATGTTTTCTTTTTCGACTATTACAGTGGGTGTTATCCCTAAGACACTAATTTATATTCCTAACGCTCCACGTTTCACATTTTCATCTATGGTGTATTATGGTAGATCCAATATTATTGACAGCTAGGAAAAGATATCTCCTAAATCATTATAGAGATCTTTATAGGACGGAGGTTTTCAATTGAATTCTTCATCTTGATGCAAGCCTATAACGCAAATGTTACCAGAGACATGAAGTTTTCTTTAACATTTTTATACGAATTTTGAGAGAAAAGTTCGTAAAGAAGAATTCCGCGCTTTATTTACTTACTTTTATTTATTTAAATTATTGATATGAATAAATAAACATAAAATAAAATACATTTATAAAACATTTGTAGCAAAACACCCAGCATGAACACCTATCTGCAGGCATTGAAATGCGAAACACTTTAACTCAAATTGATTGAAAAAATCTACAAACAATTCAAATCATAATAAGTGGATTGCGTTCTTTAAAGCATAACCAAGATTAGGTCGTACATGCTACGATAAGAGCAAAAAAAAAAAAAAAATGTGAACAAATAATGTGAGAACATAAGAAGAGAGAAAGAGAGAGCAAAATATTCTTCATATCTCAATTGCAATAATGTGAAGAAAAGAGTAATTGAAAGGAAAAAGAATAAGACAATTTTAACGGTAACCGCGTTCATTTTCAATTAATAACGGAATTGAAATTAATTAAAAAGAATTGAGTTTGATTTGCTTCGTAATACATTATCATGGAATTTCAGGGTTTTAATTATTATGATATGAATGAGTGAATAAGTGAAGTGACACAGTGTACGTAAACAAATTATCACTAGGGGAAGGAATTTTTTGGAATTTGTAACATTATGGATGCGTCCAGAGTATCTACACCTTCATCAGCTGGCTTAAGTCAACGCAATATGACCTTAATGTATGAAAGGCGTGATTCTAAACAGCTAAACAGTTCACCGCATTCAACTCAATTACCGCTAACGGCGGGTAAAGACGTTATAAATCACGTAATTGGCGATTTCGGAATCTGGCAACTCCGTACTATCCTTATCATATTTTTATGTAAAATACCGGCATCTTGGTTTATGGCTTGCATAATATTTACCGCACCCGAACTATATCCGAGTACGGAATTCCAATGCGATCCGTCGTCCTTGAATCCCAATCAGACCGTTACAGCGAATCAATGTTACATAGAGGACACGACAACCGGCGAACGTGCGGAATGTAGAAATTTTTTATATACCTTCGATTTTCATTCATTGATTATGGACTTCGATTTGGTATGCCTACGGGATATATTTGTTGCTTGGACTCAATATTGGCATTTGTTTGGTGTGCTGGTGGGCGGTGTTACAGCTACAAAAATGATGATATTGTAAGTCATTCTTATCAGAATACTAACCGTAAACATTTTGTGATTTTCATTTTTACAAAAATAAATGCAGCATTAGTCCACGCCATGTGTACTTTATCGGTCAGATGGCTCAGATTGTATGCGGTGTTGTAACCGGTTATGCTCGCGACTTTTCTTTACATTGTGCTTTTCGATGCCTGTCTGCGGTATGCTGTGCGATAATGTTTACCTCGGGACAGGCCATATGTAAGTAATGTACATGAAACTGCCGTTTGAAATACTTTTCAAATTTTTTTCGCATGCTTATGCTATAGGCAATCAGAAATGGGAAACAAAAGTTATAATGTATAAGGAAAGAATTATAAGCAGAAAAAGGATATCAATTCTGAACATCTGAACGTTCTTTAGTTTTATTATTTTCTACTTTTTTGAGAGTAAAGAAAATTCAAGACGAGCACGAAGTTCTTTGTTTGAACCTGATTGTATCTCTGCACATATATACGTGTATATCTTTCCACAAAAAGTTTAACATTTTCTCCACTTACTCCCCAATTTCAAACAATTCATAATAAAGAAATGTAGATAGAGTAAGATTTGACATATAGCACTTGTGGGCGCATTGATAATTGTTGAAAATATTTTTTTGATTATTATCAAAAGCCATTGCCTCGGGTCTTGAAATATTTTATTAAACACTGAGTACTAAAGGCCTATAGATTTTTAAAGTTTCTCTTCAAGAAATAGTGGTTTCGAGGTTAAGAATCAAGAGACGCAAGAGTAAGAGAAGAGTTTTGGACGACGAAGAACTGCAAAGCATATGTTAAGTTCACTTAAAGAAACAACATATTTGCGGATTCATCTTCTATAAAATTCGTCCTTCAGCTAAAAGATGTGAAGCAAACCCATCTGAAAGTTAAAAATATAAAACGAACGGACGGATTGATAGGCAAGCTTAAATCATTGAGAAACTGGTTCGAAATCGATCGACATACTATCTATATGATGTTGAAAACAAATCGAAAACAAGAAAACAATGAGGAGCAACGCGAATTGAAAACCAAAACATTCGACCGATACTTTCGGTTATTTGATATAAGGCGTCACAGTCCTTCCTACATTCCTTCCTCACAATCGACAAACCGCATTGGATCTTGTAATAAAAAGTTATTCAGTTTCGAAAAAGATGTGCTTAAAGGCATATTTTGGACCCCCATGGAAAATTTTGGAATCATTCAGGTATAATGTGTGAAGGGTTCCATTTGAATTAAAGATTTTTCTTTTATGAATAGCAACTCTGACTGTTCCCTTTTTTTTACATCTTTGAAGTCTCTGTCATTCACCAATCTGCTCTCCTATCAGTCGATCTTAAATAGCCTTAATTAGTCCTACTGTCGCTCTCAATTCTCAGGCCTCGATTTATGTGTGCCTATAACACACGTTTTTTGTACGATTTTACACGTTTGAAAATCTTTTTCTAGTTGCTGATCTAACTTTTGGTATTTACCGGTCGGGTGCAATTATTCTCTATGATACCTTTTGGTCAATTGGCGTTATTTTTTTACCATCGTTATCGTCCTTCTTCAATAATTGGACTCACATATATTTGGGCATTACATTTCCAACTTTAATTCTAACATTTCTCTTACAATGGACACCCGATTCGCCACGATGGCTTTTGAAAAATGGCAGGGAAAACGATGTGGAACATGTCGAGTTAATGATACGACAAGGAGCCACTATTAATGATCGTGAATTTAAAATCCCTTCAGATTTTCGGGACCAACTAATTGCTTTAAGAAATAAGCTACGATCGGGCCCGCCACCAGCAAAGTGGTCGGATTTATGGCGTGGTCCCCGAGCGAAACTCCACATGATAGGAGCTCATTTGGCTTTGTCGGCGTTTGTAATAAATTTCATGGGCATGTTGTTAAATATTCGTTCATTTGGTCGCGATTATTTGGTGCCAAATACCATAGCAATGGGTAGGCGTAGAAAATCTGATCCATTCAATATTTCTCTTCACATTTTTTGTTCTTCTTTCAAGGTTTCGCGGAAATTGCTGGATGCTTTATGGCCTTGCACTTTCAATTGAAGTATGACAAATGGAAATGGCAATGGGCAGGTGGTCTCAACATTTTCGCAGGCTTAATCGGTTGTTCAGGATGGTACTTCAGTCATGCCGAATGTAAGCTAAACATATAAGACTTTTCTTTAATATTACCTACTGCACGCCATTCGCTTTCATTTAGTGAATTCCGAATTAAAAGTCACGCTATGGATGATTATAGCTACAATACCGAAGGCTGGCGTATCATGCGCTCAGTCTATGATTATGGCTTGTATGGCGGAGGTAATGCCGCCTAGTAAGAAGATACCCTACGTTTTTTCTGTGGTTACGTTTGCTCGTGTTTGGCTTTTATCGGCACCGTTTATTAATGTCTTGAAGAAAATTGATGTCGCCCTGTCCTTGAGCTCTTATTGTGCTCTCAGTATATTTGGCGGTATATGTACCTGTTTAATGTTAACGCCAAGAACTCCTATGCCTACTGTTACATTACCGGAGGATAAAATGAAAAATCAAAAGGAGGCTTCACCTCTAACAGCAAACGTTTGGACCGTCGAAAACGATGTGAACAATACGCGTTTATAGTCACAATAAGTTTTTTTTTTTTCTTTTTTTTTAAATCTCAAAATGCTTAAAATTATTGTAAAATATCATATGTATTAAGTAAATTTATTAACATATTATTATATTATAAGATTTTAGAAATATATTTTCATAGAAAAAGTGCCAAAAAACCACAAAAATAGTGCAAAATAATATAGTGACACCATAAGTAAAAAAATACAATAAATAAAGTGAAGTATAGTTGAATATACTTTTATGTTTTCCTCACGACAATTACTAGTTGCGCTACGTGAAATATGACATATGATCACACACTCTACACCACCTGTAATACAGAAGGGTTATATTAAACATCCGCGTACCAGTATACTCCAATTTGAGGGCTTTAATGGAAATTGTAGATTCACATGAAGTTAATGTATAACCAGCCTTTGATATACTATTCAGTAAATGAGTAAATGACTGGATTAAGTGGAACGGCGTGGGGTATTTAACGGTGGACCGCGTCTCCGCTATAGTGTTTTCACTTCTATTTATTTGTAAAACTTTTAACTAACATCTTTTCTGTCATCCAAAAAAAATCAAATCGAATCCAATTGAAGATAATCCTTAATCCATTTTATTTTTCAAAAATTCGCTAATTACGTTAATTCCAAATTATATATCGCGGATGTGTACCAAATAAAGTGACTTGAAGAGTAAGTACAGAGAGGACGACAGTGATGAGTATAAGAGATTCGGCCGCAGCCGAATATAATTTTTTTACTTGCTTATTTTTGAAATTTCGAAAATACACCATAATATTGGAAGAAGTCCAAAATGATTCAAACTGATTCTCACAAACTATAATTCTTAACCTTAAATGATACTAATATTGGTTTCTCAATATGTGAATTAAATTGCCTCCGATGATAGGATAACGATGATAATTCACTAAAAAAAGAGAAAGGTTATTGGAAATTATTTTCTGCATTGCTAAATGGTTTGCCTTCCTCATCACCTCGCAAAAACTAAAACCAGAATCAGCGAACAATAAGCCAATCTTCTGAATTTAAGGAAAGAGATGGGAAACAGTTAGCAAGGCAATAATCTATTTTACCTGATTAGGCAGATCGTACCGTCTTTTGTTTTAAGGACAAGCTTAAGAAACGAAGCAAAGACGCCTACCATATCTGTTAACAAAACTCTGTTAACGCCTTAGTAGAACTCTGTTAAACAATTAAGATTAAGATTTAATTATATTTGAAAGCCTACTCTGTCCATATTAAAAAAACATCATATATTTTTGTGCATTATTCATGAATCTATATGAAAATACCTTTCAAACAAACTAAGCCAATTCAAATTCTGCTTATGACTTTTGGTGAGTATTTCAACGAAAAATAGATATCGGAGAACATCCCAATTTGAGACTCTAGCGCGGCTAAACTAGAATATGTCACCCATATTCACCTGTATTACGTTAACCTATATAAAAGTACTTTTCTTTCAGTAACTATTTTAACAATTTTTTAAAATATGGTATGTTAGCGAAAAATGGGAAGAACATCCAAATTTGAGGAAAATCGTTTTTTCTGAAAAATTTACGGTACTTTTTCCTTTAAGTGAATAAATCTAATTTTTTAAGAAAATGCATAGATATAATATACACAAATATTCCTGCTACAATGGCTATGCACCATTATACACACCAGCCCGCATACATGTAAACATGGCTGCTGCGTGAACTAGGTACATGACAATGTAAAGGAAAACATTATCGGCTCATTTCTCATTTTACTATCGCTCTCTTGCTCCTATTACAATGTTTAACATTTAACATATTTTCTTAAAATATAACCGAAAAATATTTACTCAAGCATGCATCGGAAAAGAATCTAAAGATTTGCTCCTAACTTGCCGTTTTGCTTTTCTCTTTGGTCTTGTTCTGCAGTGCATTCGCTAAGTGCAGCGCAGTCGCCAGCGACGTTGTTGGTCTCTTGGGTTGCAGCTATAGACCGCAGTTTTCAAAATATTGCGATGAAATTTGGTATACTTACGTGTTTTTGCCCAAGGAGAAACGCGGTTGAACATGGTACGGATCGGACAACTTCTTCGACCGCTTCCCATATAACGAATTTTATCACATCATCAATCGTATGTATAACTGTGAAATTGTGTAGAGTATTTTATGGTGCATTACGATCCGTTATTGTTTTCTATTTCAATTTTTTTTATCAATAATCCACATAGATCTAACATTTAGTTTTTTAGATTTAGATTCTTTTTTTGTTTTGGTCTAATTTTTAAGACTTAGAACTCCTTCCTTACCAAAACTTGAATTATAGACATAGTAAAACGACTAACGCCACTTGTTAACGGAACCTTGTGATGGCGCTAACAATTCCCTTCACTGATTCATTTATTAAGCAAAAGTTTTCCATAACCCTGACAAATACTTCAATGTATCGTTATTATTTATTGTGGATGAGTTATCCGCTTTATTCTGAGCGGCTTTCGGACATACAAGCAAAAATCGATTCAGAATTTGGTACTGATCACGTATCTATATATCTTATGAGCATAAATCCGCACTAAAAGTCAAGTAACCAAACGATCGCGATTAACAACTCCATGGTCGCGGATTCAAATCTCAAGTGCGGTAGAGTTTTTAAACAAGGCGAGCATATGATGTATCTTATCCGGCAGCCTTTAAAATCCATACTTAGTAAATTTATTTACAAAATTTGTTAGCAATAAATAAATAAATATCTTATGCGGTCTCTGAGGATTCCTTGTAGGTGTTGCAACTTTTCAGAGAAACGAATATGCCTCTCATCCCTAGGATAAATAAAATAAACTGGCCTTCATTTTTCTTACCATAGTCTTTACACTCACCTAGAACTTTTCAGCAAATTAATTTTAGCAAATGCAGTTTCTAATGTGCTGCTCATTTACTGACTCAATGCTAGTAAATTTGTTACATATCAAATTGGAAGAGATTCCGTATAACCAAGTCATTCATAACATATCAAACATATATTTTCGATTTATAGGAAATCTATATCATAATTACGGACGCCTAGCATTGCGTACATGTCTCACTGTGGCGTTTACCTGATCAGCTGTTACGCATATTTTTAACAACTTAACTTGTTTATGAGCGTTATTCTCGCAACACCTCTCCTTATAGCACGCAAACACACTCGCACACACGCACATATGTAATGTAAAACCTGCCTTTATTAATCGAAAATTCCTTAGCTTACATTTATTTATATTCATTACACGATTTTCAATATTAAATAAACTACATTTTAATATTTTTAAATAAAAAACGGGTTTTTAATTTTTGCCAAGTTCATTAGCCTTTGATTAAATGCAATGTGCAGAAGTTTGTGTGTGATTTAATGTAAAAAGCAATAAATATATTAATTAACAATCCACAAAAGTGTATAAATATTAAAAAAAAATCGCTTTCTACACTAACAAAATTATTTAAAGCATAAATTCGCACTTTTTAAAGGAAGCATAATAGACGCCGTTCAACGAAAAGCGATAATTATCAAGCAAACAAGAACTAGTTTTATTTTTTCACAGGTCATGGTTTGGCCACAGTAGCTATGCAAACTTTCTTTTTATCAGCCTCATTTATGACATAGTGTAAAAATGTTGACCTTTTGAAAATTAATGAATTAAAGTCATGTTTTGTTTGTAATATTTTGTAAAAAAATTCTCGAAAAGTTCCATTTTAACTGTATTTTGAGTTACATCCCTCCGAGACTTCGTTTAACAGAATTCTGTTAACGGCTGAAAACAGCTCTGCAAAAAAATGGTTTGTGTCTTTGCTAGTTATATTTAAATATGACTTCACACCTTTAACAAGATAAATATTCTCTTTTTTATTTAAAAAAAATTTACATGAAATTCTTACCTAATTTTCAAATTTCCTCCCGTTTAGTTGTTCTATTCTTAATTGTTTAATTTGCAATCACATTTTGAAAAAAGGCACTTAAAGGGAAAACATATTAAACTTTTAAAATACAAAAAAATTAATTCAATGCTTTCATTACTGTTACATTTAGTTTGTATCATTTTTTTTTATGTATTTATTTATTCTTTCTCCTTTTTATATGCCACCTATTTTAATTTTTTACTTTTACTTTTTCACCTTCTGTTTTGTCAACAATGATTATTTAGTGACAAAACTTACTAAAATAACAACCGTTGCTACTAATTTTTGCCTATCTCTCGCTCTCACTTTACTCATCTAACGGATATATCCCATACATAAGCCGGCGCGAATAATTAAGAATAAAAAGGTTTCTTTGCAATTTTTTCACTTTTCAATACATGAAACCCTTTTCAATAAAGGAAAAACATAAACCAAATTTTCGTTTTAATAGTTTGAGATTAATTATATATGAAAAGTTCGTAAACAATTCATGCCGGAAGTTCCTCTTTAGTTGAACATGCACATGCCGATGAGACTGACAAAGAAAAAGAAAATCTTAACAAGGTACTCCATAGCAGAAAAGATGAGAGATAAAAAGAAATATTAAAAGTTTTTTGATTTGATGCAAAGAGAGAAAAAATGGTATTACAAATTCCATTTATTTTAAAAACGATGGCCATTTATTGGATTTATATTCATCTGCCCATTCCTGTCAAATCTTTATCTAGAATATTAAATTCAGAAAATAGATAATATAAAGTAATTCATAGCCCTAAAGCTACGGGCTCAACTTTTTTTTTTGGTTATGTACACTTATTACTTATTTCCTTTTAATTTTGTTATATTTCATTTCTATCTTTTCTCATAATATAATAACCCTTACTTTTACATTAACTTAATACACATAATCCACAATAAAAACCGGCGCGAATAACAAAATAGAAAAGTTTTCTTTGCAATTTATTTCATAATTTTGTTAATCATTGCCTTCGCAACACATACGGAATACGTTTTAAAAGGCTTAGAAATTCCTAAGAAATTATTTAAATTCTTTTTTCAATAAATTTATCATATTATTTTAAAGAAATTTTGCCATTAAAAACTACAATAACTTGACGGAAGCTCCATCACGTTTGAAAATACCGCTTACACTAAGCAAAGACAATATTTTGAGAATTTAACGAGAACAAATTTAATTTCAAAATGGATTATGAAATCCACAACGAAAAGCGGCGCAAATAAATATTGATAATAACTTTTATTTTACAAACTCTTTTACACTTTTTCTGCTCGACATAAAGATGCAAAATATATTTTTGAAATATGAAAAAATCATAAGGAATTATATCGTATAAATAACTTTTTTATATTATTTTGAACCAATTTTGCGCATTTTTTACAACCAAAAATACAATATCTCGCTGGAAGTTCCATTACTCTTGAAAATACGGATTAAACTAATAAGCAAAAGCAAATTTTGCGAAAAATTTACGAAACAGGAAGAGACAGAAAGATTCTTTTACTTGAATAAAACAAAAATAATTGCTTATGGTTATTTTTATCAACGTTGATTAGTCAGTATCAAAACTCAAATCAACAACAGCCCTGTTTTTTACGTTAATGTAATACACATAATCCACAATAAAAACCGGCGCGAATAACTGTAAATAAAAAAGTTCTCTTTGCAATTTATATCACAACGTTTTTTAATCATTGCCTTCGCAACACATACGAAATACATTTTAAAAGGGTTTGAAATTCATAAGAAATTACCTAAATTCTTTTTTCAATAACTTTTTCATATTATTTTAGATAAACTTTGCCATTGAAAATTACAATAACTTGACGGAAGCTCCACCACGCTTAAAAATACCGCTTACACTAATAAGCAAAGACAATATTTGGAGAATTTGACGAGAAAAAATTTCATTTCAAAATACCCATAATCCACAACGAAAAACGGCGCAAATAAATAATAATAACTTTTATTTTACAAATTTTTTTACATTTTTTCTGCTCGACATAAATATGCAAAATATATTTTTGAAATGTCGAAAAATCACAAAAAATTATTTAAACACTTTTTTTTAAATAACTTTTTTATACTATTTTCAACATTGAATTTGGTACACATTTTAACACTACAAACTAAAATAATCCGCTGCGCTTGAAAATGCCGACAAAAAGAGCATTCGTAACAAATATACAGGAAAGTAAATTTTATTCGGAAATAGAATGTTACTCTCAGAAAAGGTAAAAACATCATATATAATGGGTTTGTAGTCAAAGACAATACTTGGGAAGAAGTGGCGAAACAGAAACAGAAGGAAAGATTCGTTTGTAAGACATTTTTCCTGATAACAGAATGTTAACTTTAACACAATATGAATAAAAATGTGAATATGTAGCACTAAGCTTAGGAAAAATTATTTTTTTCTCATTTTTCAAACTTAGCTTACAAAAATTTGTTTTTCTTTTATAATTTTATTTATCTCGCAATGCGTAAGAAAATGTACTTCTTTTTACTTTTCTTCTTCGCTAAACTTGACAAAAATTATTTCATCTCTTTATTGCGTCTATTGCAGAGATTAAGAAGACTAGTTTTTTTTTTTTGCTTCTCGCTGGGATTTGAAAAATAAGTTGCTTTTAATTTTTGTTTCCCGCTACGTTTAGGAAAAACTTTTTTTATTGTTTATTATTACTTCTCGCTAAACTTAGGCAAAATTAGTTGTTTTTTATCTCCTGCGTTGTGGCTAGCAATGCTAATAGACGCACACATGAAACTTTAGTTGTTTTTGCTCTCATAATTATTTTCATTACTAGCATTAACTTTTCATATGAAATATGCGTTGCGTGAAAAACTTGTTTATTGAGGATTTCTTTTAAAAACGAAAACTTTTCTATTTTTATTTAAGCTTTGCAATGTTTTTCAAGTAAGACTTTCTTTTTTCAACAAACAAATGATAGTAAAATTAAAATAGTTGTACTCCAAGTGTTATTGCAACAGGTTGCTAACACTTATAAAAAGATCTTAACGCTTTATAAAACGTAACAAATGGAAAGCGATGAAATAATTAAAAATTATATAACATAAGCACAAGTGTAAATAAGGAAGAAAATAAAAAAAATATATATGTTAAAAATCAAAATAAAAAGTTAAAAATAAAGAAAAATAATCATTTCTTTTCAAATTTGAAAAAAAAAAAAAATGGATTATTATAACGGATCAACAATATTCGTGACTGGTAGGTGCTATTTGATATCACGTTTTCGTCCACGACATGGGGTATGAAAAAGTGGATTCATAATACTTGAGGTTTCTTCTACCTTGTTACTTCTACTTGGTACGTGGTAAAAACTAGTAAAGATCTTGCAGAAGATCCTAAGAAAAGCTAGAAAACCCACCAATCGATTCAGAATCACTTTCCAAATTGATTTAAACTTGTTTATCAGTCTGTCCATCTATCCCTGACGTGTTTTGGCACAAGGATAAACGCTATTGAAAATGTTTCATATCAGACAATTTCCCATAGAACGCGTTATTTTGGAATATCGACATATGCAAAAATGTAAGATGGTATAGGGTATTTAATGACGGGCGGTCCCATTTTATAAATTTCTAGCCAAGGAACCAGAATTTATTTTTCTGTGTTTATTTCCTATTTTTTCCTTTCACCGATTAACTATCATAAATCTAATTGAGTGACCAATGCCGAATTAAAAATTTTTTTTAATAACTTTTTTACATAATTCACTTGTTTTGTCTACTACTTGGGCTAACTGTTTACACTAAATTTCGAGAACCTACAGTACAATCAAGTCGCAGTGCGATCTAACGAGGGAACTCAGGGCAATTGCAGACAGCAATATCTAACTGATATCAGACTATTTCATGGCTTCGAGAAATCATCGCGAGTGTGAGGAGTCGTCTACTTTCAGAACCAGGGAATCACTTGCAATGCAGTTCAAAAGTTGAAAAAACAAGTCTGTGTATAATTGAGGCAAGCAGAGAAATTCGTCGCCTAGTGCAAGCTGGATTGATATCTACGTTTTGTATATTAAAAATTAGAGAGGGTATTAACTTGGCGACGTTCCGGAAGTATGGACAATACAGAAGTAAAAGTACGACACGCATAGCGTCGCTAACCATACAGCCCTATAGAATGAAAGCTTTGTGGTCGATGAGAGTCATGTTGCCTGCTCGCTCTAACATTCATATCTAATGCTTTGCCTTTGGCAAACAGGAGTGACAGCACGGCAAGATATTTCGATGAAAACAGCGTATGAGGCCTGACCGCTAAATGCTGTCCTTCGGAGCTGTGATTATTCACACTTGCGGGTGCATTAAAAATTAGAAATGCATGACAGACCTTACCTTGTCCACGGGGGGAAAGTTTGTGACAATACCCCAACCCAACCCCAACTTTCAGATCTGACACTCAGGTCTTGGAATAGGCCCTCTCACATGTAGGATTGTCTCGCAAGAAGTGGTGTGCCGCGTGTCTGCGGGCTTCGCCTGATTAAGCTTTCAAGGCAAGTGCAGATGTTGTACATAGGAACTCTCTGATATCAGAATTTATGCCCATAAGAATTTGCTTCCAGCAAAGCAAATTGGCTATCTGCTTGCTCCTGCTATTCCGCAAGAAAAGGATACGATTACCAAACGCCTTCAAACTGTGCGAATTGCATAGTTTCGAAGCTTGTGAGATAAATAAATAGACAGGATGTCCAATATGCCTACGCCTTGAGTGGATCATTTCCAAATGTGTACAATATTATTAAGGGAAAGAAGATTTTATAACAAGTTTTGAAAATTTTTTGAAAAGCTCACAAATGAAAAGCAGATTGTAAATAAACTTTGAGGTTATATTGCGCCTTAGTTTGAGGTTATGTTATAAACAAAAAGCGAAATGAAGCACAGCTCAGGCTTGTGCTCGATACACTAATGTTGACTTTAAGTCTTAAGCTCTTACATTAATAGATTATTGCCATCCGTTTTCGCGGCGAATCGATTTTTTAAAGCTTTCTTATGACGACTAATATCACGTTTGATCAATGCGAAGCGAAGTACCTTTTCCGAGAGTTTATCAAGTCTCGGTTTCGCATATTACTGTATATTTTTTTTGTACCATTTCCGATTCCATTTACCGTATAATCGATTACTTCATCAATATTATTCCGTTTTTAACAGGTGCCACTGGTTTTGTGGGTAAAACTTTATTGGAGAAGCTTTTATGGAGTTTCGCTCAAATCAAATGCATTTACATTTTAATACGTGAGAAGAATGGTAAAACAGCCGAACAACGCTTCCACGATTTTCGTGCGCATAAAATATTCGGACGACTGCGCCTACAACAGCCGAATAATTTAAGTAAATTAAAATTTTTGGCGGGAAATATTGAAAAAGAAAATTTAGGTAAGTAAAAAGAATAAAAATAAAAAATATTAATCGTTGGCATACCCTACATCACTCGTAGTAAAGAGTATATTAACTTGGCACGGACCCCAGAAGGGCTTCAGCCAGACCCATCTTTCATTATATCGATAGATTCAAAATGGGTTTCTAATCTAATCTAAGGCAGTGTGTCCGTCTGTCTGTCTGATGTCTGTTCATGTATATTTATGTTCAAGATGCATCTCGCAATTTATCAGATATTTGTTATATTGACTTGCTTCGACCCAAAGAAGAACGCGTTTCGACCAATCGGCACATAACGTCCTATTCTAAAAACTCGTTATATGGAACAAAATTTCTCGGCAAAAGGGACTGAGTAGTAATATTTCGGAATTTTAACTTGATTTGAAAACTTTGAACCGGCAGTGGCAATTTTTTGAACTCCCTATCATATAACCGTTCTTACGAAAATGTTAACTTTATATGATACGAAGCTCTTATTTTCAGTATTTCGTGGTGAAAATTGGCTCAGTAATAGTAATTCAATAAAAAAATTAGATGGACCTAATTTGAACCTCGTAGGTCTATTTCTTCCCCCACTGCATCTAAGATATCTCACGATATGTTAATAATTTATTGGAACGTTTCACCAAAAAAAATTAACGATAAGGAATTTGGATCATGTAGGTCTATTTATTTTTTGAACTCCCACTTATATAGGCGCTACCACGAAACACAAGCTGTTATAGCTTTTGTTTTTCTTTAACATTTTACTCTTTTTCAGGTCTAAGTCAGGCTGATAAGACGCGTTTATGCCAAGAAGTAAACATCATTTTTCATAGTGCGGCCACGGTTCGATTTAATGAACGTTTGAAAGTGGCAGCTCAAGTGAATGCGATAGCAACATGGAACTTATTAGAATTCTGCAAACAAATGCCTTTACTAAAAGTATAGTTTTTTTTCTTTTTCGAAGATCGATTAAAGTTAAGACGATAATATTCTTTTGTCTTTTTAGAGTTTTGTGTATGTGTCCACGGCTTATTGCAATCCGGGGCGCAAATATGTCGACGAAGAAATATATCCCACCTTACCTCCTGTGAATTGGAAATATTTCATTGATTGCACTTTAAAAATACCGGATACTTACTTTAATAGTTTGGCTAATTATATAAAGGTAATTGTTTTTTTTCAATATGACCAATCAGTCAGGGGATGTCCCTCGGATGAGAAGCAAGGAAAGAAAAAGACAAAAAGAGGTAATCGCCATATTCTGTGAGCCCTCACTATGGTTACGATCAAACCAAATTTTACTGGGTTTCAGTTTTGAGTCCGCGAACACTGACATGGCAATTGTGATTCTTACCTACTCGTACTACTCATGCATGATGTTTGCAATTCTTTCCTCATACATGGGGGCTATCCGATTTATATTGTTGTGTTATGGAGTTAGTCTGTTAAGTTGAAGCGGATGTATATGTAACACTCGGCGAGACTTGAGATAGACTCACCTTTCATTATGCCGAACGATCGATCTAAGATTGTCTGTCCGTCCGTCTAGCTTGTATTATTGGGTTCAAGCCAGAAGGCGGAAATTTTTGAGATGCTCTGGCTCGATGTGGAAGATGGCGAAATAAGTCGAATAAGTTGAATTCGCACACTTTTTCGACTACTTCGAACAATACAGGGAGAAGGATGGTGTAGACTATTTAATTATTTGCCAGGCCCTTCGTATTGCGTATTCGACTATGCACGCGTAGTTACTCCATCTGTCTTGACTTGTTGTCCTATTTACGCCATGCTATAGTGTATATGCTCTTTACGTGTGTATGTAACATCTATAAGAACTTAAACTATGACCAATTTTTATTATACCGATTGGTTTGAGGTCCTTTTCTGATTAAATTAAACTTGTCTGTCCATCTGTCCGGCCCTCTGTTTGACACCTGCCAATATCCATTTATGATCAAATTACACGTTACAATTTTTGATATATTTTGCTGCACAATACATGCATAACAAATGAGAACGAATATACGCTTGTTTTATAAAGCTGCACAATACATGCATAACAAATGAGAACGAATATACGCTTGTTTTATAAAGCTGCACAATACATGCATAACAAATGAGAACGAATATACGCTTGTTTTATAAAGCTGCATAAATGTATAATCTTTTTATAAAATTTGTTTTTTAATTTTAATTTTCTTTTTTCTTTTAGGGTCCCCATCCGAATACTTATACTTTTACCAAATCGATAGCTGAACAAATCGTTAACGATTACAAGCATTTTCTACCAATTGTTATAGTCCGACCTTCTATAGTTACAGCTGCTCATCGGGAACCGTATCCCGGTTGGATTGATAATATTCAAGGCATTACTGGCATAATGATGGAAATTGGCAAAGGCAGCATAAGTAGTATATTGGGTGATAAAAATATTATATGTGACATAATACCGGTCGATTATGTGGTAACTTCTCTAATTATGACCGCTCAAAGAGCTGTAAAAGGAAGGTACGTGCAAAGTATTCATAAAAATGTTACTACTTATGGGTAAATTTATAGAAGACATGTTCTCGCTTGGCAAAAATTGTTATAGGTCTGATCATGTTGAGGTTAAAAAGTTGTTCTCGTCTTGTAATGGATGTAAGAAACGGTCCACTTTAAATACATGGGACCAAGGATGTGTCCTACTGCAAATGGTTTGGATCCAAACTTCCCATAGAGTACCTTATTCTTAAAAATTAGTTATATGAAAAAATTTTGACCTTCCTCTTCTTGTGAAGAGCCACTCTTTAAATGGCAAAAATATCGCTTTGCATTATTTGATGATAAAATTCAGTTAGTTGAGCATAAAAATGAATTACAAAAAATTTGGACCAACTAGACTTGTCTATCGAACCTCATACCATTTAAGGGTTCTCATGAAAAGTAGATCTTTAGATGGCGGAAAAGACTAATTTTTAACCCTTTATGATGCAAACAGAAGAAGTAAGACCTAGTGAGGCTTTTGACAAGAAAATAAGGAACTCCATGAAATATAAGCTCTTATATGATAGCAAAATATAATTTTTGGGAATTTTATTATCAAAAAAATGAATCAAGAATAGTATTGGCCCTTGAAGAGTATTAGAGATCGCTTATAACTGAATGAATCGGTTTTGGCTAACTATAATGTTGTTTTCTATTTCATACATTTAATTATTTTATTTTACTTTCTATTTAGAGTCTTCATTTGCAATTCTACTTCCGGTGTCACAAATCCGATTACTTGGCATCGTTTGGGTTGTCTAACTCTCAAATGGTCTCGTATTTATCCAACTCAAAAATTATATATGTATCCTTATTTTAAATATCGCAAAAGTCATTTCTGGCATGACTTGGCTGTCTATTTATTGCATTATTTACCCGCCATAATTATGGACCTAATGTCGTTGTTTAATAGAAAGCAACGTAAACTCGTTTTACCCATAGCAATGAAATTTCGTCAAGCTTGCTTAGCCGGTAAGTGCTCTTCCTCTTTATGTAATGTATTAGAATTGCTGCTTATCTTATGCTTTGCAGGCAAATGTTTTTCCCTAAATGAATGGATTTTTATGAGTGACAGTTCTTATTACTATGAGAAAATGTTAAATGATGGAGCTTTCCCTTGCTTGGAATGGGCTTTAAATACATTGAATTATGATACTTACATAAGGCAATTCGTTCTCGGTATACAAATGTATTTACATCATGAACAATTTTCTGAAAATTCCAGATGGAAAATTACGAAGTAAGTAATAAAATTGATACTATTAAACCCCTATTTGCGGCTCCAAGATAGTTATATGTTATTGAAGTACGCACTACAAAAACAAATGATATTGGCTATGTATATAATCGAAAAAATTCTTAAGTCTTTCCATCGTTTATCATTTGTGTTAATACAAATTTTGTTTTCCATATTTCCCGCCAAGGGATTTCTGCAAGAATTTCGAAACGACTTTCAAATGCACGGGCTAACCCAATGAATAAATGCAACTTAATTTTTTTATTAATAACAAATCACACTCTTTTGTCTCATGAAATCTAGACTCTATAATGACTTTACATTCGAGTGCCATTTGAGACTTGACTATAGCTGAACAATGGTATGACGTTTTTTACCTTGGTTTACCTTTGGTTGAGTCTCTGTTACTCTTCCTCTCTCCCTCTCTTCCTCGCTCGCGCGCGCTCTTTTTATCTTCTTTTGATCACTCTATGTGTTCGTCTCGCTCTCTTCCTCTTTTGCTTACTTAAATACATATTGAGTCTCTATTGATATTTCTCTTTCTCTATCTTTCTTCATATATGCCTTGCTCTTTCTCAGTGTCTGTATGGCTTTGTTTCTATCTCTTCCTCTCTCTCTCTCTCTCTCTCTTCGTTTCTCTTTCGATTTGCTTTTAATGACTATTTGGCTTCGTCACTCTCTCTTCCTCTTTTGCTTTCTTAAATATATATTGAGTCTCTTTTGGTCTTTCTTTCTCTATCTCTCTGTGTATCTGCCTTGCTCTCTCTTCCTATCTCTATCTCTTCGTCACTATCTCATCCTCTCCCTCTCTCTTTCTCTCTATCTTCCTCTCACTTTCGATATGCTTTTAATGACTCTTTGGCTTGGTCTCTCCGTCTCTCCCTATCGCTTTATGAATCTTCTCCTTCCCGCGCTCTCACCACACCCCCTTTCTATTTCTCTTTCGCTTTTCTTTTAATCACTCTTTTTACTTTGTCTCGCTCTCTTCCTCTTTTGCTTACTTAAATATACATTGAGTCTCTCGTGATCTTTCTCCCTCTATCTCTCTGTGTCTGTCTTCGTCTTTCTGTTGCTCTCTCTTAGTGCCTGTATACCTTTATTTCGATCTCTTCCTTTCTTCACGTTTTAGCATCTCTGGGCCTTTCTGCCACTCTTCAGCTACCTCTCTTTGATTCTCTCTTTATCTTTGTTTCACTATATGTTCGTGTACCTTCGTGTTTCTTTCTTTACTTAGTTAAATATGCATTAGTGTTTCATAATAAAAATATTTTTGCTTTCCTTTCTTCCTTTTCCAGGTTGTATTGGATATGGATTTTCTTGCACGTTTTCTTTACGCTAACATTCATTTACCTTTTATTTTAATAAAAATGAATAATTATTATACAATTATATATAATTAATTATTAGTTGTTATATAGACGAATGATTCTTTCAACAAGAGGTATCATTTCCAAATTCTCATGTAATCAAGTCTTTTTATTTTACCGGCGATTTGGGAATTGACAGATGGCGCTCAAGTTAATCCGATGGTTATTCAAAATAATCCAATAGCGGAATCCATTCATAATATCGATCGAAACTGGAACATTTCCAAACAGCTTCATATTAACATTCCCTGGGCTAGGAAAATGTGGTCAACAAAACAAAAGAAAGTTATAACCGACCGAATCTTTAATCATTGTCATCCCAAGAAATACTAAGGCACAGAAAATAACTAAATTTGCATAGTTTACAGTATTAAATGAGCGTGAAGTTTATATAGCGTATCTGTTGTAACTTAGCGAGCGAAAAACGCAGCAAAACCTTTTGCACTTCTACATAGGAAAGAATTCTTATCGCAGATACTATGCATTTGGACGGACGGACATGCCTAAATGCATTCAGGGCCACAGTTGCTACAATTTTCCTCGTCCCGACACCTGTGCAAATGAAATGAAAATGAACGGAACCAATCGAAAACATGTCAATTTCCCTATGATCCCTATTTCTTCTTAGTTGTCAAATATCTATCACTGCTATTGAAATTTTATGCTGTCAACTCAAAAAGGGCAAGAAATTTAAAAAGACGCCTCTTCTTTGCAGACTCTCAATACATATCAGTAAATAATTAATTTTCTAAAAAATTTATTCAAATTAAAACAAAAATTATTATTGATATTGAAATAAATATAAAAATCGCAACTACGGACATCCCGGCAAATTTGGACCCAATGTTGGAAATGTGCGTAAACGTTGTAATTCCAAGAGTGTTTTCAGTTCTAAAATTTTTGCATAATCCTTGCGCACGGTATCAAGAAGATTAGCATGCCTTTTGATCTTTTCCATTCTAACAAATAAAAATTAAAATCAAAAAATAAATTCAATTATTATCACAAAACAGGTAAGAATATTATAGACAGGTAAGGTCGGTTTTAGATATCCTACACAACTTTGCTTAGTACAGTCATTCACATAGTACGCCAGAAATTATCCTTTGTTTTCATGTAAAGGCATATTTTCGATGAAAGTCCGCATACTAGGGGATGCGCAAAATATCACAGGACGTAATCCAAGTTCAGCAAATTTAATTATTTAAAAATTTTATTATTTTTCAGCTACCGTTAAAGTAAACTAGAAGATACATTTTCTCTTCATTATAACTCCTATATATGCTAGGGTCTATGAAATAGACCCATCTGATCCAAATTATCTACTGTTAATTTTTTTTGTTAAATTGCTTACTATGAACCAACTCCATGAGAAATCTTATATGGAGTAGGTTGGCTTTTGGTTCAAGAATAGCGCCTAGCCTTTCTGTACGTTGCATACGCCCGCACAAACTTAATATACCCTGCACCATAAGTGTAGGTGTAGAGTACAAAATTTAAAATAGGAAATACTTCTTGCGGCACTCACCTTTCATTTTGTTCGCGACCTCTCTTCTGCTCAATCATAAAATCGCGGTAAGTGTTTGAAAGGGCCACGGCCACCTTAACCTCATCAATTTGACGATTAACTCGTTGGTTGGATCTTTTCATTTCTTCAACCTGTTCACGGACTGTGGTAATTTGTGTAAGTCTTTTTTTTTTTTTTTTGAAAAACAAAATTCATTATATGATATATTTCTATTTTGTTGTTGTTTTTTTTTTTCTTTCGTTTATTTACTAACAATTTTGACAACTGCCTACGCACAGCTTTTGTTCTATCTTCGCATACTTTCTCTATAAGGCCCACTGTATTTTGAAAATGTTCTTTTTCCGCTTTGACTTTCTCCCAACGACGTAAGATGGCAAGAAACTCCTGCGATACTTTACATTTCTCGATTACTCCCAGCATATATTTAAGATAATCAATATTGGCACTGGTCACCTTATGTTCCCATTCTTTAAAAATAACTTGGCGACGAAAATATGCCACTCGTTGCATAGCTTTCAATTTCATTTGTCCAGCTTTCTAAAGGATAGAAAACCAAAAAAAAAAAAAAAAAATATTTATTTTTTCCGCTAATTGGCACCCCCCCCCCCCCCCCCATCATCCGTAGTTCACTTACTAGTATCGATTGATTGATATCATTTATATCATCTTCGTGCATTAATATGCAATTTTGAAGATGAGTTACATGACCCAAAACACTAGTCTCAACTTGACCCATTGTTAAACGTAACTCTAATGTTTGATTTTGTACAGCAGCTAACTGAAAGTAAAATGTCATTATTTTTACGGTATGAGCCCTTATGAGGCTCGAAACGTTCAATGCAATCTTCCCTAGAGAAATGTAAATCGCTCAGTGTCTTATTAGAGGCTTTATGTGGGAAAAGCGTGATCTACTTGCACAACAAGAGAGAACGTCTTCCAAAGGCACTGTAAAAAGCGTTCGGGACGCTTCTAACAGTCAAGCTTGAGAAATAAAGGACCCATAATAACTGCGAAAATCCTTAGTAATTATAGGTTTCTTTTTTTAAGATACTGATCCTAAGCGAACTTTGCCGTGAATTGATTGTTTTGTCAGTTGAAAGAACGGCGTTATTGAAAACAACTACCGGAGATATCCATTTTCCTTAAATTACCCGAAAAAGAGATAGATAACGTGAATGTGGAATGCATACAACATCCAGAAGGCCGACCCACCTTCTGTTAGATCGATCGATTCGCAAAGTCATTCTAAACTTGCCTGTCCGTGTGCCAGCACCGTATTGTTGTGTTCAACCTACATAGAGCACAATTCTCGAGATATTTTGATGAAATTGTTTTTTGTACATCGACCGGCTATAGCTTAAACGCGAAAGCTATTAAAAATCGGATTCGGATTGGCTCACCTCCTGTATAACGCCTTGTTTTGCTAATCCATATACATAGATAACAATAAAGTGTTGTAGGGTATTTAATGATGGCTTGTGGTCCGCTACAATGCTTTCACTTGTTCTTGTCTAAATCCATGGTACGATAGCAATAATCAAATATCCATTTAAATATCAAGGGGAAGCAAATGCGAAAAACAATTTTCTATAGATTTAATATAATGTCACATAAACTACGTACGTGAAAGAATCTCGAGAGAAGCACAAACATGCGTACATATTTCCTTCACGAATTCTATTAGATAAATGCATTACGACTTACATAATGTTCTTGATAATCTTGAACTTTGAAAAGTACTGCGCTTTTCTTATTGCGTAAATTATAGACAGACTTTGTAAAATTTGTAGAAACACCCTGAGCGTCAGCTATCTGTAAATTGATTGCTCTTAATCTGAATTCAGCTTCGACTTTTTGACGACGCAATTTCGTAAATTGTTCCCATTGTTTCATCTCTACGTTAGGTGGTGCGGCAGCGTAATTATCCATAGCCTTTAAAGCATCCAAATATTCGAGAACATCCTTTACTATTGGAAAATTTGAACGAATTTGCGGTTTCGCATTTATATACAATGATAATTGCTTGCAAATCAATACTGAATTCATTAGCTTTGGCGGTAACTTGGGACGTTTCTTATAAGCGCGATTCATTTCCGTAGTAAGTTGCGGGGAGACGGCATTAAGAAATTGATTTTTGAATTGACGTTCAACGGTGCGTTCTTTCACGATAACATTGTCTTGTTTGCCGCGTAAAAAAGTGATCGAACTATCCCATAATTCTGCATATCTTTCATATTTCTCTATATAATAAGCTATATCCTCGAGATCAAGTCTATAAAAATAATACATTATTATTAAGCATATATGTGTGTTACGCTGTCGCTCGCTGCTTACCGATATTTGTTAAGAAATTTCATACATTTTAAGCGAGCATTATATATAACTTTGGTATTTAAATTACGAAGACGAGCCTCCTTGATCGCAAAATCATATTTAAGTTTAGTTATCATCATATCAGTAATAGTTTCATTCAATTTCATTATATATGTGTTCTTCAATTCTTTGGATTTTACTTCGTTTTCACCCAATATACGTAAGTATTTTTTACGATCTTCATTAAGCAAACGTACTTTCTCCTCATAGTCGCGTAAAATTTTCTGATCCTCAAGTGTATATTCGGCTAATTGTTTTTTAAACATGAACTCGGGCATTGGTATATCTTTTTTGATTTCCTCTTCCCACAATTTTTCCAATACTCCATCCATCATTACAATTAGAGCTCGTACCCAAAATTCTACAGACCATAGGAGCATGCGACCCCGTTTTTTAGCAACTACTTCGGCTTTCTTCGCACGACGATTAATCGCTTTAATTTCGGAATCGTCAACCTCCATAATACGTTTAACTATCTCATCTTTTTCCCACACTGGTACCGATAGTTCGGCCGGTACAAATGTTTCCATATGCAATAAATGTAGCATAATATTTTGATTCGCATAATTTCTAGTCAAAACTGCATTCGTTTGCAATATACTGTCAATTAAATCGGATTTCAATTTTCGCACGTTATCGAATTTCTTATTGAATTCTTCTCGCAAAGGATCGATTAAAAGTTTCTAAAGAAAAATTAAAAAAGATTTTTTTTTTTTTAAATATGTTTTGTGTTTTTATTTTTACTTTCGTTATTAACTGTACAACTTGCGATGCGAGCATGTGTTCATTTCGTACGATTATGTATAATACACAGACAGGACTTGAGATAGACTAAGTCCGGAAATGCTTCTAAGCTTGTCTGTCTGTCTTGCCGTTTTATATCATTGTACTTAACCTTGAGATAAACTCATTATTATAGTGATTGGATTGGTTCAGAATGTGATTCTAATCGCCTCTGTCCGTATATCCGTCCTGTATAATTGTGCTAAACAACCTTGATATATGCTCATCTAGCGATTGATTCAGAAAGTGACACTAAATGCTTGTCTATCCGTCTGTCTGCATCATCATGTTCAACCTACAGATGATTATTTTTGATACATTGTGTTGCACCAACATCTTTTGGTCCCAGGTCGAAAATGCTTCCGACCACTTGCCTTATCATATCTAATTTTCTAGTCATTATATTAAGACAAGTGGTGTAAGATAGTTTATGGCAGACCCGTGGCCCACTGTAATACTTTTGCTTATATTGTTTTTGTTTCGCTGGTAAACTTACCTTTATTTTGACATTTTGGTTATGCATTTGATGTGCGGTCACCACATCTGTATCCTGTAAGGCTAAATCTGGCGACAAGACATGTTCGTAAACACTACTTCCTTGCACAATAAAATATTTTCGTCTTTTAATCGGTGCTTCTAATCTTTCATAAGTGTTTAATTCATCGCCATCCTTATCACCGTCCTCGTCCTCGAACGGTTCCATGCCATGGAAGCGATATAAATCATAGGTATTATGTTGGGTTTGTTTACGCAAACCGTAGTTTTCTACAGAAAAACCTGAAAATAATGCTCTCGTACGATATGAAATGGCTGTTGTAGACGTCATTATCAGATTATAAATCCAATCACGTATACGCGATTGATCTCTTATAGCGTCCATATAAGATTTACGTTCAACTTCGCAAAGTTTCTCAGCTTCGGCAGTTAAGTCTTTTAACCACCAATTATTTAAGCAAAATTTTCGAAATAATCCAGTTTTTTTTCCAGTCAACGACATATCATAATCGATAAGAGTTGTTACACTTTTCGCTAATTCATTAATGCGCTTAATTAAACTATCGCGCTCGGCGATCTCTTCCTTCGTATGCGTAATAACCACGTCGTGCACAGTCGGTTGTATATATATGTATTTGGTACTGGATCTCTCTATTATTTGCTCCGGATTCGGATAAAAGATATTGTCATATACATGTAGAGTGGGGGATGCATCAATTTTCATTGCCTTCATACCGCCGTGCACATACAAAAAGACAAGGTATCTAAAGAAAAATTAATTTATTAGAAAAATTTTAAATATATTTGACTTAGGCCATCCACATTGGTAGCGGCCTCCATATACGATTTATTTGAAAGGTATAAAATCCGATTTTAGAAAAACAGTCAAGATCAAAAAACGCCGCATTTATATACATGTATATATATTTATATATATATACGTTCGCTTCAAAGCAAAATTTCTAACTGAAGGCCCGGGAGATACGAATTCAGCCGCACTTATTTCAAAAAAAAAAGATATCGAAATATACGAAACTATGGCGAAAGGACCATTACAATACAATTGAAAGCCAGCTTCTGCGAGTCGATTGATTTTCGACAACTTTTATATCCTATATAACTTTTAGCACAAAGGTATGCATATTAGGCGTGGTGGGATGTATATAACCCCTAGAAAAACTTGAGACAGACCAGCGTTTTGTCTTATCGACAGTTCCAGAATCGACCACAAATTTGTCTGCCTGTCTGTCCATTTGTTCGTCTGACATTTGTCCATGTCATGTGTACAGATCGCGATATGAGATATTTTGATGAAATTCGTATTAGCGACGTGTTCCGTCCCAAGCACGAACACCTATTAAAAACCATTCAAATCGAAACACTTTTTCGACCCATTTTCCTTGTAAAGCCTTATTTTGAGATATTTCGATGAAATCTGGTACACGTGATGCGTTTTGACCCAAAGCCGCACCTTTGGATTCGTTTCCATAGAAAGCCTTACTTTGAAAAATCCTTATATGACAGTAAGCAACTGGCGATAGCGCCGAAATGGTGTCGGCTTGAACTGAATGGTTGGCCGTGGTCAATTACAATGTTTTTATTTAATGTAAAGATTTCAAAAACAAATTCCGCTTTTCCAATTTTCCATTATGGCACCGACGTATAGATTTTTCTAAAAAAAAAATCCGGCCTATAGTGGTGGGCCCACCAAAGAGGTAGGCTACCGCATCGCCGAATACATTTAAAACTCGACTAGCAAGGCGTTGTTCGCAAGAGTAAATCTCAGTTCGGATTAATCACTCTACTCGCTTGGTCGTATCTATAGCGAATGCTTAATCGGTATAGGCATAATTTTTATAATTTGGAACACTACACAACCACTAAACTAACAAGCGAGAGCTAATGAATATTATATTCAAAAAAGGAAACGTCTTTACTACTTACTTGAACGTAAAGCATTCGCTAGTTTTAACGACTGGTTGTTCGGCGACTTTCGTTTGCACGCAATGTGAACAAGAGTACATTTTTTTTGCTTTCGGATGAACACGTAAATGTAAGTAAGTGGCATCGAGGCTCCATGAGATAATATTACGAGCACCGGATAGGCCGGTAATACTTGCTAAATGAGTTGTTGCGAAACTGTAAACGATGCTTAACTCTTTCAGTTCGGTTTGAAAGTTCAGAATATCTATAATGACAGTCTTATAACGTGAGGCGGCAAATTGAACCGCATTTCTTAGATAGATGGCAAGTTTGGTCGCTCCGCGATATTGATGCGGCAAATTGTAATTATTACGTTCAATTCGAACGGAATGTTGTCCCCATTCATATATCCATAATTCGTTACAACTGCTCTCCTTTTGATCGCCATCTATATCGCTTTGTATAAACATAAATATGTAATTATCCTCGCTAAGGAAATAATCATATAAACGGTTTTCTGCCAAGAGTTTTTCAATTTTATATAATTGATCGAATTTGTTATTCCCAAAATCAATTTCAAATAAATAGAATACGTAAAATTCATCATGAATAACAGCGAAATTTTCCAACCATCGGACACCTTCCCATCGATGGCCGGACTCTGACATTAGCGAATGGACCAAAATGGGACTGTTAATATTCGAATAGTTTATAAACTCTAAAGTACTATGCTTGGTACTGATAATAATATATGGCGCGGTATTATGTGAACTTATGTACTTCGCTCCGGGTAAACTGAATACCGATAAAATTCGTTGTTTTTGCAAATCAATTAAACGTAAATCACCTCTCTTGCCCACTTGAACGATTGCCTCCTCTTTAGTGCCACGCAAAACAACAAAATCAACAGTTTCCCAATGAAAATGCTCGAGCGGATTTAATTCATAATTATTTTCGCTACTCTCCTCCAAACGATATAAATTACCCAAATGACCGGCAGCATATATCTCGCCATGCATATTACTCACTAAACGATATATAGTCTCGCCCAATAAATTGACTTTCCAATCCATTTGCCAAATTTGCTTTCTCCTTATGTAATAGCACATCGCGCTACTCAAAACCAATAGACCTTGTTTGTGTGGGAAAATTGAATAATATTGAAGCTCATTGGCATTGATATCTTCATCGGGAACAGACCAACGATATTTCGGATAATAATTCGCAATATCTATCTATATGTGAATGAAAGGAAACGCAAATTATTTTAAGAATATTTTCTTAAATATCTTTGTACTATACGTACCAACGACACGATGCCCTTATTATCCACATAATAAATGTTGTTATCTTCACCGTAGCATAATATAAAATTTAAATGGGTTAGACAGTATTCTTTAGGCAATTGAAGTCGAAAGATTTGATGCAATTCAGTGCCCCCTGACAAATGGCACATTTCCCAAATTAACACTTCTTTATTGTGATCGGAATATTGCAATATCTGCGGTGTGTACTCCCACGACAAAGCCAACGAATGCCGTAACGATTGCTGCATGGTATCTTGTTCGACTATTTGTTGCCCGGTACGAAAATTCCAAATGCATATCGTATAGTTTGGCGCATCGGATAAGGCAACCAATAAATCATGATCATTGAATTTTATGTCCACAAAAGATAATATATTCGGAGCTAATCGATGGAATGTTACGCAAGACGCAAACGATAACCAAACATTGATTATAAAAATTGAATCAAATATTCGAGGGAAACAAAGAATGCGAAAAAATGTAGGAGGAAGTGTAAGAAAGATATATATGTATAAAGAGATGTACGAAAGGGGCGGAGATTTATATATAACATAAATGTGTAAAGAAACGTAAGAAAGGAAAACAAAATAAATAAGAAAGAGGGAAAAATATAAGTGTGTAGAGATATGCATATATAAAAATATATAGGTGTGGGGTTCAAGAGATCCAGAGATCTAAAGATCCAGAGATTTACAAATTTAGTAATCCAGAAGTTTCTGAATTTAGCTATCGAGAAACCTAAAAAAGTGAACGTACGCGCATATAGAGATATAAAAACGAAGATATGTGGGTAAAATGGATATGCAAAAGGATGCTTTAGAACGACGACTGCAGATTGAACAGAGGGAATTTGAAGGTAACACATCTTCTTCTTCTTGATCAGCATACGCCGGAATAAAACTGAGAAAAGCTAACTCTCGAACCCCTAACCTTATTTAGTGACGGGGACGAAGCAGTCATCAATAACGAATCACATTGAGAAAATGCATACGCGATTCCGAAATGGTTCGGGTTTTACCCGAATTGTCGTAGGCCCATTAATTGACAGTGGGCTGCCACGATGTTCATAAAACAAGAAAATATGTATGTAAATGTATGGACATACAAATGCATAGATCAACTATGTCTATGCATGTTATATAGATAGATAGATGAACTGGCGATAAATATATATACATAGGAAAGAGCGAGATAAAGATGGCGATAGAGCAAATGAGTTAACCTACATGAAAATGTTGCAAACTTAGTCAACTGCGGATACTGTATTATATGTATACTGGAGCGTAGCATCAATTCAGCAAATGCTAGAAAGCCGAAACGATTATGGCCGTCCATCGCTTTTACGCTAAAACCAAACTGGATAGTTTCGCATTTGTAATAGTTCACCGTTAGAGTCTTCAAATCGGTGAAACATAGAATGTTATCGCATTGAGTGCAAACGGCCAAATCAGCAATAGCTGTTAGTGATCTAGGCTTTGCAAACGTTGTCCAACTTGAATGAAAGAGAATGAAGACAAAAAAAAAAAGAAAAATGAATTAAACAATCAAAGAACAAAAAAAAACTTTAACCCACGTGACTGTTGTGGCGGCCATATTCAATGTCTTTCTTCTTTAACGCTTTTGTTTTGTTTACTCAAATATTTATTAAAATTTTTATCTCACTTATTTTTCCTTTGCCTTTGGTTAATCTCTTTTCTTTCTGAATTGAAAATTAATTTCTTTTTCAAAATATTGGAAAATTTTTGAAATTTGTTTTATTAAAACTAATACAATTGATTAATTATCACCATGGTGAGTAAATAATACTAAAAGAAAAAAAAAACAAAAAAAAAGAAATCAATGTACTGGAAAAGTGCTCAATAAGAACTTACTTCCAAGAAGAACACCCTTCGCTGCAACAGAGTCATTTCATTGCGTTCAATGTTCTATTTCATTCAACGTTTCATGTCCGAGCTTCTTACAAGCGAAACGATTTAATATCAAAAGACGTGAGAGCACTATAGTGGGCCACAGCTCAGCATTACATACCCTGCACCAGTTCGTTTAACCTCGCATGTATTCTTATAATGACTTTTCAAAATAAAGCCTTATATGAGAGGAGTGGTCGAAAAAGTGATTCGATATATAACGTCGATGTACGAAATTCATCAAAATATCTCAAACATTGCGATCGGTAGATTGAACACAAGAAAACAAGGGCGGACGGGCGGACAGAAAAAATTGGATGTACTTTCCAACTCGGTGGGTACTATCAAAGGTGGGTTTATCCATCTTTCCGAATCGGTAGATATAATTTCAAGGAGTCCTATTCGAAGCACTTCGGGGCGTTGCATACATCCGCACCAGCTTAATATTTCGAAAGTCGTGTAAGGTCCGAGTAAATCCGTAAAGCGATTTGTGTTACAGTCCAATAAAACAAAGCTCGACAAAAACATTTTATCGGTCTGTCACAAGGACCTACCCCTCCCGCCTTGCATTTTTCCTCGCATAAAAAAATATATCGATTGGTTTATTGTCCCCAAAGATGCTTGCTTCCATTCGCTTAGAAATTTGGCGAACTTGAAAAAAATATTGAGGAAAAAATGGGGTCAATAATTCCGTTCTACCACAAACTGTGCAAGGTGTAATAATTCTCAGGCGATAGTGTTAGCTAGTATTACCACTCAACTTATTTTTAAACCAGATTTTTATTTTTTCCATTCTAAATGGCCGAACAGGCAAAGGATCTCAACTAACAATTCAATGATCGTGGGTTCCAATCTCAAGGTCAATAGAGTTTTCAATCAAGCCGATAGCTTTAGAAGCTAGTGCTTTATTAATACTTTAATTTGAATCATAAAAATAATTTCCGTTGAGAGTCTTGAAAAGCCATTCTCTGATATGGTTCGCTTGGAAAGTTCATAATATTCCGTGAAACGATTTTTATAGCAGCAATTTTTGAATCCAAGCCAAGTTAGTGCTCGAAGCTCATTAAGATCTTCCTTACAACATCATAAACAACAAGCGAAAGCTTTGTCCAAAGAGAAAACGATTAAGAAATGAAAAGAATGAGTACGCGACTGATGATTCGAATTTATCGATTAGTGAACTGATAGCGACACTGAACATGTATGCGACTTTATTTTTTTTTAACAATCGGAAGACTTGAATGGTTGCAGGAAGATTCCGAAGCATACAATAAGAGGCGTCCTTAAAATTTTCTTTTTTTTCGGTTTCAATAGAGAGATAATAAAGCGAAAGAATTCGTCCAAGTCGTAACTGATAGAAACTGATGAACCTTTTCTTGCCTTGATATGTGAAAGTTATGAAGAGCATAACAAAATTAATATATCTTCAAGCGTTTATGGCACAAACGTTAACACACTAAAGAAAATGTAAAATGTAGGGAAAACTTACAAGTGCACCTTTTATGATAAATAGGCCAAATCAAGGGAAATTTTCCGTCATTTGTTAAGGGTATTAGAGAAATTTAATTTTAGTTCATTATTAGTCATTAAATCATAAAGAACACGGGCAGTGCAATACTCAAATGATTTTCTTATAATGCATATGAAAAAAGGTGCTTTTACGTCTACAAGCACCGGTTATGGAAGACATCAACATAAGCATAATAATAATAACAATAGTAACAAATCTGGTAATAGTGGTCGACAAGCAAGTTTGAGTAAAAATCAAAAAAGTATCAAATCGGATAAGCAAGAGGATAAGCCACCTTTAGATGATCTAAATAACGATTTGAATTCAGGCTTCGGCCAATATTTGAGATCCGATGAAGGTGAGTACAAGTATTTGCAGGTTTTTTTTTTCCTTTTTTTTCAATTTTTTATCCCACAAGACGAAATATGTTGACTTCGGGCACAAAAATATGACGTCGACTTTCTCTTAAGTAGTCTTGACTAACGTGCGGCGTTGTCTTTTGGTCCGTTCTTTGTTTCAAATAAGTGAAAAGACTACTGTGGGCCAGGGCGCACAAGTAAATATCTCACAACACTTTGCTTAATATAATCGAAAAAGAGGTGCAATGCGAAGCCTGCTTCCTTCGTCTCGAAAATTGCAACTTACAGGCTGAAGACAAGACAGACACACTTAGATCGTTTCCGAAAATGATCGTGAACCGATCGATACAATAAAGAGCGGGTCTACCTCAAGTCCTCTTGGGTTGCACTCTTAATATATTTTTATATCCAAGTACCACAATTGGCGTAGGGTACAATTAATCATATGTCGGCAAACCTTCAATGTCTAAAATAATCAAACTCAGTGATTTGCAATTTAATTCGTATATTTGGTTTATATCTGCATGCAAACGCTTATCAGAACTATCGAAAACTAAATGCCAAACGGGTAACAAATACCTCCGTGAAGAAAAAACCTAACAATGCGCGGAGAGGCAAAGAAAACGTAATGCGTAAATGCGGTTATTAGGATTTCGTTGCTTTCAATTACTCTGTCTATCTCTAGCAGATATCGAAAATTCTTTCTTTTCTTTATTTAAATTAATTCAATTTCTTTGCTTTCTCTGTCCTAGGTGTGGAAATGATGAAATTATTTGTCTTCGCCAATACCGTATTATTAATTGTTACTCAAGCTTGGCCTCATATTCAACAACAATATATTTGGTTCAGACAGTGGTGGGAGGAGAGTTTTGCGAAAGAGACAATTGAGTAAAAAAAATAAATAAATAAATAACCGAAAAAACGAAAAAAAAAAACAAAAAAAAAAAAGAAAATTTTTAGACAATTTTGTAAAGAAAAATGATAGCGCCTTTTATGCAAGGATTTCTTTTACTCGGTATCGTTTATTGGTATTCGAAGGGCATTTTTAATCTTATCAACGACTATTATCGTACAGAGTTTAATCGTCAATTAAAAAGCGAACAAACAGAGAAGCCACCGGATGGCAACTATGAAACGCCAATCAATTATCAATTAGTTGATATAGAGGATTTATTAAGAATTAATGCTGCTAATATTAGCGAAACCATGGAAGTTGTAACAAATTTTGAACAAACCCTAATAGATATTAATCGCTTCTGCTTAAAACGTAATGATATAGACGAATTTTTAGATATCATATGGAAAGCTAGCGATTTATTCGAAACTAAGAAGCTATCAACATCGACATGCTGGTCAAATGAAAATAACACCTGATATTATTTTAGAGTGTTTTATTTAAAAAAATTTAATAATATATATAATTTGTTTTAATTTAAAAAAAAAAAAAAAAAAAAACAACAACAGTGGAAATATTGGCTGTAAGTATCGAACCTGCATTCATGAATTCATTTTAATTACTCTATATGTTAAGCAACAACGTTAAAGGCTTGATGTGTGTGCTGCTTAAGACTCCCGGTTCAAATCACAGTTTTTTCTGTTATTTTTTTTTTTTTTTTTTAGTGTAAATTAAGAAGTTTAAAAATATTCTTCAAGAAATTCAAGTGTAAGTTATTTTTGAAGGGAGCAGTAAACTCTGTTGCCTTTGTGCAAATTAACTTTACCAATCAAGCTCCATTAATCTATGTCAATGAAATATTTGCCCTAGGTTTAATTTCAAGAGATGTTGTTGAAATACTATATATAATATTTTCGGAGATATTGATTGAATTTGAGTGCTAAAAATCCCTATCCTTTGGTTGATTGTTGGTGGTTACTATCGTTCTACAACTTGAAGACTTCTCCCCCTGGCTCTATTGCGGGGATCACACACCCGCCTCTACTGCAAGCCAACGTTAGAAGCTTTTCTTTAAAGCCAGATTCCTCTCCTGCTTGTCTGTTATGCTTGTTATGTATTATGCTGTTAGTCCTTTGCGATCATGGTTTTCGAAGAGCATTATTCAAAAAAAAGTAAGGACACCTCTATATATATATATCTATTTATTTATTGTTTGTAAATAAATTCACAAAATATGGATTTAAAGGTTGCTGGAAAACTTAGCTCACGGGCTCGCCTATATTGAAAACTCTACCGCACTTGAGATTTGAACCCGCGACCAATGACTCGTTAGTCTATGTGTAAGTATATACATATATATTTGTATATATATGTATTTATTTTTTTTTTTTATAACTATCTATCAATCAAAGGACGTCCTCTCCGTAGAGGTCAAGTCAAAGATTTCACTACCAGATCTCAAGCATTTTAAATTTTTACAGATTTTTACAAACTGTTTGTGAATTTGATCTTAAGAAAACAAAACATACTCCTCCTTCTTGTCTTTTCTTTATTAAACATTGAGTTTATTACGGAAAATATAAATGTTTTATTTTTTAACTCTACTGCTAATAGTACAATACTTTCTTTATAAAGTTTTGTGTAATAAATTTCATAATGTCTTTTCCATGCCTTCGTTAAGTTTCATTTTTTCATTATTCAAAATTCAATGAAATTATTTGCATTCTCTTTTATGTTATTTATTAAGTTTTTTTCTTTTACAATATTTATAATAATAATTTGTAATAGCTTTTTTTTTAGGCTTAAGAATTCAATTTTTTTTTTTTTTTTTTTGCAATGGAACTCGCACTCAGCAAAATTTGTTTTTATAAAAGTTTCTACCATCATTTTCTTAATTAATATAAAAGAAAAAAAAATATTAATTAACTTCAAATAACTACAAACCATTACAAATCACAACCATTAAATCAAATTTTATAAAAAAATAAAATATTTAAGAGGAAAATTTGACAAATAAAAACTTTGCAAAAATTCACATTTATAATTTAAAATTTTTCTTATGGCAGCAAAGAAAACAAATAAATGTCAATTCTTTGACCCTACATCACTTGTAGTGCAAGATGTGTGAATGTATGTAACACTCAGAAGAAATTCAAATAGATCGATCAAGATTCAGGACCCTTTTACTGAATCGATCTAAGCTTGTCTTTCGCCTGTCCAGGAGCAAACGCTATTGAAAATGATTCGGACCACCGTTCGACCACATCTCATATAACATCGAACGCTGGTAAATGCAAAAGTGCAGGATTGTGTAGGATTGTGTTGATTTTAGTGTTATCGGTTTTTTTCAATATTAAGAAAAGAAATTTTTTTTTTTTTTTTTTTAATATTAAATTTTTGTGTCCGCTGAGTTGTTTACCACTTTGCTGCACAATAACTATAAATTTATTATTAAATTATTTATAATTACAACTTGAAAGTAGAACTATTGCATACATGGAACGTTTGATCGCCGAAAAGACTTTAAAGAAAAGAGAAAAAATTTTGATTTATATCTTTAGAAGCCACTATCTATTTTCCTGCAAAATGTTATTACAAAGGTCCGGAAACTCTTCAGTAACTAAATAGAAGAACCATATTTACTTTTTAAACATTTCTATATTCCAATTATCTGAAGGGAATATGTATGTCACTCTATTGTTAATTAGGATCTCTCTCCTCCTGCCCTAATTCTTCCTTCGCATCACTGCGCTTATATCTTGCTCATATGGGCGACAGCTGATGAACGGCTGGTCAAAAAAATTGTATTTTTGAGCTTATATAGCCGACTGAAGCAAGAAGTGTAGCACGTTTATCCTATCGTTCGTAATGCGAAGACATAAAGACATCAAGGTCCGCTTGAAGAATGTGAGTTTCGGTAAGAAAAAAACAGAGCCAGAAGAACTTGAGATACACCCAGCTTGCATTATCCATTGGTCTGTCCGTCTTTCCACCACACATCTACCTATGCATTTCTTTCGATTCAAAGCGGGTACGTCGGATAATTGTTGAGATGTTTTGAACAAATTTTTCATATACTTTGATGATGAACGCAGGCATGTTTTGGCCTAAGTACCGGAGCTATAGAAAATAAGTCGGATCGGCCAGGGTTTTTGACCACTTTCCATGTAACGACTTATTTCGACAGGTGATGTAGGGTACCTAATGGTAGACCGTGGTCCGCTATAATATTTGCAAATAAAAAATTGCAAATTTTTCTCATATAACGATTGTGTTATAATAAAACTTTATACTCTTTTGACTGATATCCCATAAAATTGTTGATATATACACTCATACAAACATTTCCTAAAATCAACCTGAAAATCATTTTTCAAATTATAACAACCAACTAACTAACGCGCTCAAAATTAGCGAAATAATTTGTAATACCTTACCCAAGGGTAAGGGGTATATTCATTCTATCTAAACGTTCATCACGCCCAGAAGGAAACTTCAGAATGCCAACAGCATTGATCAGCATTAAATTATGAATCGATTTAAGCATGTTGAGCTCTCCATCTGGCCCTCTATGTAATGTCTGTTGTAATCATCCTCCTGGCCTCAAAAATGTTGCCTTGAAACCCCATAAAGTATATAAATTTCCATCCAGACTAGCACCTGGCTAGTTATAGATGAACGTTTATGTTATTTATTATCTGGTTAATAGATCTGACAGAATTTTTTTTTACTTGTCCCCATAGGAGCAATTTCAGAATGAAATTTTAATTAAAACCAAAAAGCTGTTTACACCGTAATACGTGAAGTAATTCGTAGCTTTGCCATAAGGCGAACTACTAAGCTAAGGCGAAACTAAACTGAATCAAACGCAAAGTTCACTTCCATACAACACGTTTACAGATTCGCAGATATTAATGAGAATTCTATTTTTCCAATCTCTTTAAATTTCTATATTTTTAGCACTGAAACTACCGCAAAAGTCCCACTTTCAAATATTTAATATTAAAAAAGAAATAAATGGGTAAAAAGCTCCATCATTTTTCTGATGACTTTTATTTATATGAACAGATCTTTCATACCTTCCTCTATAACTTTCAGTCCTATGGAAGTAGCTCAGATCTACCCATTCCCAATCGCTTAAGAAATTCTTTGTGCTAAATTTCAGCTTTCTACCATCATTTTTTTGACTGCAGGATATTTTACAAAATATTACGCATCAAAATAACCCACAACCATAGAATGAGATCTGTACAGAACGTTGATAATTCTAGTGTCAAAGATCAGCTCCTCAGAGTAGACTACAAAATGTTTTTTAAAAGTTAGTCCGCAAATATGTTATAATTTAAAGTAAAAAAAAAAACAAGTGAAAATATTGCAGTCGAGCAAGGCTGACTATTGTGTATCCTACACCACTTCACTCGTATTGGTAATAATGCAACAAAATATTATTTTCATACAAAGGCATACTTTTCATGAAATTCCACATATTACAAGAACCCTTACATGCGATGGCATACAAAAAATAGATCTACGTGGTTCCTATTCGATAAGCTTGATCGCTACGACAAGTTGCTATTATGAAATGATTTTCACAATGAATTATACTTTTTTACTATGCAAAGATTCAGTTTTCGTAGAAACGGTTATAGGCGAGAGAGTTCAAAAAATTGCCCTAGTCGAATCAAATTTTTCATACCAACTTAGAATGTCCAAATATTATAACAGAGCGAGCTTTATTCAGAAATTTTGAAAATTGAAATTTTTCTTCATATAACGTTTATATGGGCAGCGGTCGAAACAGTTCGAATCATTCGTTCGTCCTCGGATCAAAGCACTTCGGTGTACCAAATTTCATCAAAATATCTCAAAAAGTGCGACCTGTAGCTTGAACACAAATTTAGCTGAACAGACATCAGACGGACAGACAAGTATCATTTTTCCGGTATAATAAAAGGTAGGCCGATCTTAAGCCCTTGTGCGTGTTACCTTGTACCTTGTGTGCAAGCAGTGTAAGGTACAATAAGCATAACATTAGAAAATTTCTTGAAAACGATCCCTTTGACAATGGAGACAACGACATACTAGACTTACTTTTCCAGTTGCAATAATGAAAAAGAACGACTTGAAAGTCTTACAAATTCATAGCCGACATAAGATATTGCGAAACAACTTTTAGTCAAATCCTCCGGTTCGCATTTGCATATCCATCCGGACGAATAAAAAAAGAGGACATTGTTCGATACACTTGCAATTGATATTTAAATTTAAAACCAGATCTACACATAACACAGCCATTTAAATTTTAACCGATCATAAGCCGCTTAAGAAATAATAAACTAAGAGTTAACAAGAACAAAATAGGTGAAATCGCTTGGAACTGCGTTGAATTTTTGAAATTAAAGGTTAAGTCACTTCTTTAAAACTTTCAAAGTTCGCTAAACCAAACATGTACTATATGTAGAAAAGAAATTTCTTTTCAATGATTATTATTATTATTCGTTTTCTTTTCTTTTCTTAACTTTAGTAAATTTTTTTTTTTTTTTTTTTTTTAAACAAAAACATCTAAAGTTTAATAAACATTTAATGAAAATTTCCATTTTCGTATAAACGTAAAATTACACTGGAACGGAGCACTCTACAATTATACTCAAAAAAAACAATGCCAAGAGAAAAAACAAATTTTTAATACTTTTCTCTCGTTGCATATTATAGGGTGTTCCGAAAATTTACGCAAGATTTCAATTAGCCAGAGAAGTAAATTTGAAGACTAAAGTCTTAAGGCATTTGCTTTTAAGACTATCCGGCTTTATTGAAGAAAACTCTACCGCACTTGAGATTTGAACCAACGATCATTGAGTTATTAGTCGGAATTCTTTGAATTTGGCCATTCAGATGGCATAGGGGTTTCTGTACAATAGTATATCGGGCAGAGGCCCTTCACCGCTTGGCTGGCACAGACGAGGCACGCACTCTTTTATCGAAAATGAAATCCCTGAGAGAGAAAGAGACAGAAAAAGAGAGAGAAAGAGAGAGAGAGCAGTTGAATTGTTTGACGGGATATATGGCATGTAGCGCAAGTCGTTCACATCAGTACCATGCAATCCAGGCAGAGAGAGATGAATTATCAAAGCGCGATGTTTAAGACCAGCAACAGTCATAGCTTGGGCAGCCCCATTTTCAAAGGAGTATAGCCAAAATTTTATTATTTTTTGTAACATCGTTCAACAATGAGAAAAAGTTTAATGATCCTCAAGTGTTACTTATGGAAGTGCTTCTAGGTGTGAATAGAAGAGGAAGGGAACGGAGGCGGGGGCGGGGGGGGGGGCGCACAGATGGCAGCACATTCAAATCTTGCATTAATTTTTGGACACCTTTTACAAATAAATACCTACATACATACATATATAAATGTCGATATCGTGTCGTATAAGTAAGTAATTAATATAAGGATAATTTAATGATATGACTAACAATATAATATGCTTTTAATCTTTTTTGTTTTTTTTTACTTTTTTTTTTTTATACCTATAAATAATTGTAGGTAAGCACTCTAATCGCTCATATATTACTTTTATATGTTTATGCATTATGAAGCAAAATTGAAAAGAAAAAAAATATATGTATATATGTATATATTATATATATTATATAATATATGTAATTATGGCTTAATATAATACAAAACAAAGTTTTGCACAAATCGTTATTGTTAGAGTTTGGCTTACAAATGTCACAAAACCATTTAAAAGTTATGGTAATGTAGTGAAATAAATTTACGATAATAAAAATTCATTAAAAAAAATAATAAAACATAAATTTTTAATTGTGCGTTGTTTATGTTACCGATTAGAGAAAGAGAGAGAAAGAGAGAGAAAATTTAACAAAATAAATAGATTTTATTGTAATATTTTTTTTTTTTTTTATTACAAATACAAAAAAAATGGAACAAAAAAAAAATATAGAAAACAATTAAAAATAATACAAAAGCTAAAAAAAGAAAAAATTTAATTTTTTATAAATAGTTTAATTTTCTATTATATCCATTACTACAATTAGTTTAGTTAGAAAAAGAACGCAATATTTATTAATAGAAAGCTATGCTTTCAGGCTGAAGCACTTCTCAAAGCAATCTATGATCTCTCTTCAAACGGATAAATGTACATATACGTTATTTATTTTTTAAAAGCAAAGTAATTGATATTTTTTTTTTCAACCTGCTGCTATATATCCGAGTATATTCAAAGATAGAAAACTGCTTTAGACACATCTTTTCAATACTCCCCTTAGCAAAAGAGTAAGAGAGCAAAGAAAATAAAATTTAATTTTTGATTTTTTTAAAATTCTTTTTTTCGCTTTCCTGCAAGAAGTCATGGAATAGCTCTTTGTCGATCTTCCACAATTGAGAACTTCTTTAACAGATTTCCTGAATCAAGACAAAAGGTTCAGTTTTTAAAGATCTCTTATCCTTGATCCTTCAAAATTTACTTCAAAATCGTAGACTGCTCATAGGCGCAATCATAAACAAGGTGAACGAGATGTTTAAAACTGTTGCCTCGATAGAATGTACTGCCTTCGGAACGTATATGTGCGAGGCCGTTTTTGAAAACTCTTTCCATAAATGCTCATAAGATAAATTGCAATTTTTTAATACTTAATTTTTTTTTTTTTTTAAATATTTAAAAGACTTTTGTAAATCGAACATACTCGAGTCCGATCATAATTGTCTGATCTCAAGATCTGATCCTAACATTTTAACTCTGACGACGCTACATGATGCTTAATGCTATCATATGACTTTAACCTCCATACGATTAGAAATGCAAATAATAGGTGTCATGTGTACAGCGTTAGGAAGTATTTCCGTACGCGAAGTGAAAGAAGGAAAGGTATTACTTTATAAAAGGCAATGATTTAGTTACAAAAAATTGCTTAATTGTTTAATTTAAAAATAATTTAAAAATAGATCCCGAAAAGTATGCAATTTTCTTAAATGCCTATCTATCATGTAATCCTGTGACTCAAAGGTAAGACCAATATTCAAGTCAGAACAGAAATATTTTTTTTCTAAATTGCAAACACTATGACAGACACATTTAACATATGACAAATGTCAAATTTCACGCCATATATATCATTAGGGTTTCATATGCGCTTCGCTTCGCACAACACAAAAAGAATTTGAATATGGGATCCGGAAACAACCGATCAATCAAACTAATATTATGTCTGAAGTGAGACAAGACCTCGGCACAGTCAAGGTGGTGTTAACCATTTTTACCCATGATCGTGGTGTTGTGCACTATGAATTCCTTTTGCCGGACCAAGCTATTAATTCCTACTATTTGACTTTGAAGACGTTGATATAAATTTGAAATAATAGACAGATTTCAAAAATATTTATAAATAAATTGGTCTTACTTTTTGGACACAAACCTATTGTTATTACTATTATTATATATATCGGTTACAGTAGTCCATAAATCTTAAATCTCAACTGGAAATAATTAAAAATAACAAGCAATTATTATATAAATATCAAGTTAAATATTTCAGAAAATCGTTATGACTATGTTTCGTGTTTTGAATAAATATATATCTAAACATATATATATATACATATATATGTGTATATAAAAGTAACCGCCCACAGAAATTATAAATGTTTCGTTCTGATAAACGTTTTATAAAAATAATTTTCAAATTTTTTGTACACCACTCCTGATTACTTTGATTTTCAATCATAGAATTAGTTTTTTTTTTTATTAAAGATATGCCTAAAGTTTAATAGGTGTACAACCCAAGCTTTTTTACACGGTTTTTTATACGGTCTTCTTACACGATTTTGAAATAACACGGTTCACTTATAAGAATAAATACATTTTTACACGTATTGTATATTCTAGAGTGAAACCCGAGCAAATTTTGAAAAATTGCTTTGATCCTTAACGTGGAACATATCTTAAATTTTGTTGCTAATAACAGACTTTATAAAAACAGAAAACCAAAAAAGTCCGTTAATAACGGAAAAAATTCTTCATTTGAATCGAACCCGGGCATTGTGGTAGACATATATAACCTATCCGCTTATGAAGGCATTTCTCAGCTTACACGAGATTTCGCAAAATAATCCGTTGAAGTTGTATGGGACTGAAAAATAATCCGTTGAAGTTGTAATGAAACGAAAAATAATCCGCTGAAGTATGTTTTCTTGGATATTCTTTCAGTGACTACATGAAATGTCACGACTTGCTTATGTTTCATACTGTGATGGCGAGTGGTTTCCCCTTGGTTAGTTCCCGCTATACTCGAAATCCTCACATTTACATCCCAAGAATCTCTAGGCTGCAATTTGGAGAAATTGTTTGTGGTGAGAGTAGCTCGCTACTGGAACTGCTTGCCGTATGAAATCCACATTTTCTCACATTCTAATAACACTCTTCGTCTTAAAGTTATGGATTATTTTCGTGGTCATACATGATTATCACTTGGATATTCTGAATAACGTGTGCATAAATCCAGTGGATAACCGTGGCTAGGCAAATGAAGGTACCTCATGTTGTGTATACTTCCCGCATTTGTTGCCCAATCTGCAATAAAAGTGCCCGCTTGTTATCAAGTGGCTATGAATAATGACGAAATTACTCTTTATTCCTAATTTGAATTTAAATTTTTAATAGTTATACTTATGGCCTGAATTCTTACTGTACATAAATATCATTTATTTTGATTTTTTTTTTTTTTTGGCAATAAAAATGAGTTGTTTTTGTTTTATAAACATATAATAGGAATTTCATTATAATAATTCTTTTTTGCACGATTTTTTGAGAAAATATTTTGAGTTATTCATCTTAGACGATTTTTTAAATTCTACCATGTCGCGCGAATTTTTTTAAACAATTTTTTTTTGCACGGTTTTCTAAGAAACGTATCTACCGTGTAAAAAAGACTTGGGTAAGAGTGAAAAGTATGCTATGATTTTTGTTTTTACAGATCAGCCTGAAAATGAGGCAATTTTTTAAAATAGTAAAGAAAACAAGTGTTAGATAAATCAAAACATAAAAAAAAACATATTTTTAAATAAAGTTCTGTGAAATCGTTAAGAAATCGTGAAACAATCTGACTTCCTACTATCATAGTAATGGACATAACACGAACAAATCGAACAAATTTAAGAGAATGCAAAAAAAAAAAAAAAAAAAACAAATAGTAAATACTTTTAAAGTCGATACCAAGTGCAAATAATGCGAAGAAATATGACAACAAGTTAATCTGCTTGCTTTTTCACCAGCACTGGTGGCGGTGGCGCCGGTACAGTAGGCCTTTTTGGCGCTATTATAATATTGGGCGTTACAGGTGTCGTAGGCGTAATACGTATTGTTGTTTCCGTTGCGATTGGCGTTTTCTCATTATTAATAAAAGTCTGTGAAGTGGTTGCTAACGTAACGGGAGGATTTGTAATGTTTTGTGAAGGCTTATTAATTAACTGAGCATTAGCGTTGACTTCGTTCGCTTGTTGTTGTTGTTGTTGATTATTGTGATTTGTCTCTCTCACTAAAATTAAAGGTGCCGAAGAGGTATTACTGGTACCTATGTTAGCCTGCAAAGCAGTTATATTATCACAGTGCTCTTGCACCAATTGTACAGCTGTTTTATGACCACGAAAACTACCAATCATAGCAGCAATACCGCTACTATTTAATTCTAAATTTTCCTCATCACTTTTATTACTATTTACTGCATTCGTGGAGGTATTTGTTGTCAAACCCAAAGTTATGGGTCTTTTGGGTATTTTTGGTTTTTGCGGGAGATCAGGTTTAAATGTCAGTGAACTAACGCTATCAGTACTTTTACGATCAGCCACCGGTGATGGTAGATTATCCATACATAAAAATTGTGTACGAGTCATGGGTATGGGTTTATTGATAACAGCTGCACTTGCAACAGATGCTGCATTCGTGGTTGTTGTTGTTGTTATTATCGCTGCTGTATTGGTTACATTTTCTGTCGACGTTATCATTAACTGTTTGGATAATGATAAGTTTTCTGGTTTCTCTATCTGACCATTATTATTATTATTATTGTTATGATTGTTGTTGGAATTGTTATTATTATTGTTTGCAATAAACGAAGAGCTGCTATTTTGACTATTGCTGCCATTATTATTACCCGGAAATAATTCTTTACCTCTTTGGTGATTAGTTTGTTGTTGTTGTTGTTGTTGTTGTTGTTGCATTTGTTGTATATCAGTATTATTTTGCTTATTATTAGAGTCTAACATAACCGATGATTGTCCATTGATTTCTGGATTTAATAAATTATGTAATTTTGTAGGCGGTGAGGGGGCGCAAGGTTTCTGTCGTCTTATGGTTCCATAGCGTGGACTTTCGGCTACATCTAATATAACGAAAAATCAAATAAAATATTAATCTCGAAAAAAAGATAAATAAAATTCGCCAACTCACCATTTTCGGAACGATCTAAATTCTCATTCGAGGATGAAGATTTATTTTTATCCTCCATAAATATTTTACCGCGTTGCAGTGTTACAAAAAAGTCTACTTCACCATCAAAGAAATAATCCCATTGACTAATTAACAATTCAACGATAACATTGACAGCCGATGAGCAATTCACTTGACCCATATAATCAGCCGGATTATTTTTATCCACTGGCGGCCATAGCATGTTAGGCGACATAACTATCGCCAAATTTTGTGAACTCATCTTATTTTCGCCGACATATTGGGTAATTAACCATAGAAATTTTGTTAAGTAACGTAAATTTTTATAATTTTCAATAGGTAGCTTTTCTAAAATTCGTTTAATTTCAGCCTTACGTTCTACATCGGTATGCTGCTCAACTGCTTTTATGAAATCCTTATAATAGATATGCGTTAATAGGGGTTCCGGTAATTCACGTAAATACAATTTTAATATGCAAGCGATAACATGCGGATCTTGATAATCAATTGGTAGAGGAGTTTTAACATATTGAGCCTCTAAAGCGTGTTTCATACGTCTTAGTTTTGTACTAGCACAACCCACACGCAATAGACCTTCTTCGCACAAACCATTCTCAACTAAACAGCATACACATAACTCAATAATTTGTGAAATTTCACGATTCGTCGAAGCTAAATGCTCATTAAGCGAAGTACCAAAACGCGTTTTAACCGATGATTGTATAATATCCTGTATGCTGGCCAATGATGAGTTGATCTTTTTCAAAGCACGTTCATGATAATTTCTTTGGTTTAATATATAATCACGTACACATTGAACAATATCATCTTCCTTGGCGATCAATTCAAACATTTGCGCCGCCCAGGCATCACGTTCTTTGTCCAATTTCACTTCACATTGTTCCTGCTGATCTTTAATATGATTAATCTTCGACTGCGATTCATCCAAACGTATAGCTGCCTATATAATTAAGAAAATCGTTTTTGGTTTTTTTTTTTTTTTTTTGTTTTTTAATTTAGTTCAAAACTTTTTTAAAAATTAAAACAAGCAAAAAAAAATTTAATGGTCCAAACATCGTCCACCACCTCGTGGTTATTCATAAAAGGACTTTTTGAAAATAAGGCGTTATAAGGGAAGTGCCCGAAAAATGGAGTAGTGTCTGCCCTTGGACTAAAACATGTCGATATATTAATTTTCATCAAAATATTTCGAAAATTGCGTCCTATATCTTGAACACAAGAAAACAAGACAGTCGGACAGACGGACTCCAGAAAGACTTGAGATGGATACAGAATCATTTTCGAAATCTAATATAAATTCGTGATGGTGGTTATGTCTTTACCGACAGAGTACTCTCAGATTTAAGCTCGCGGAACTTTCACCTACCTATCCCATGCGAGATGTATGCGGATTATTTATGTCAATCGCTTTTCGTTTCAAGCCCTACACAACTATCGTAGAAAATATTCGTATTCGTTTCAATACTAGCCTTACAGTGCAATATATGTTACAATCTTTGACTTGAGCATTAAGTGAGAAGAAGAATAAAGCAAAATAAATAAAGTCTAGCAGAGGGACCAATATACCTACAAATTTCATCCAATATATGTATTACGAGTACTTGAGAAATTTCTTTGAATGTGGCCAATAGAACAACTAGATTAGTATACTTGCATTTCCTTAGTTATAATAAAAAAAAAAATTAAACTTTGCTTAACCACATTTTCTTTTTGTTTTCGTCGGAAACTTTTCTCATACTCAGCCAGATAGATATTTTATTAATTTATTAATGCCTCATAATTATACCGTCAAAGTGGAGAAAAAATCGATATCGAATAACTTTACATAAGAACAACAACAATAATAACGAAATAAAAAGAAAGTTAAAAAACAAAATATATTTGTTATCATTAAGAAAAAAACAAAAAAAAAAAAAGCAAAGAAATGATTTATTATCAAACGTACATTAAGCAAGAAATTATACACCGACTTGTACATATTAGGTTCTCGATAAAGTTATGACGCATACTTGCTTGCACCAATCTACTCATGTATATGTATAAATATGTATAAATGCATATTTCTTAAACAACAACTTGATGTAACTATTCAAATGATCATGAACTTGGAATAATGACTTTCTTTGTCTGCTTCATCTTAATATTTCAATCATTCGTTATTGCTCTCATGCCTATCTTATTTAAGTTGATTTGTTTATATAACAAAAACATAATGAAAACTTACCTCATAACTACGCTTTAATGATGTGTATTCTTGTACTGTACGGGATACGTTGCGTTTTAATGTAGAGATCTCTTGGATTTCATTGTCCAGTATTAATTTAAGACGCCGCACCACTTCCGTCTCCGTTTCCAATTCACTGTCAACAATACACTCGGCAATTGACTTTTCAAGTTCGCCTATATACCACCAAGCAACCGATACCGCATATAAGAAAGAACGAGAACAAAACAACAAAAAGAATATAATATGAGAGATAAGTATATGACAACAACGACAACGACGACAACACGAAAAAATACATATATAGTAGGCCACGGCCTGCAATTAAATATCCTACACCACCCTACAGCTATTTATATAATAACTTTTCAAAATAAGGCATTATATGGAAAGTGATCGAAAAAGTAGACCGATCCGTACCATTGGCAATAGCATTCGCCCTTGAGTCAATTTTCATCAAAATTCAATATTTCAAATATTACGGCCTACTGGTGGAACGTAAAAGAGAACAAAAAAGACAGACTGACGGACGGACAGACAAATCGACTAAAAAAAATCATTTTGAATCGATTGGTATGAAAAAAAGGTGGGTCTATCTCAAGCGTTTCTGAGTGTTGCATACATCCGCACAAACCTATTATACCCTTTTACCACAAACGATGTAGGATATAAAAAGATAACAATAATAATAATGAAAAGGGACAAAATTCATAGCTACTAGTGAAGCTATGCAATCATATATACACGCTTCGCAATGTATGCACTTAAAATAGCATATCGTTGTTTGGAAGGAAAGCAAGAACAACAATAAGAACAACAAAAATACAAAAAAGAAGGTATTGACAAAAATTATGTGTATACGGGTGGATGACACTAAACATTCTCTAGTTGATAATGTGCTATTGTTATTCTACACGCTATTGTATAGTGTAAAATTATCAAATTAATTAACACATCCATGTAGAAGCAACCAGAAATTCTTAATTAAACCAGGAAAATAATTTGTATAAGCTACTAGAAGAAAAGCAAAAGGAAAATAGATTATTTATAATATAGTTACGATCAAATGTTTATACGTGTTTGTTATTTAAATAATCCATACTGCAAATTATGAAAAAAGTTAGCTTACGTATTCTTAATGCATAAATTATTCTTGTAATTTGGTTTAAAAACATATATACAAGACAGTAATTATGACTTGTGTTTAAGAAACAATAATAATTTCTATCTTACTTTGCCTTAAACAATTATTTATTATGAGCAATAAGAATGGAAAAAGCATTTATATATATTATATAGTTAAGATAAAATTGAACTTGGATGAAGTTAGATTAGTTTTTAAAAACCCTAGATTAAATTGGATTCTCAGTGGCCATGATCGTCTATGGTTGCAGAATAATTTTTGCAGTTATTCCATTTGATGACAGACAGAAAGATAGTAAGTTTTAGATTTCTTTTGTTTTGTCTTTATCCAGTTTTTCTTATACTTTTTACTCCTTTTTTTTGTTTCTTTTCCTGCTTTTCCCTCGGTTGGTCAAAATTTCCGATTAAAAAATATAGTCCTCCTTAATCAATCATAAAACTAAGATGAAATTTTGTATTGTACGTATATGGCTAATAGTCGGAGATGCAGAGATTACTTAATTGTTAATTATAAATCACCTTCTTCAACCCTATAAGTGTTTTAGGTCAATTTTTCTTTTTACAGTTGAAATGGATTTTTTTGTTTTCTTTTTTGTTGCAAAATAGAACGAAACGCAACAAAACGGCAAAGCCGACCGACATAAATAACGCCTTATTTATGGTTAGTTTTGTTTTTGTTGTTTGCTAAACAAGGTCAAACTTCCCCATTAAGGTGAGGTTGACGAAAATGAGGTATAATACACAAATAAAGTGAAACATATTCATAGCACAACGAAACCAATCGTATATTCATTCTATTATGTATATATGTACACTAAAATCAATCACGTTAATGTAAACCTTTTTTCTTTGTTTTTTGCTTTTTTTTTTTCTAAATCCATTAAATATGTTCAATTTATTTACTTTAACTTACCGCAATTAACTAATACATGATGCAGTGGTATATCTTTTGATAACTCTTTAGAAGATTCCTCTAAAGCAATACCAATTTTATAATGACTTTGTTTCTTGATACGTTTATCACGTTCTTGATTATCAATAACCGTACTACCGCTAACAGGTAGCTTTCGAACCATTTTCTCCAAAACATCACGATATTTTTCTACTTGCTTTTCAACGTTCTCCAATTCGAAATCTTTACGATCCTGTTTAGTGGATCTAAACAAAAAAGAAAAATAAAAATAATAAAGAAAAAAGCGTAACATAAACAAAAAAGTAAATAAATACATTTATTATAAACGATGACATAAGAGTTATGCGTGAATATTGAGAAGCGGTGGATTTTTAGCAGCCTAAGCGAGAAACACAATAATAACAATAATCTTTTAGGCAAAGGCAACATTCCTTTACAGCCGCCTTTAAATGACATTTTGTCAGGTTCAATTACCTTGATAGATTTTCGGCTGCTATCATCATTTTAGTAAATTGTTTCTTCATTTTTAGTGCTATTGTTTATATGAAAATCCCGTATGATAAACTTTTTCGATTTTTTTTTCTTTCCTTAATTTATTTATTATCTTAGTATTAGATTTATTTTCTTTTTTAAGTAGCAAAACACACACAAAAATTAGTCATTCTTTTTGGGTAATGAATGCAAAAAAACAACAATGCAAAGGCGTTAAATGGATGACATAAAATAAAAATTTTCATACTATTATCTGTGTTCAGTGCAGAGGAGACAACAACATTGTACAAAATGAGAACAGTTACAGACGGATAAATAAAGAAGAGTTTATAACAACTCTGCTTTTGCTGAACATATGTGGAAAGAACGCATGCAATTTATTTCAATTTTTTTAATTAATTCATACTTTAAGCGAACATAAACAGTCGGTTTTTTTGCCTTTGTATAATAATTGAGGAGATAAATGAAAGTTTCTAATCAAAGACAAATAGGTTTAAACCAAGTTTTGCTAATTTTGTCAATAAACTGCATTAAAAATTGTACTCAACACAAACACAAACCATTTTCTTTCAAAGATAAACAATATTTTTTTTTTTTTAGTATGTTGAACAAAGATAAACAATATAATTCAATTATAATGCCGGCAATCGTTGCATACAACAACAAATCCAGGCAATCTTCGTAATCTACTCTCAAAAGTAAACAAAATTGTACAACAACAATCCCGGGTTTTCGCGCAAAATATATATTGCCAACACATGTTTTTTTTTTTTTAACTAAAACGTGTCACCTGATGCTTTACATGCATCCGTGCTGTACACACATAAAAAAAAAAAAAAATTGGAGACGATAACTTTTCTCTGGACTATATAATTATTCTTTCATAAGAAAATAATTTTTTGTTTTAGTACAAACTAGGTTCATTATTATTCATCATTAACAATTTTTGAACATAAGAATATTTTTTCGTGCTACACTGAACATACACCTTGCAATTTATTTCCATATTTTTGTTTTTGTATGTCAACACGTGTTTTGATAAAACTTAAAAACATTAGCAAAATCATACGGACAAAATGACAATACAAATGGATAAAAAACATCTAATGAGATTTTTACGGGTCGAAAATGAGCGCATTATGGACCTGTTAATAAATTGTAAAGTTCCTGATTCTGTAGAAGGTAAGAACTATTAAAGTAATGTTAAGAACATTTAATACCTATCCATTCACTTACCAGATACTGACTACGAAAGTTATCTGCTGCCAAATGACAAGCCCGTTAATATTAATAAACAACAAATTTTAAAAAATTCGATGCCGGATGATGAACTGCAGGATCGATTAAATCTAATCAAAAACAAAATGAAAATGAAAAAAGGAACTTCTGAGAAGAACCGTGAAAGGAAAGAGACCAAGAAGTTGCGGAAAAATAAAGAATTTAAGAAGGTATTGATATCGGCGGCGAAATCTTTGAAAAACGAGCAATCTAAACAAATTCATACCATTAAACATGATGACGATGAAGAAAATGAAAGCAAACGCGATATAAAACCGATAATAACTAAACCCATATTTAATGAAGAGGGGAAAATTGTTTTTTCTAAAATAGATTTCGCTCAAAAGCGTAAACAATCTCATAAAAATCCTCGTGAAATATTAAATGAATTGAAAGAAACCGATAAAAAGATCAATGAGCTTAAGGAACAGGGCGATATTATAAAAGCTTCTGAATTAAAGACTGAATTATCGTGGAAGAAAGCTTTCGATAAAGCTGATGGTAAAAAGGTTAAAGATGATCCTAAATTACTTTATAAAACCATCAAGAAACACAAACTTGAGAAGAAGAAATCGAAAATGGAATGGCAAGATCGTGAAAAAAAAGTTGATAATGATATAGCAGCGCGGCAAAAGAAACGTCAAGAGAATATTAATAAGCGAATAAAAGATAATCAAATTCGAAAACTAAAGAGAGCGAGCAAAAAGGGACGAGTTATACCGGGATTTTAATAAAGAATATTTAATTCAAAAAATAATTCTATAAATCTCATTTTCTCATTCTAAAGCCGGTCTTCTAACATTACAACCGTGATTACCTTTCCATGACACGGAAATAAGCATTGGTTCTTATAGCAGCTAACTATCAGTCGGAGCTATTGCATAAACATTATTGTTAACATTAGTGTTATTTTAAGTTTTATTTCAGCAATAGAGTATGGACTACAATGTACGAAAAAGAAAAGTGAATCTTTGACATTACGTGACAATTCAACGGCAACCATAATAAACCGATCTAGAACTTGGAACAAGAAGAACTTAAAGGGTCCTCTTGGTCCTTCTCACCGGGTTCCAGTAGTGGAGTTGAATTCTTTCCATGAGGAAACTTTTAGATAACCGACAAGTCATGCATTTTTTTTTTTTTTTTGTTGCAAGAGACAAAGCAATATTCAGCCATGTAAAAACTTACTTTTCATGAAAACTGATCGATTTTTATTCAAACTGCGACCTAAGATCGCAATAAATGAAATAATTCTTTGCTTAACAAATGATTCTGTCATTATGTATACATATATATATGCTCTTAGAACCTGCGTTAAACCCTTTTAACATTTCTTAAAATTGTCATAATTTTATTTTCAATCAAATTTTTTGTTGCATAGAGAAGAAAATTTAACAAGGGGAGATAATATTTTTCTTCTTGTTTGTGAAATTTTTTTTTTTTGCTTTAATTAGCACCCATAAAGAAAGATTACTATGCGGACCAAATTGGAAAAATTGTAAAGATAAAAACAGCTGTTTTCTCTCAGCAAAAAAAGAAAATTAAGTCAAGTCGTTTATAACAGAATTCTTTGGTGGCAAAGAAAAATATATATGTACGAAAAAAAAAGATGTGGACTGAACATACTGCGCGCTGTCATGTTGCGATCCTGCATAAAGCAAGAAAATAAAATAAAGAAAACAACAACTGAAAGTACCAGCTACAAGAGGAAAAGTGATTTTTTTTGTACATACATACATTATTTTTATTTTTTTGACAAAAGTGCTATAAATTGCGTATTAGACTGAAATTTAGGAAAAAATTATCAATTTTTTCAATAAAAAAAAGAAAAAAAGGCAAATTAAGAAAACAGTTAACAACTGTTAATAAAAGTGTGGTGACGGGCAAAAAAAGTTTGGGTGAAAAAACACACGGAAGCGTGTGGTGTGGCAAATAAATAGAAAATCATTATTATTATTATTTTTTTTTTTTTTATATAAAAAGTTATATACGTTTTTAGTAGAAATTAAAGAAATTGCCTTTAAAGTAAAGCAATATTAACAATAATAACATATAAATGATGAGTGTCGTAAGACATATATTCCTGCTATCACAATTGCCCAAAAGCGGGGTCAACTCTTATTGGTTAAAAGGTAAGAATGTTTGATTGTAAACGTACGCTACGTTGTATGAGTTAGTTTGTTTTGTTAAACATTTCTATTGCTCCATTTGCAATTCTTGGAAAACAACGTTCATTTTCATTGCAAAAAAAAAAAAATCTACGTCAACACTTCTCTTATTTCGTTTTTGTTGAGGCTTCTGAAAAATTCTTTCTAACAAAATTGAATATCACTTTGAAGCTGTGCTAACAGCTGTTCGTTGCGATAACTACTTACCTTGATATGCATGAATGTTTATACTAATCTTTCCTCCTCCACTAGCTTCTCGTCCATTTGACGTTTTTTTAAATATGCTTTCAATCAAGGTCATCATATTACTATAGTTTGTCGACGTTTGCCTTTAGTTTCAGTTTATACATTTGGTTATCATACCAAAGCCAATGTCTTTGTTTGTTGCTGTTTACTGTTTAATGTTACTTGTTAATCTAATAGCTGTGTCTGGCATTTTAAAACACACACGTTTCTTGAACTTGTTTTTTTTCTGTTTCGTCAAAAGTCATCTGTGCAACTTTTTACTGCTTTTCAAAATTTGGGTCAAGTTTACATTACAAAAAAAAAAAAATTTATATATATAAGTATATATATATATATTTATATTTATTTATAAATATATATAATTCCACATCCATCTCAAAGAATAAATAATTAGCGATCTCTATTCTGAAAGCTCACCTAAACGGTTTTAATATTGTGGTAGATTTCATGAACGAATGATATTGAAAATGGTCTGGATCGGTTCAATTTCTCGACGCCCTGTTTTTCAAAGTTGTTCTAGTGAAAAAACACCTGCTATTTTCAAAACTATTTTTTTAAAAAAGTAGCTGAGTAGCACTGATATATCGTCATTTCAAATCGGTATGAAAAACTTTGATTTGGCTGAAGCCGCATTCTTGAGCCTCCTCTCGTACAACCATTCCTACGGCAAATGAATCCTTGTCAAAAAGATTTAATTTTCAATCAATTTATCAAGTCAAATCTAACGGGTTTGGACCACGTCAGCCTATATTTTGGATACGGATTCTCTGGACAATTAAACCTTTATATGCTTAAAAGGCACAGTTATTAACGTTTTATTAAGGAAAATTTTTCAATGAAGTGAACCACATAGGCCTATTTCTTGGACTCCACTTCAAATAAGTCTTTTCATGAATGCTAAGCTCTCAGATAAAGGTTAAATTTTTAGATTGTTATGATTAAAATTGGTCCGTAGTAGATATTTATCAAAAAAAAAAAAAAAATGTAGATCACATAGATCTATTTTTTAAATCCTAGCATATACAGGAGTTATCATGAAAAGCCTGCCTTTATATTAAAAGAAGGCGTAATTTATACTCTTTGAGGGAAACTGAAATATATTCAAATTTTTAAGCAATAAATAAAGAAAATATGCAAAATTTAGGGCAACGCACAATATGCGCGATTCCATACAAAGTGTCTTTGTATGAAACAAATGCGTCACTTTTGATGTATTATTACCTAAACAGGCGAATAATTGCAAATAGGCAAAGTGATTTGGGGTATCTAAAGGTCATCTCTGCTCGACTATACTGTCCTCATTTATTTTTACATTTACTTACTAAGCACGGCGTATGCACAAAACGATTTTATTCAATGCACTCAATATCAAACGAAATCTTTTGCAATATCCGAAAGTTCCCATAAAGTTTATATATCCTTGGTTAGTATCAAATTCTGAATCGGTTTCACTATACATTTTCATCCGTTCATATTTCGTAAATATTCATCCGACAACAAAAATGACAATTAGTTGTTCATGTAGGAAAGTTGATATTGAAAATGGGTTGATTTGGCGAAGAGACATGCCCACAGTGTAAAGTACATTGCGAATGTCTTCCCTTCATTTTGGCTTTGTTACCCATTATTCTCATAAACTACATAGATGCAACGGCTGAGTTCTCCGCATACATAATCAGAAATAATCTTGAGGTAAATCGAAAAAAATGAAATTTTCGTCACTTCGCTAAAAAGGTAACGGGTAATTTTGTCGTAGATCGAGAAACATGTCATTTCTTCTTAAATTTAACCTGATCACGGGTTAAGCAACAAAATTTAAGATTGCGATCTTTCATTTAAATCTAGTAGTATCCACTTTTCAAAGCGATTAAACGTCTATATAATTAATTCATATATCTAGACAAGTTTAATATATTCTCATATATATACTTTTCATTGGGAATTTAAAAAAGAAGAAACCAAGTCTAAGTGTAATAGTGGCCCGATTACGATGAGAACGTAATTATCGTAAAAAGTTTGCAATCATTTCAAAACCGATGTAAGAAATTTTAGAACGAAAGTAGAATATAAGGTAAGGTCTTCTCCGTAATATCAAAAGGAGAGTCCACAATAGTTAGCATAAGCGGCACCTGTGCAGCAATCGTATCTCCGCTTAACAATATAGCTATACAAGGCTCGAGTAAAATCTATCAAATAAGTTCGATATCGAAAAGCATAAACCCAAACCGCAGTTCTACTAAAGCCACAACTGCATAGTTTTGCTTTTTATTAATTTATTAAGAGATTTTTGAGTAATCTATACTCGCACTAGCTACAGCTTTCCAAACAAGGTTCAAGGATTTGGCAGAGGCATCAATTAAAACGGCTAAGAATCGTATAATAATATATGTAGAGAGATCTACGAATTCATCGTTCTTTGGACATTCGTATGTTTATAATAAGAATGCGAAAAACAAATAATGAAACTAAGGGCAAATCCAGGACATCCGGATAAGTACACAGAAATGAAGCTACTTTAGATATAGATTTTCCGCAAAACTATTTTACCTAAGTTTAATAACTTTTAGTTAGTTGACTCTTTGGCCTATTCATTTGATATTGTTTTGCTCTAATTAAATACGTTTTTATCCTGTCTCACAAAGGAAACAACACGTTGCGTCCATGTGGAAATATTAGATTGCGAGAAGGTTCCTGACACTTGCAAACTTAGCACGACGCAGACTTGTATTGCTAAATGATAATTAAGCACGCTTCAAGCTGTTTGGTTTAACTATTTATTTAAGATAGACGAAGAAGTCATAATTAAGAACAAAGTATTGTTTGAGGGTCTTAACCGGTTGGTTCAAATTTTTGTAAGAACTTTTTTGATGTAATTCTTAAGGGCATAGGGATACTCTAACCTCAAAATTAAGCATACTGTCGACATCAACTTGAAATATATTCATTTATACTATGCTGGAATCTGAAGGTACGCTAAAATTGCAATCTCATATGAAACATTTGGAAATTTAGTTCAACGATCCTATAAAGTATAAAAGTGATCTTCAAATGTTTGTCTATCCATCCTGTGTGGCTGGCTGAATGCATCATTTGTGATCTTAAATTGATTTAAAAGAACTTTTTTTTTGATTCTGAATATTATTTTTTGTACCCTACACCCCACAGGAATGTATTAAGTTTGCGTGGATGTATGGCTTGAAGGTCTTGAGATAGACTCATTTTTTATGATACCAATCGATTCAATATCATTTTCTTAGTACATTTGGATTTGTCCGTTCATCCGATTGTCTTGTTGTACCGATTGACTCAGAATCACTTTCTGTCTGTCTGCTTTTCTTGTGTTCAAGCAACCGTTTCCAATTTTTAAGAAATTTTGATGACATTTGATGCACTGACCTCTGTTGGCCCAAGAATGAATGCTATGGAAAATGGTTCTTCGGTCATTGCCTATAAGAACTCTTATCTAGAACAGCCGTTATATATAATAATTGTATTAAACGAAGTTACATGCGGTGTTTAATGCGGGCTCTGCCCGCACACTCTTATGTTTTTATTTGTTGTTTTATGTTCATGTAAACATTACTTTGGCGTATAAAGTATTTCTCATTTTATTTGTTTCGTTTTCTTTTAGCTCTTTGCTGCAACTCGTATGCGCAGATTAAATGTGTTCATATCGCTAACAATCCTAGAATTGATATAACCTTATCGCATGCAGCTGGTGGTGCCAGTCCAGTTGGCGGCAGTAGTGGTTTAGGAACAGGCGGCAAGGATACCGCAAATACTACTACAACGTCAACAACCGCATCAGCTGGTTCTGGAGGTGAACCGCCAAATGATAAAAATTTTCTAGCCTGTCCGAAATGTGGTAGTCCTTGCACGCAAGTCGAGACCTTTGTTAGTTCTACGCGCTTTGTTAAATGCGCGAAATGCAATCATTTCTTTGTAGTACTATCTGAGTTGGATGCGAAACGTAATCTTAAAGAAGAACCGAAAAATCAGCGTAAACCACCTCCGCCGCCGCAAAAAATTATGGAGTATTTAGATAAGCATGTTGTAGGCCAGGAATTTGCAAAGAAAGTGCTTTCGGTGGCGGTTTATAATCACTACAAACGTATACATCATAATTTGCCACCCATAACACCGCAACCGCAGCCACATATGGCGCCCGGACCTATAATCAATGATCCTATGGGTACCCGGACAGATTTATTGCACATTACTGGCATTGGTCATACTATGGGCAGCTCATCGGGCACGGAATTACCACCCAAGCATCCGCATAGTACTGCTAACCATAATCATGCTCATGAAACTGGTTCTGAAATACTCGAAAAACAGAACTACGAAGTAAAACTGGAGAAAAGCAATATTATCATGTTGGGACCCACTGGTTCGGGTAAAACCCTAATAGCTCAGACTATAGCTAAATGTTTAGACGTACCATTTGCAATTTGTGATTGCACCACGTTAACGCAAGCTGGTTATGTGGGCGAGGACATTGAAAGTGTGATTTCCAAATTATTACAAGACGCTAATTATAAGTAAGAATCGGAAAGAAGAGAGAGAGAGAGAGAGAAGAAAATTAAAAAAATAGCAAAAAAAACACAAATCGTATTCCAATTATATATTTTATAATTTTAGCGTGGATCGAGCTCAAACCGGCATAGTGTTTCTTGATGAAGTGGACAAAATCGGCGCTGTTCCGGGTATACATCAACTAAGGGATGTGGGAGGCGAGGGCGTGCAACAGGGTATGCTCAAAATGTTAGAAGGGACCATAGTTAATGTGCCCGAACGCAATTCACCCCGCAAATTGCGTGGGGAAACTATACAAGTCGATACCACCAATATATTGTTTGTTGCCTCTGGTGCTTATACCGGGTTGGATCGCCTTATAGCCAGAAGGCTTAACGAAAAGGTCTGTTCTGATGATCTTCACAGTAACACCTACCATAGCAGAGAACTTTTTAATAATCTTTTCTTTATTTTTTTTCTTGTGCTTTTTCATCTCTTTTTTCCATCTCGTCCTATAACCAAAGTATTTAGGTTTTACTGCTCCCACGTCAGGTTCATCCGGTCGTAGAGCAGCTCAATCGTCTGCTTACGCGATGGATAGTGATCAGGAAGAACGTGACCGATGTTTAACTAAAGTACAAGCTCGTGATCTCGTCGAATTTGGCATGATACCCGTAAGTAAATAGATCATCTTTTTTCATTGCTTATATATTTTCATATATATTATCTGTATATCATTTTGCAGGAATTTGTCGGTCGTTTTCCGGTAATAGTGCCTTTCCACAGTTTGAATGTGAATATGTTGGTACGTATTCTAACTGAACCAAAAAATGCTTTGGTACCGCAATATAAAGCATTAATCGGATTGGACCATGTGGATTTAACATTTACCGAAAATGCTATCAAATCTATTGCCAAATTGGCTATGGATCGTCAAACCGGCGCTAGAGGTTTACGTTCAATTATGGTAAGTTAAATTACTTTTTTTTTTCTTTTTTTTTTTTTTTTATAAAAATATTTTTTTAATTTCTTTATTCGTATTGAAACTATTGTGAGTAGCTTTAGATAGATTCAATTAGTAGATAAGAAAATGAAAACAGCTTCAAAAGTGTGAGTAGTTTTTGGAAAGCATTTGTCCATACATTTATGGTCTATCTAGATTGTAACGATTGTGTGCGTAATTTCTAAACATAGTTGAGCGGTTTTAAACCCATAGGCTTCCCACTGACTTAATTATTTTAACGTCAAGCTTACTTCGTAGAGGGGAATGATGGCGTTATTTCCTTGTGGAAACTTGACTTATCTTCCCTCGCTGTTGACAAAGCAATGACTGACTTATTTTGTTTTGCTCGGCTGAAATGGCTTGGGTAGAAGAGAACGGAGAAAAGTGTCATACGGTACAATCGAATTTTGGGTTACGGCGCGATTGTTCTTTTCGAATTACAATGTACGGTTTGCTTTCTTTCCTTTTGGTATAATTCCCGAACGGTTTTTTTCACGGGTGATTGTACGAAACCAAATACACAACTGTCGTGGTGACGTGGTTTTCAATTCCTTAAACTTTAAGGAGGTTTCATGGTGTTCCAAGCGGACCTTAGAGTAGTGGATTAGAAATCTCTGCCATCCGGATTTCCCTCTTACAGATAGTTTGGGTGTCTCCTGCCCCCACAATTAATGCACTACAGCTTCCACTACAGTAGCAAACTGCTTCGAAATATCTTTTAATCCGAAATGTCAAACTTGTTTTTATTGTTGACGTTTTCCAAGCATTTTAAACTTATTTTCTGATGGACGCTGAAGCCCTTGCCGATGCTATTCAACTAGGTGAAGAAGGGTGTGTTAAGTTCAGGCGGATGTGTTCATCAAAGCAGAAGTACTCGAGATATATACCGTTACATTATTATACCGTTCGATTTGGAAAGTAAGTCCAAGCTTCTCGGTCTGTCCGTGAGTAGGTCTTATCTTATATGTGTTCAATTTACAGGCCCTTGCCATTGAGATGACAACCAGTAGACTGACGTGTCTTAGTTCAAAGACGAATACTCCTGAAAATGGTTCGAATCGGACCAATTTTTCGACCAATTCCTCCTATAACCTTTTATTTTAAATAGCCATTAGTCAAAGGTTAGTCGTATATGGTATTCCATAAGGGGGGCCGTGACTAATTAAACTCTTTTTTACTTGGTTGTTTTTTTTTTTTTTCTTTTTGAACCTTTTGAAGGATAAATCGATTATGATTGATTTGTAAACTTTATATGCGTTTGTCATTTGTAGGAGCAACTGTTATTGGATCCTATGTTTTTAGTGCCTGGTTCTGACATTAAGACTGTGCATATTACCTCTGCTTGTGTTTTGGGTAAAGATAAACCGCTCTATTTGCGTAACGAAGATGCCACAGATGATGATAACGATACGAAAAATTATGAAGAAGGAGCAAAAGTCCGGGCCAGCCAATAAGTGCGTAATATAAGTTTGAAACAAATTTCAACGTTATAGTTGCCTCGTCACCTACACACCGACATGAAAAAAGAATAATCTCATTGGTATCCATTCGTTAGGCTAAAAATTAGCGAATCGAAAGGAAACAAAATGTCCGGATTACATACATTTTTAACGGCCCCGTTAGAAAATTAATGTATTTAAAAGCATAAAATTTTATTTTTATTATTTCGTAACAGTTGTAGCAAAAACAATTCGCAGACAACACAAAATAGAAAATAAATATATATATATATATATATACGAAAAAAAAAAAAAATATTCTTATGTTGTGCTCTCTGTGCATACGTTTATTTTCATTATTAGAAAAGGAAATGAAAGAAAGAATTTTTTTGTTGTTTTGGTTTTTTTTTCTTTTGCTTTTTTGCTCATATATGATATAGAGTGAAAAGAAACGATTTCAAAAATACCGTTTTATAATTTAGTGAGTGAGGAGGAAAACAAACAAAATATATAAATAAATTTTAAAAATTTCTATTATATATATATATATATGTATGTATATTTAATAATAATTATCATTATTTTATTCTTATGTATATTTTTAGTTAATATTTTGAAAAATAAATTAGTAAAGTAAAAAATTAAAAAAAAAAATTAAAAAAAAAAAATGTAAAATAAAGGAAATTAGATAAATAAATAATTGAATAAATAAAATACAAGTTTTTTAAGCCTTTGGTATTTTCTAGCCTTGTTCTGTTGCTTGAGAGGATTCAAAAAAAAAAACAAAAAAAAAAAACAAAAATGTAACAATTAAAAAATGAATAAATTAAATCTATAAGATTAACACTTAAGTAAATTATTTCAAAAATTCAAAAAAAAGTTTAAAAACTTGAAAACAATTTCATGAAATGAAAAAGATATAAAAGTATATTCTTTTTGAAGAAATTTTATAAACATCGTTAATCATTCTCCTCAGTTATTAAAAGTTCATATTCTTGCGCAGCAAAACGATCCCAATCCGAGCACTAGATGAATCAATTTAATATTTTAAACAAAAAAAAGAAAAAAAATCATTTTATTAAACTTACATATTCATCTCGCTGAGTAGCAAATGGATCACGTTGTTCATGGTCTAAATATTTTTCTAGATTGAAAAATGTATCGAAGAATACATGGGTCATTTTGCATCGCTTCAAATCTCCCAATGCTATAGCGTCACGATTCTGTGGCTTGATCATATCCAGCATCTAAATAAATATATGTATATGCATATCAACGTACACCTATCTGTATATATTAATTGAAGCATGCATAGGTATCTTTTTAATTTCTAATTATATATGCAAATTAATGAGGAATTAAAGAGCTTTATCTTATACCATTTATGGCACTGGGTATATTAAGTTTGCGTGGACGCATATAACACTCACAAGGGATTAAAATAGATTCAAAATCATTTTCTGAGTTCAGTTAAATTTGTCTGTCTGTCCGATTTTAACGCATGTTAATTTGGTGTTCGACCTACAGGTCGCAATTTTTTAGAAATTTTCATAAAATTTGTTATACTGACGTGCTTTGAAGCAGAGGCGTATTCGAATAAAAATGTTCGGATCGTATCATTTTATCGATCATTTTCTGCATACGGTCTTGTATTGAAAAGTCGATGTAAAGGTAACTGTGTAACAAGGAAACAGGACAGAAAGACGGACAGACAGATAGACTGAAGTACAGATGGGCTGACAAGTTTATATCGATTCACATACTAATTCTAGTACAATAAAAGATGGATGTATTTCGAGTTCTTCTGGGTGTTGCATACATCCGCACAAACTTGATTCAATCGTTCTTGGGCCAAAATACGTCAGTTTACCAAATTTCGTAATTATATCTCCAAAAATGCGACCTTTAGGTTGAAAAAAAAAACAAAACAAGATGGACCGAGCAAGTTCAGAACGATCGATATAGTAAAAAAAAAAAAAGAAGTAAATGTCGGGTCTGTCTGAAGACATTTTGGATGCCGCAAAGATGCGTACAAAAGAAATATGTATCATAAGTTTGTTCAGGATAAAAAAAATAAATTATTTCTAGTTTCCGTTTGCATCGCTATGATAAAATATATTTATATATATATATATATCTATATAGGTGTCTGTGCAGCAGCGCCTTATATCAGAAACAAAAAAAAGCTCCCTAATAATGGATTTATTAGAATAACAGCTTCAGATCACATAAAATCTTTTAAAATGTTTTTCCTCTATACATGTATGTATGTATGTATATCCCACCTGGCACAAACAATCCTCAAATGGTAAAGATTCAATGCCAATTGATTCCATACGTTGTTGTTGTTCCTCATAGAAATATTCCAATTCATACATCGATAATACGCCATCACCATCAAGGTCCATGCAACGGAACCAATATTCAATAGCAGTCGGTGTACGTTTATCTTCTTCGGATAAAAGGAACCATACAAAATCGGTATAAGACATTTTCGCTTCATCATCGGGATTTTTTCGATTGTCGTTACGCGTAACGCAACCGGAAAAGATACGCTCTACGATACGTGACGATAAAGCGTGATCACTATGTCGCGATAAATCGTCTTGATTAATTAATAGGTCATGATCTTTATCCAATTCCCAAAATTTACAATAAATAACATAGAAATGTTCATAGCTAAAGAAGGCCATAATTTGATTGATATCGTCTTCCTCTTCCAAAAGAGTTATAATCTAAGTAAGCAAGAAGATCGTCATAAGAGAGCCGCAAAAAAAAAAAAAGAAGAATAATAACTCATCGCTTACCTCTAACAAATCCGATTTCTTTAATTCCGCTATGCTTATTTTACCCGACCAACTGCGATTAACCGAATAGAAAATTCTCGCTATGACGGTATGTACATATCTGGAATGAAATTCGGTGGCTTCTTTAAGAAATGCCAAACCTGGAATATAGAATATAATATAGAATATATACATGTATACATATGTACATATATATATATATATATAAATATGTTTTATAAACCTGGATGTGTATCCACTACGTCCTGTACTAAAGGTATTAAATCTTCAGGTAGAATATTATTGCGAAAGCGTTGACCTCGCGATAAAATATAAACGAAACGCGAGGCGGCATCATGACAATAGACATTCATTCTATAAAAACGGGATAGAAAGGGATAAAAAAAATTTTTCTTACATTTTTATCGATTCACTTACTGTTTCCAAAATTCAACGAATCTCTGACGCTCCACTAAGCCTGAGTTATGCTGTTGACAGAACACCATGACCGGCATACGCCAATAGAACGGCAGACCGCATATCTTTAAAATACGTGGCAGTTCATCTTTTGTCACCTGATTATTGGGAAATGTATCGAACGCCGACAATATGCCACGCAATGTCCGCTCCAATGCAATAGTGGGCTGTGGTTTGCCATGTGGAAAATAAAATCTAAAAGGAAAAGTTTTTTTTTTTTAACTTAACCAACGAGAGAAAACTTTTTTTCAAATTACATAACAGCAAATTAGTTAAAGGACTAAAGGATTCCCTAAAAATTTCCTCTGGCTTAAGTTTTTCAGCTTGAAATGCGCTTGAGAAGACCGAATCAGGCAAGAGATCGAAAAGGTGGCAGGCACTTGGAGAACTTATTAATCTTGAAATTTTGACGTAACCATGTTTCTCTGTTCTTTAAATCGTTTATGGGAATTTTATTGCACTGAGAACAGCTTCTTTGAATCTGTGAACCCAAGTCCAATATCGATGAAATCATTGTATGAAATATTCTTTTGTCTATCCGTCCATTTATTCTTTGAATGCTCAAATTTCCCAATTCTCTCCTAGAAAGCGGGCGAGCATTTGTCTAATTACGCCTAAGGACAAAAGGGACGAGACTAAAACCTATTATTATTATTATTATTAATTTCGCCAGAGAAATAAATTCTAAGACTAAACTCTTAAAAGCACTAGCATCTACGGCTATTGGTTTTTTTTATTAAAAACCCTACCGCACTTGAGATTCGAACCCACGACCATTGACTTGCTAGTCGAGATTCCTCGCCTTCGGCTACTCAGGCGGATTGACTAAAACCAAAAATTCGAAAACTTTGAACATTTTTTTGATACAAGCATTTCTTCATTTAGACTTGCGATCAAAAATTGAAACAAGTAAAAACATTATATAATGGACCATGGGCCACCAATCCACTCCATGGTTGTTCATATATCGGTTTTTCAAAAGAAAGCCTTATACGGGAAGTAATAGGGAAGTTGTCCGATCCGAACGATTTTCAATTGGTTGAAAACATGTCAATGTAAAGCTGAGTCTATCTCAGGTCTTTCCGGCTGTGGCTAATGGCCACATATAAGGTGCAGGTAGGGTATAATTAACCTGGATTAATTTGGACCACCTATCCTTTGGCCTATCTTTTGGATACCTTTCTGACGGAACATAGGTCTTTATGTTGCAAAAATCACTTCTTCTTCAAACAATTTATGATGAAAACTAATTCATAGGACAAATTTGATATAAAATTTAACTGCACCAAATTTAGCTCAAGTAGATCTATTTTCTGAACATCACCGCATACAAAGATTATGTTATGAAACAAAAAGATCTTATAAGTCAAAAAGTTCAAATTTTGAATGATCTATGATAAAAATGGATCTATAGTCATCTTAGAAAATTTGAATCACCTTGGACTCCACCATAGGAGAGAGCCTCTTGAAAGCAAACCCTCTATCGCGATAAAGTCGAATTCAAAGTTTTTTGTGTCGGAAGCTGAACTGAACTGAAAAAATTATAAAATCTTTGACAAACAAATGAAGTTTGCCATGGTAGGCTGATGTATGGACCCTTCTTTAACATGAAAAGTATACCTTTATGTAATAATAATAATATGTAATTGTTGTTGTAGTATTACAAAAATTGTCCGTATGATTACATTCGACAAAGTCGAGTAGGGTGCTCAAGGTTCTTGTTTGTTTCTTTTTAATTTTCTTTTTTCATAATTTATATCTGTTCGTATGAAGAGTTTTACTCATCCTTACCTGGGTATATAAACACTTTTCAATGTACGGATTTCCTTTTGTAAAGAATGCTGTTCGACGGGCGCTGGCGGTGGTGTAGCATGCAATTTCACCTAAAATTAATAAATTTTTTTCTATAAATTTCAGACTTGATATGCAACTCTGAAAAAAAACAAATAAAAATTTTACATCTATTGAAATTTATCTCAATTTCCAGGTAACACAATAAGAACGGCTTACTTTTCATGAATTGTGCGCGTTCTCCAACAAAAAAAAGAGTTTGATTTAATGAATCGCTGTTTCAAAATCCGTACACATTAACTTAAACAAAAATTCATAAGACAAAAATTATTTGGTGAACTAACCTAACCTAAGATCCTCATTCATTTCATTTGAAAATGTCACTCGAACTGTCCATCCATCCATCCTCTAGGCACCTCTAGGCACCTCTAGGCTGGTGCGATGAAAATTAACATAAAAAATGAGAATTTGGCTTAAAATACGATTTAATGATTTTCATCTATAGAAAGATTAAAGAAATGATTGAATCCACACATGCCCATGCACAATATTCTTAGCATAGCAGGGACAACAATCTAAAGCTATTTACTATATCGGGTAGATTCGTGTTTATTTTTTCTTTAAAAAAAGAAAAGTTTTTATAAGAATTGAAAAGTTGCTCGGATGGGATATGACTTGTCGAATTCAAAGAAGCAATGAACAAATCGCCTTTGTTGTTGTCTGTTTGCTCGCCTATCTGCTCCCAATAGACGTTATTCAAAGCTTAGAAAAAAGATTGATCGCTTAAACTAGACCGCAATAATTTACACTACCATATGACTGACCGGCTGACAGACAGAGAGACTGACTGATTGACTGACTGACTTGCTGACTGACAGGCAGATTGAATGACTGACTGGCTGACTGAGTGAGTCACTGAATGACAGACTGACTGAGTGACTGACTGACCGGCTTATTGACAGACTGACTGACTGACAGAGAGACAGACTGACTAACTGACAGACTGACTGAGAGAATGTCTAACTGACTGACTGACAGGGAGACAGACTGACTGACTGAGTGACTGACTGACCGGCTTACTGACAGACTGACTGACTGACATACAGACTGACTGACTGAAGTGCTTGCTACAGCTGCTTGCTAGGGCTGCTTTTTGAAGGAAACCCGCAATTAATGAACACACCACCGACGCTATAGCTTTTTAGCTGCGTTATTTTATTTGAATATTTATTTGCTTAATATTCACTGCTGGGTATTCTCTACAATGATAATCAAAACGAAACAACACCTAAAGAAAATATTTGTTAATGAATTTGAAGAAAAAAAAATTAATTAAATAAATAAATACTGTGCAGTGTGTTTCACATTGAAACTAAACCGATATCTACTCGTATATCATTAATGTGTAGCTACCAACGAGGTCAATTAATCAACTATATAAGAGTGCATCGAATAGAAATACATTTATCCGAATAATATACATATGCTCGAATATTAATATTCCTTCTTCAGACGATGTCAAGAACATTCTAGATAGCGGGCAGGCAGGTTTTTCCGCTTAGTTCAACGAAGAAGTCATTAACAGGCCTTTTAGTTGATTGATTGCCATTACTTTAACAAAAAATGATAATAAATTCGATTAAACGATTAGATTAATCGGGTAAGTTACCGAGATTAGATTATCGGTTATGTCAGTGTAGGATTAGTTGCCAACAGATGATATAATAAAACGCTCTACAAATTCTTCACTAAACTTCTGCAATACGCTTCTATAATGATTTAATGAATAGGTTATCCAGTTAGGTTACCCGAACAAGTTATCCGGGTAGCTTATCTAGATAGATTACTCGTTACATCAGTACTCGTTGCAGTATTGGTTGGCAAATAGTCATATAATAAAGTTTTATCAATGTACTTCTATACTGTGGGATGTGGGGGTGGGGGTGACATACCCGGTCACCTATCCAAATAATCTTTACGGAGTGTAGGCATTCTTGGATCGATTTTTAAACTATGAGCTATGGTGAGCCAATGGCGGACAAATGTTAAACTGATCAATAATATGCAAACATTATGATATATCTCCTCCTTTCCTCCGTATGGTAAGTAAATATGAATAAGAAAATCCTATAAAACCCCGCATACTCCGCTGGTCGGTACAAAAAAAAAAAAAAAAAAATTCACTCATTCTGTTTACCTTATGCTCGTCTTCGAGATGATGAAAAATAATTTTAATTTAATTTTAAAAAATTTTTTAAAAAACACGCATCATTCACGCTCATGCAATTTAAAAAAAAAAAAATCTAACGTATGAATTATAAATGAATTATTCATACGCCTAGTCTATCCGTTGATAGAGAAATTAGTTTTATTAAAAAATTTTATATGAAAACATTTGAAATTTAAATTAAATTTAATACGAAAAGAACAAAAAAAAAACGTTTTTTTTTTTTTATAGTTTATTTAAATTTTTTAAAAATTTCAAGATCGTTATAGTCGGTATAATGCATTATAAATGAAAAGAGAAAAGACTCACACACAATAAATGACTGAATGCTTTATCACTAATCACCGTAATATATAAGTTTTTGATATACACACAGATCTACATAAGTATTAAAATGAGCAACATTTTCCCCCTATAAATGGATATATATTGTATACGGTTAGTGTCATTAAACTTTGAATTTGTGCCAATTGAATGCCAAAAAAAAAAAAAAACACAATTTTATTTTTTTACTAAACGTATGCAATTTTACAGCCAAAAAATTATATCGATATTTTTTTCTTCTTTTTTTCTTCATAATTTATTTTGTTGTATTTTTCGTTTTTAAATTTATGACAATCATCTACTAGTAGTTGTACAGAAAATTCGAACGATTAGAACCACGCTACAATGGATGCCGTTGTTGATCAATATATGCTTGATCAGGATGAGATTTCAGCTTTTCCTTCACCATTTGGCCTTTCGTATGCCTATACTTTCGGATATATTTACTTCGGCAGACTACTTTTACGTATGTCGCTCCGGTCTTGCGCTTTCTTCCCATTGTCCTCCTTCCATTGTCCTTGCGTTTTTCTAAGTTTTCGTCCATCTATCTTCAGCCGTGAACTGTTTGTCCACTAATCATTTCGTTTGTTTCGCTTATTCACCTTCCCCCGTCCATCTATCACTTCTCCTCTGTTTTTCTCTCTTAGGCTGCTTCTAGCAGCTCTTCCTTACCTCTGCATTTCCATCTCAATATTCTTTTCCCTTTTTTTGAGCCTTCTCTCTTGCTCTCTTTTGTGCGTCCACATTGCGACGGAAAACTATGCCTTGAGGGAGGCATAGTCGTGTCGAAGCTCTAACGTCCACCTCGTAATCCCTGTTAACGTTCTTTGACTGGCGAATAAGAGTTTAAAGCTTGGCTAACTACAGCTAGGCGAAAGATGTTTCCCATAGACAACTTAGGGGTGCACTGGAAGAAGTTTTGCTTCTTTTCTCCACACTACTTTCTAAGGAGGAAATACAAACTAACTGAAGCAGGGCCGGGAAGTGCAATGTTGTAGTACTAATCGACGGCATGGAAAAGGCTAAGTAAGTTTTAACCACCGATGCATGTATATCTAGGAATCTGTACACCCGCATAACTCTACCCATTTTTCTCTCAATTCCTCTCTCAACCATCGTGACCATTTTGTGTCCGCGAATGTTCTTCTCGCTTCGTTCACATATGTACACTTATCTACCAGTTACCTACCAAGCTCTTCAGGCCATCCATGCTCTGCATCTGTTCGTTCACCTAACTTTGTTCATCCGTATTCACTACATTTGACTATTTATTCCTTGTGTCCCACGCACATTTGCATTTGTGAGGCGAACGCGTTTTTTCGTACACTCCGTCCACTACTCCACCGATAAAGCTATAATACTTACTTGCGGGGCACACGGTTTCCAAGCTGCCCCCATTCTCTCCCTGTCCCTTGTCACTGTGTCATACAGTTTGGACACACCCTGTGAGTATGTGGTCATCTAAAAAAAGAATTCGAATCAACCGTCGGTACTGGAATCGCATTGTTTATTTGTTTCTTTGGTTCCTTTAATTCATTAGTCCGTTGCTTTATGCGTCTGTCCAACTGCGTTATTTTACCTAGCTTTACGTCGTCGTCGAAGCTTCTAGCCGGCTTCGTCCGTCCTTCCGTCCACCTTACCATTCAACTCATTCCTCAGCCCTTCTTCTTGCCTGTCTTATAAAAATTGCGATTATTTTGGTTTACGGTTTTTTAAAATTGTAATAAAAGAGGAAAAGAAAAAAACACTGAAAACTGCTTCTCCTTCAGACTGTGTTTATATTCATAATCTAAACAAGAATGAACGGTAAGAAAAACAATTTCGTTGCTTTAATATTCCGGTAGAAATATTTTCATATAATCGTATGTTTTATCGCATATCAATTTATGTATATATATATATATATATATTTATATGCTCCTGTCCGCATAAATTAAAGAGAAATTATGCCTCTTAAAATGACGTCAATATCATCATCAAATCACTGAAATTATGGTATAATAAAATAACAAGAAAACGGTTTACAGTTTAAAATGAATCTCTTGCTACTCATCTCATTTACGATATACGGTATGTAGGGAAATTGTCAAGATCGCTATATTACCAAATGTTCAATGTGATAAATAAATGTGAACTAAACGATTGCGGTGATCGCGCTTATCAAGCGTACGCTCTAGGCGGTTTTCAACCCATTAGGTTATGACTAACCTAATACACTCCTTGCGATGGCGAGTGTGAAAAAAAAAGCCTCAAAAATCTTTTAAAAAAAGCATTTCGAAAAAGGAAATCTATTAACGCACGCGCCTGTGTGTACGTATGTTTGCGTGTGTGTATCTCAATTCTTTATGTAAAATTCTGAAAAATGGTTTCTTATTTTCTTTAGTCATTTTGGCAATTTTCATTCTAATGAGTAACCTTCAGTATCAATCGGTATAAGGCACGTCTATGTATGTGAATAGATTTGTAAATGCATTCGAGTATAAACGAATTCATAATGAATTTTTCTTATGCATTTGTAACGTCCAGGTAGTCATGGATTTT